TAATTCTGTTTCGATTTGTAGAATCTAGAGTGTAATTCACTTTTTTTTTTTTTTTTTTTTTTTTTTTTTTTTTTTTTTGGGTAGGTGTCTGTATAAAATTTGGAAAAAAAAAAAGCGAATTTTAACATCTTTACTTGCTTACTATGTCACAACTTCAACGAAGAAAAAAGCAAAAATTAACAAAAGAAACACTTAAATCAACTATAGAAAATCAAGAAAAATGGCAAGTGCCTTATTCAATGATTAGCAATCTTGAATCCTCTGTTCAATCTTTAATCTCTTCAAACAACAGTGTAATTTTCACATTATATTTTAAAAAAATGATCTTTTATAAATGTATATACTTACGTATAAATTATTTCTTTATATTTAGCTTCAATCAACGCTTCATCTACTTGATTCAGCTACAAAAGATTTTACTCGCCATTGTGAATTTGCTAAGCATGATCGAGTAAAGTATAAATACAATTTAGACATTTATTGCATCAACTAATCTGTAATGTAGTTGTATGAAGTAGTAACTGAAAGTGACATTAGAAGTGCCCAATTAGAGATATCTAAAGATGTTTTACCAGAATTAGAGCAGTTATTATCAGAGGCAGATCAGCTGTTAGGATTATTACAAGTTCAGGAAAAAGAAAGCAAACAAAAAGTAGAAGAACAACAACAAATACTTTCCCATTTAAGAACAGCTGTCAAGTTCGCAACGAGTCAATCAAAAATTCTATCAAATACGAAAGTGAATAAGAATAAAGAATCAGCATCTTCAGCTGTATTGAACCAATTAAAAGACAAGCAAAAACGACTAAAACTATTGATCGATGTAGAAGATCGAAAAATCAAAGAAGAGGTAATATAGGAAATTGATAATGAATACTCATTTTTTCATTTTCACTCATTCATTTTTATTGTATTTAGACGATTGAATTAAAAGGCTTACAGAAAGAGATTTTACAATTAGAAAAGGAAATGGAACAAGTGATACCATCTGATAATGGAAGTGAATTGATTATTGACAAGGATAAACATAAATTAGAGCTTATACAACAATTAGCAGATTTAAAGCAACAAACAATTAAGAAGAAAGAGAGTTATGAAGAGAAACAACAAATAGAAGCTTCTCGAGCATCTAATTCCTCATCAATACAAATAAAAGAAACACAATTAAATACTTTAGGTATTCTCTCTAATGACTAATTTATTTCCATTTCAATAACCTTTTTTTTTTTGGTAGAATCTATTCAGCAATATACCAATTATTTAGCATTAACTCAAACTGTCTTGGAAGCAATAAATCAAGAAGGATTTATAACGTCAGAAGCTACCTTACAAAAGTGTGAAATACAATGTAAAAGATATCTTCAAGCAATACAAAATGAAAAAAAGCAAACGCCTAAATCGAATACCAACTTGAATATTATTCAGCAACTTAAAACAATCTGCAAGGCTACTATGCCAAATCATATGATTGGTAAAACGACAGGTCGTATCTTAGAGCTTATATTAACACAAGATGAATTAAGGATACCAGTTCAAGAAGTTTTAAAGGAATTTCCAGCTGCTAAGGAGAAAAGACATAATTTAACGAAGGCAATGCTAATTCTTTTTGAAGCAAATATTATAGATATTAACGGAACTGATCTTATAATTAAATAAAATTTTTATTAGTATTCTTGTTCTGTTTCATAAGCAACGATTTCTTGTAGTTGTTGTAACAAATTAGATGGTAATAACTCTTCTATTTTAAATTTCCAAACATCATCTGACAATTCATCACTAAACAATATTTCCAAAAAATACTGATAATTGTTTCCTAATTCCTTTTTACAATTGATATAAAACTGGGGATAAGCTTCTTCTGTTAAGCATTGTTTCCTTTGACGAATACGACTCAAATCGACATGTGAATAGGATTCTTCCTCCTCTTCCTCTTTCTCTTCTTCTTCTTCTCCTCCCAAATAACCTACAAGTTCCTTAAATTTTTCTAAAAGTGAAGGAACGGATGAGAATGTCTTGGATATTATGGCCATCCATTGTTGGTCTGTGAATTTAGTTCGATCCGCATAAAGTACGTCGTGTTCAAATTGTGACCAAGAAGATGCAGCAGCTAAAGAAAATTGATTAAAAAAGCCTGAATTATGTTGGACAAGCTCCTTCATCTCTTGTGGTCGGTCAAAGAGACTTACAAGCATAGTATCAGGTATAAGTTGTCCATGGATATCAATTACATGCGGTGGAGATAATAAGAAATCATCATATTCATTACTACCACTACTACTACTCGAGCAAGATAGCTGTTGCGGATCTTCTGAAGTATCTGTAATATGTGATAAATCAAACGTAACTGAAGGCCTCTTCTTTTTCTTCTTATTCTGTGTTGTATTAGCAATAAGTAAGGAAGTATGATTATTGATCATGGTTTGATTAAAGAAGAAGAAAAAAAAAAAAAAAAGAAAGAAAAGAAAAGAAAAAAAAGGAAAGGAAGAATCGATTATTTTAGTTTTCTTTTTTTTTATTGCTTTTTTTCACTCAGATGATTATTCTTCCACTTTATGTAGTGATTCCCTTTTTGAGTTAGAAATGATGAACTTAAAGTTAATCATACAATAACATTATTCTGCTGCATAAAATGAAACTACGTATATATCATCATTATGCAAAAAAAAAGAATTAAAAATTTCTCTTCTCCGCATATTTTTATCTTTTTATATACAAATTATTAACATATCTTTTTTTTTTTCAAGTAAATAATGTCAAACTTGAGAAAAAAAGTAGTAAAGCAACAGCAAAGTCGTCGCTTAGCTGCACTTAATTTGTTGGGTACACCCGTCACTTCTGATAATGAGGATTCTTCTGACATTGATTCTGATCATTCCGTCATTGGTGATTCCATTTTACCCAACATATCTGAAAGGGTGATTGAAGAAGAACTTCGACTTTGCGTAGATGATCTTGGTGAAAAACGAGCTAGGTATAAAAACATAAAGTTGTTGTATTTTGTATACAAATATATATATATATATATGTGTGTGTGTGTGTGTATATTTCTTTTTTTCTCATATATATAAACAAAATTTAGTTTGAGAGAAGCTGCCTTATCTCGTCTTGTCAAACTATTAAGCCATTATTACTGTGGTTTCTTCTTTGATTCCTATTCAAATACCAGAGAAGCATTGTTGCAGTTGTTGTTAAGATCAATACGGAAATCAGCAAATATAAATGAAGCCCTTTTGGCTCTTAAGGCTATTGAACTTACAATGATTAATGAAGGTACAGCAGAGGGAGAACAAGAAGATTTATATGGACTTGTTTCATCCCACCTGAAGCAAATTATACAGGATAAAACATCATCTATTGAGCTAAAATGCCAGGTGGATATATATATATATATATATAGACATATTATTTGCCATATTTACCTTCTCCCCTTCTTTTATATAGAGTATAGAAACACTAGCAATGATTACATTCACTTCTGCTTCAATTACAAGTGCAAAAGGTGGATTAGACTATTTTTACAAGATTTTGATATCTAATGGCTCCATAACTACTGTAGTTGCAACTCCTGAGGATGATGCTAGTTTTGAAAATATGAGTGAAGAACCGCAACAAGAATTTTCGTCGCACGATATTGATATGTTGTTGGTACATAGTCTGAATGCATATGGATTACTTTATGCTTCAATTTATGGCCAAAATAGAGGCCTTAAAGATGAAGCTTGGGATGAATGGCAATCGTAAGTTAATAAATGTAGAATAATTATGGTCTTTTTTTTTTTCTTCTTAAAAAAAAAAAATTCTTTAATATTAAATAGAGCTATGCCCGCTCATTTAGATTTACTGGAGTCAGCTTCAAAGGATGTGCGAGTTGCAGCGGGAAAAAATGTAGCATTGATGTATGAATGCTCACATACATTTAAAAAAACTGTAAGAATTTGTTATGTTTACTATACATCTATACTTATTTTTTTTTTTTTTGGTTTCTACATATTTAGGATTTATTAATAGAGGATGATGATAACAAACAACAAAAAATGGGCCTCGTCGTTGATGATGAGAACGATTTAAGTGAATACGAAGAACTTGATGAATTGATAGACACTTTACAACGTTTATCTACAGAAAGTAGTCGTCGAGTCAACAAACAAGACCGAAAAGAACAAAAAAGTGCATTTCGAGATATTTTACACAGTATCCAGCTTGGAGAAAAACCCAAAGAAAAGTTGAAATTGGGTAGACAGAGGTTGATATTTCGAGGATGGGGTAATATTATACTTAAAAAGGCTTTTTTCTTTTATTTATTTATTTACTTACTATTTGATATATTAGCTCCAATTATTGAATTGCATGCTTTTCGTACCATATTAGGAGCAGGTCTAGCAAATCATTTTGAAAGTAATGAACTGGTTCAGAATGTCTTTTCAAGTGGCATTGAAGAGGAAGAAGATGAAGAAGAAGAAGTTTATAATGTTGAAAGTGGAGAAGATAATAGTGTAGGTGGTGAAGATGATGAAGACTCACTTATTAAATCAAGGAAAAGTGTAAACCGATCTAAATACTCTAAAAAATATAAAGACTCGTATTATGATTAAATAAATAAATAAATAAAAAAAAAGGGAGGGCTTTTATTTTATTCTTATATATTGTTATACAATTAAATACAATAACTAAAATATAGATAAAATATAAAAGTGAGATAAATAACGAATTTCAGTATATTATTGTTTGAGATATTTCTATTAGCAGACGAAGTTGCTACTTTCCCATTTACAGAGGGAAGAGCAGCTTTAGTAGAAGTAGGGGTTATGGTAGCTGCAGCGATGATACTAGTAGGTGAAAAGAGACGCGACCCTGTAGGTAATGGAATTTTTGAAACTGTACTCTTGGGTATAGAAAAACAAACACTGTCAGCAATTCTAGATTGTGTATCAGCATCTATATTGTATTCAGGACAAAGATTATAGCATTGACGTATCAATTTCTATATATATAAATTAGTTATGTATATTTATATACTTCATATAATAGACATATTTATTTACCTGTGCACTGCATTGACAAACGAAATCAATAGTACTACAGCTTTGAAGTAGATTCAATTCAGTCGATTTACAAGACTGAAAGCTATTACATTATACAATATATATACATATATATTATTCATTTAGATTTAGAAAAAAAAAGAGACAATTCATACAATATTTTATTGCTTACTTTGCTTCGGCAGCACAACCAATTAAGGCACCAGAAACTGGCTCAATATTCAATTGAAAAATAACAAAAAGAATACCTACAATCCAAACTATTCTACGTGATAAAGTAGCAAGCATTTTAAATACAAACAAAATAAAATAAAAAATAAAAAAAAGAAAGCTTATGTATCCTTTTCTTTCACAATTTATATATGAGGTGCTCCTTTAATTTCTCTCTATTTTAACTGCTTACATGCAAAATATTTTCACATTACCAAAAAAAAAAGGCACTGTTTTTTACTATACATATTTTTATTTGACATTTCCTCCCTTAGTTTACTAAATTAAGTTTTTATTTTTGATCTGCTTATTCGAAAACGAACCAAAAAAAAGAAACATTTTCTCCCATATTATCATCTTTTATTGATGCATACATGTACTGATATGAAATAAGAGAATATTGAGTTTTTCTATATAAGACGATGTTATCACTAATACAATTATTACATTTGTAATAGGATTTATAATATTTCGGATATTATTTTAGAATACAAACTATAATTTAATAAATCTACAAAAGATCAAAGAATAAAAAGAAAATCATGATGTAGCATATTATAACTAGTCAAGTTTATAAATATAGATATACATATATATATTATGTAATATTTAGCGATGTAATTCTACGTTTAAATTAGAGTTTTATCCTTATTTCCTAGCTTCAGTCGACTCGCATTAAAGTTAAAGTCTATTGAGTAAGGATAAAAAAAAACAAAAGAAATTAAGGAGTAAGATGCAAAATAGGAAGTGAAAAAGAAAGGGGTTTAGGGTAACTATAACAGCAACATAAGCAAGCACTAATATAGAGAATTATAGCGCTATAAACGTCTATCATAATAAGAAAAATAAATCATGAGTTCTTGAAAGAGCGAGCAAACAGTTGTTCAAAGTAAGGTAACATAAAGGGAATGAGTTTTGTTGTTGTTGTTGTTGATAAAATTAAATTATAAAGGAAAGAGATGAGATAGTTAATTGATAATGTATTTGAAACCAGCTGGCAGCATTAAAAAAAAAAAATCAAAGTGAGATGCCAGGATACAGAACTATTATATTATTTATTAAGTATTTTAGACAAAAAATATACCCGGACCAATTCAAAATGTATTATAAAAAATTCTCTATGAACATAAAAGAATAGAGTATATATTGTAACCAGGATGAATAAAGGAATAATGTAAGAATAAAGAGCATGGCTTTTGATAGGACAAAAATTATATGTGACTAATATAGTATACCTACTTGTTACAGTACTATCTAATCATCTTTCCAGTAAGTTTGTTAAGTAATTAATTTGAATAATCATCTGGGAAGTTTATTCAATAAAAATGATAGAAAACTAACTGTATATGTTAGAACACATAGATGGGAATACATACAGAGGAATTAAATAATGAAAGTTTTTGTTAGCCTATAGCCAACTATTTATAAATACATTCATGTGTGTACTCGCAATTAATGTAATTAAAAAATATGTCTATTATATTAAATAAATACATGAAATATATTGTTCCTCATATACTTTAATCCTGACTCTAAATACAACATTGTTCTTAAATAGTATAGTACAAGACAAGCAAACAAGAGTCAAAAAGCAAATGATTTCCGACATAATGTTACAGTAATAAGCATAAACCAAATGATATTTGAATAATTCTAAATAGCACGATCTATAGACGAGTTGATCTCTTTTCTCACCTATGAAAACTTCTTCAACTATTGTCACATGTTTAATAACTATTCCAGCCTAATTGTAAATTTTTAAACGAGAATTTCGTAGTTGGCAGGTATTGATTCAGCTTTAAGAGCCCTTTATCGATAATCGATCAATAACAACAGAAACAAATTTTACACATTTTTTTTTCTTTTCATTTTGAAGATGAACTGATAGCTACTATCCTATCTCTGCATGATCAGTTTCATATTTATACTATTGCTGCCCCTATTTTTTGTCACTATACAAATCATTTATTTCAATATTTTTACTTCAAATTTAAAAGCGGAATATTTATATATAAAAACCATTGTAAATCTTATTCAGTCACTGTCTATGCGCTCTATTAAACATAGTCGTCTTATACAGTGACATTTAGGATGGAGCCACATGGTGGAATACCTAAACTTTATTCATGTCGACAATACAAACATACTAAGACCTATCTCATACTATGTCTCAACTTACATACTCTTACAACTATCGCAGACCCCCTCTCTCCCCCTTTTTTTTTCATATCATATACACTCTCCTCTCCTCTCCTCTTCACTTTCCCTTTATCCTTTGTTCACATTTTCTCTTGCCCTCAATTTGAACAAATAAAAAAAAAAAAAAAAAAAAAACAAATACTCACTTATTTAGGGTGAATTCATTTCCATTAAAGAAAGTTGTAATTGACTATTTTGCTTAGAAAAGTTATTTCAACATTTATAATATTAACATCTATTATTATGTTTATATATAACACTTGTAAAAGAAAAAAAAATTGATTTCTCTCCCCTTCCTTAATTATTTCCAATTTGCTTTTGCCAACTAATATCAGTCGCTTATTAATTAAAAAGCTTTACAGTATTCGTGAGGAAAAAAAAATCATCTCACCCGAAGCTTAAAATAACTAGAGCACTTTAGTTATATCTTTCTCTGTATGGCGGTTGCTTCAGTTATCTGTAGTATACATGGTATCACTTTCACTTCTGTTCCAACATGATGGGGCATTCTAGATAGATAATGGGTTGCTTAGTAAACACTATTATGATAATGAATAATAATGTTTACTTGTATAAAACATGAATAAATTGTAGATATGCTTATTTGTATCTTCTACTTTACTTATCACAAGCTTTGGCTCTATCTATTTTATATAAAAAAGGATTATATAAAGTACATTTTAGCCTGACCATTTTACAACTTAAATAGACTGAATTACATGCAAATAATAAAAAATATTTCTAAAATATTAACATGTATAATGGATTATTAATTCATAAATTTAGAGGGCTTAAAAGAAGTATTACTCAGCTTGTTGACAGCAATATTTTTATACACATTTTTTTTTATTATAAAAAAAATACTGTCGTGAAAGCAAATCACAATGACGTCTTATTAATAATGATTTGAAATTATTTTACATATAAAAATCGACTTTTTTTTTTTTTTTTTTTTTTTTTTTTTTTTTTTTTTTTTTTTTTTTTTTTTTTTTCCTTTTTGAATGGGATCTTTATTTTCAAATAATTTTACAGAAGAAGAAATGGCTCAAGTACAACAAATTGTTGAAGAAATCATCAAGAATAATAAGATTGCTGTCTTTTCCAAGTCCTATTGTCGTAAATATGAATATGAATACAAATATTTATATATGAAGGAAAAAAAAAAAAAGAGAGAAACAATAGTTAACATTTGGTTCAATAGCTTATTGTAAGAGAGCAAAGGAAGCTTTAAGGGAACTTGGTGAAGAGTTCTTCGTTATTGAATTAGACCAAGATGGTAGATGTTTTATTTTTTATTGTTATTTTACATTATGTAAATCTTCTAACTATGAATATAATAGCTAATGGCGCTGCTATTCAACAATATCTTCTTGATAAAACAGGTCAACGTACTGTCCCCAATATCTTCATTAATCAACAACATATTGGTGGTTGTGATAGTTTATTGGCTGCTAAGAATAATGGCAGTCTTCAAAAACTTCTTGCTTAAAAAAATAAAAATAAAAATAAATATTCATTTGTAAAAAAAAAAAAAAAAAAAAAAAAATTATTATGCAATGTCCAATAAAAAAATAACATATAAATATACTTTGTTATTGGTGTTTCTTTCTTTTTCTTTTCTTTCTGCTAGTACTCTACTATTTGATTCTATTTCTATGCCACAAGTAGCTGAAGAAAAAGCTGGCCCAACAATTCAGTGGGGTTCTTTTCCAACACAAGTACTTACAGTGCAAGATATTTTATTAGACTCTCCTGTTTGGAGAATAACTAAATCACAACTGGAAGATCAATTAGATGCATTTGAGAGATGGGCCGACGACTTTATTCCTGCCTTGAAAAATTATATCGATAGTATTCAAAGTGGGTTTATTTTCCTTTTGTGTTGTATAATAAACAAACAAATAACATGATATTTGTATAGAGTATAATATACAGGCAAATACCTTATGTAAACGTACTTTTTTTAATGGTTTTCTAAACGATAATTATACTTTAATGGGTAATTTATATATACACATACAAACCATACATTGATTTATATAAGGATGATTATTTAACCTTTTATTTTTATATAAAAGATAATAAGGTAGCCTGTGATGTAATTAATACATTTGCTAGTACCTTAGAATCTTCAATATCAGAAAAGTCAAAAATGGTAAAAGAGATTCCATTCATGTAGATTAGATATAGATATATTCGCCATGTATTAGTCTAATAAACTTATATAGGTGACTGAATTAGAAGAGACACTATTAAATCCACTACAAAATAGGATGAAAAATCAATTTAAACAATACAAAGTAAATTACACTCTATATGATATATTTTATATATTAATATATCTTTATATATATGTGTATAGGATACGCGGAAACAATTCGAAAAACAGTTTGATAAATATGAATCTCAACAATCAAAATTTTATACAATGAATAAACAAGCTAAAGAACCTAGTGCTTTGCGTGAAGACGCCTTTCAGCTATATGATGTTCAAAAAGCTTACGCGCAATTAAGTATGGATTATTTTTTGGCTTTAGTAAAAGTGAAGAGTCAAATTGAAGAATTTCTTGTGGAAGGATTTTCATCAGATAATGATACTTTATCATCAACTTGGTTGACTGAGCATAAAATAATGCATAATTATAGAAGTGTTCAACAGCATTATGCTGAGGTATTAGACTTATTTCTTGCCAGTCAAAAACCAGTTCGCTCTTTAAATTATTATCGTAATCATAATCATAATAATAATAGTAATAATAATAATAATAATAAAGCCGATCAAGAAACTAATGTTCGATGGTCAAAACAGGGCTATTTAAATTATCGTATTACTTCTACATCTTGGAAACAACGTTGGTTTTTTATAGAACAAGGATGGTTTGGTTCTCTTGTAGTTACAATAAATAAAAGGCAAACAAAAAAGAAAGAATGTGTTATGTTAGATATTCTATTTCCTGTAAATGAGCTTGATTTATATGAAGGAATATACGATAATCGACGTCATTCATTTCAAATTATACATCATTTATCAAATACTATCTTTTATCTTCAAGCACAAACTCAAGATATATTAAATTTATGGATATCAGCATTTAAAACTAACAAATATTATAAGGAGCAAGGGCAAAAGCAAGAGCAAGAGCAAGAGCAAGAAGAAAAAAGAATACCTAAATTTATGTTATTACCAAAACAAGTTTTTACTTTCGATGAAAAGACAACTCATGCTGTGAAAATGTCGACTGTCGTAAAACCTATAATAGATGAAACTTTAGCTGCAGTGTCTAGTTTAACCTTCCTCTTAATTCAAGAGTACAAAGTTCAAATTTCCCAGAAGGAGGCTTCTGTTCTTTCAAATGAACAAAACAATACTATTTCAAATTCTCCTAATACTGCTGCTGCAAGAGCATCTTGGAGCTCTTGGCTTCTTTCATCTACAGGGCTTAATTCTCTTTATTCGACTTCATCGAATCCTTCCTCCTCTGAGCAATTAGACCAAACTTCAATGATAACAGACTTACCTAATCAACAAAATGAAGATATCACCCTGATCTGGCCATTCCAAAGAGCCTTTAAAATTCCCAACAATTATTCTGACTTTCTTCTAGAACGTCAAACTGAGCTTTCTTTGTTATTCTCTATACCATCTAATGAAATCGTTCTTGAATCTTGTCTTGCAACACTTTATAGTACCTGTTCTATCTTTGGTACATTATATATCACACAACACAACATCTTTTTCTATAGTTGTCTCTTCATGACTGATATTCATATCCTCATTATACCCATTTCTAACGTAAAGTCCGTTTCCTTGGATGAAAGTAGTTCAATTTTAACTATAGATGCATCCCATGAATTTCGATTAAGTCCATGGACAAATAGTGAAATAGTTTTACAAAGACTCAAATTAATTATAGAAGCTCACAATTCTGATTTGCATTTGCAGACATTATATGACGAAGTTATAGCAGTAAGCAATAAGATGATGATGATGATGATGAAGAAGAAGAAGAAAAAGAATAGGTCGTTACCAACACAGCACGTTACATCAAGTAGTGCATTATTTGCTTCAGTGACACCTTTAACAGTTCAAGCGCAACAGCCTGTTATGGATTCTGCATCCCTTTTAGAGGACTCTAGTACAGTAAAGGATGTGAGATCTACAACTCCACCCGTCGTAGCGGGGTCCCCTGCACAAACTCGGTTAGCTGCCGTTGTTGCTAAAAATCAAAAGGAAAGGATCACCAAAAGACAGTCCAGGCATGATACATTGAATCTTCCTCCTTTTAACCCCGTTGAGTGTAATTGTAAATCTCATCTTGAAAAAATAGAAGCAAGTGTGTCCTTCAACTTTAGCCCTGAACGTCTCTTTCATCTTCTCTTTGAGACTCCAGAATGTTGGATTCGTTTGAATGCAATGAAAGGCTTTGGTAAACCCCTTTGGTCACCACCCACACTTAAATACTCAATGCCTGTGTCAAATGCGATGGTGAAGGCTAAACAGACCAACGTGATCGAGACATTCTCGGTCATTGAGCAACAGCCTCCTTATCTGTATGTCGTCAGGGTCACAACCGAAACTCCTGGATTACCCTATGCAGATAGTTTTAAACCCATTATTCAATACTGTCTAACGTCTACTGACAAGGGCTGTCATTTGAAATGCTCCATCGGCGTTGAATGGCTAAAGACTGTATCCTTCTTAGTGAAAGGAATGATCCATCATGCAGCAATAAAAGGAATGCAAGAAACGGTACATAAATTACTGCCAATTATTAAGGAACAAACTCAATCTATATCTAATGAAGAAGGAGGAGGAGGAGGAGAAGAGCAACCACCTCTACAAAATACTATTGAAGTTCAACAAGATATACAACCCAAATTACCACGAACTATAGTCGTCTTGCAGTTAGTACTTGCTCTCGTACTCATCTTTATGGGCCTTTGGATATCCACTAAATATGATTCATTACAATTGTGTATGCAACATCCAGCAAATGCATCGATCGTATGGCGTGGGGTCTATTTACATGATTTAAAGAATCAACTCTCTCTAAATCATAAAGAGATCGTTAGAGATGATTGGATGCTACAAGAGCAGTCATTAATAACAGTTGAGCTTACTTATGCAAAGCAGAGATTAGGTGCTATAAGATATGATTTATTATCAGCTTGGCAAATCTTAAATAAGGTAGAGAGTGATTTGATAGCGACAGAACTATCGATAGTAGATAAGGAACCTAAGTCATGATCTGCAAAATTCATAAATAACAATAATAGTAATAAAAAATGCACAAATATATATTAAATATTATTTCATTAAAGAAGTATGTATTGATATTAAATCATACATACAACAAGTTTATTGTTAGTGAATATATGATTTAAAATATATAATAATAAAGCGAATGACGATATATTTAAAACTGACATAGTTTTATAATACTACTAATTTTATAAAGAATCTCGATTATATACATGTGTATCATATTATTTATTGTATATGAAAGAAAAAAAAATCAATAAAATATGATGTTATTTTCAAAACAAATAGCAACATGTCTTTATTTAATAGCTAACTTCATGCAAATTTATATACTTTTATCTTAAAGTTGACCTTTTTTAATGCTGTCATATTCAGAGTAAAAGGCTTCAACTTTTTTCTTGCAAAAAAAAAAAAAAAAAAGAAACTATATATTCACTCATATATAATTCAGTTTGCCTTTCTGCGGAAAGAACAGCCTTCAGTTAAACGAGCACGACCACCCGTGGGTTGACAAAGAACAGTACCGCAAGAAGAACACAAAACAACAGTTTGAGCATGACTGAAAACAGTGCTGATATTCAAACAACCTATTAAAAAAAAATTAATCATATATTTCAGCCGCAGTAACATTTGGAATTTACCTGGACATTTGACATCCATAAAGTAGGAATCAGGTGATTGAACAAGTCTCTTGAGTTTATGGGAGCGCTTTTCGTGTTCAGCAGAAGGATTAAGAAGATCAGCAGCCAACTATAAATACATATTTATAAAAAGTTAATAATAGATTCATTATCGTTTTAGACACACTGTTTTCTCAGATAAAATGAATGTATGCAGCTTTATTGTTATTTCCTTACACACAAAGATAATATGAACACTTTTTTTGTCTATCATATAAAAAAAAAAGGATCTTTTTTCCTTTTTTCCTTTTTTTTTTTTCTTATTAATAGACATAAAAAAAATCTTTAATCGTTCATTTACGTAGTAATGATTATATTTCTTTGTACATTCTAAAAAATCTTTGTTCAATAAAATAGCATACACTGTTTTCATTTTATATATTAAAGAGTTTATTTCAGTGTGTCCTTCAACGTATAAATGTGTTTATGTCTATATTGAGGATTACATACAGTCATTTTAAGTAATCTTTCAAACGCTCAATGAAAAAGAAAAAGAAAAAAGAAAATAATATTTGCAAACATGAATATGATTATATAATGAATAAAGTTAGTTTGTCCGGCCCGCGCTACTTAATTAGCTCTCTTTTTATTATTTGTTAGTTAGATCAAAGTAGCCACTCATACTGCTTGGCAATTGTTTTCTTTTTCATCATAAACTTATTACTAGTAGTGGTATTAACCAATTGATTCATTGCACGTTGACGAAGTGCAACCATAATGTAATTGATATCCTTATCTTCGCCTTCATATTTTAATATCATCTTTCTTAACATCGTCACATTTTCTGTTCTTAATTTCTTCAACTCAAAAATTCGTTCCTTACGCTTCCACATACCTCTTCCTAGTACTACAGCATCAAACAATCGCCATCTTCCTAATAAATCCTTAAAGTTTCGATAACGTTCATCAATTGACGTGACATGATACCATACAAATATACCTAATGTCGCTATGCTATTTATAAATCCTAAAATAGTACCACCAAATAAGCTGTACCAGCCCCAAATGAAGGCTATTAAATAAATTATAGGCACGAATGCTAATCCTAAGAAAATCTTGTTTTGAGCCCTCACTTCCTCGTAAATTTCAAAATGACCTGCAAGATGACCGGCGATATAAAGAGGTAAATGAGCAATAAGTCCGGGTAAAAAGAGAGGAAGATCGATGAGACTAGCTACTGTTTGCTTAAGTAAATCAATAGTGGTGGTAATGGCAGTAATATTTTTTTCGTTGTATTTTGCAATTTGTGTATCCTTGAGAAGAAGAGATTCAAGTTCGAGTTTATAAGTGATAAGACTTTTTGAAGTGTAGCGATTTCAATATCTCTGTTGGCAAGACGAGTCATAGCATTAATTAAACTGGAGTAAAGAAGTATATCAAGTTAATTATAGATCGAAATGTGTTATCTTTTTATGCATACCTCTGAGTAATTGGTACATAGTCTGATACAAGACGGTGCTGCTCACCAGGAAATAATAACCATCTTGCCATATCTGCAGCATATTTACTATCCCAATTAGGTGCATTTACTGTCAATTGTTCAATAGATTCTTCTAGCAACTTTGTCAATTCTTTAGCTGCCTTTTTAGGATCTTCTAAATATAAGGGCAGTAATTGTTCAACATAAATAGGTTTACCGTACCTTTAAGGAAATGCTTAATTATATAAACATGATAGATTTTATATGCTATTACTTACTTTACAATGACATTACTCCGATATTTCGATTTCTCAGGATATACGATACCTACAGGTAAGATAGGTGCATATTTATGAAGACCTTCCTCTTGGTTGATTTTTGCATATTCCAAAGCAGCCTATTTTTTTTTTTTTTTTTTGTTAAGGATATTATACCATTAATCATATATTCCTATAAAGAAAATTCCTATAATATACTTTACAAAACTAGCTCCATCTTTAAATTTACTTAGTTGAGGTAAAGTGTGACTTGTTCCTTCAGGGAACACAGCTACAGCTTCACCCAATTTTAAGACTTCGAAGGTAGCTGCATACAAGTGTGCATTATTTTTGGTTGTTCTATCTACAGGGACTACACCACAATCGCTTAAGAAGCGAGCAACATAAGAATTTTTGAACATTGTATTTTTCGCCCAATAATGTAACCGACGCTTATTTGGAAAAGTAACTGATAGAACAGCAGGATCCAAAATCATGTTATGGTGAGTAGCAGCACTATATAGAATTATAAGCTATGTTATATTTGATTACTACAATTGCCTTACATTATAAAAGGTTGAGACTCTGGAGGTATATTCTCTATCCCTTCAAGCTTTATTTCACTAAAGAATGACCAAAGTGCACTTCTCGAAATTAAAATAACTAATTCATGATTAAACCCAAATGGCATTTTATTTTTATTTTTTTTATTTTTATTTTTTAATTAAAAATGAATTAAAATAGAAGAAAGACTTAGACTTGAGTTTTTGGGGTTGGGTTAACAATAGGACGGACTCTTAAAAAATATATTCATTTTATTAAATCACAAGATCTTCTTATTCTTCCAGTTAGAGTATGACAATAACAATAACAAAAAATTGGTGAGCATCTTTTTTTTTTGCTTTCCTTTTTTCTTTCTTTCTATCTATTTAATAATGACTGAGGAGGAACCAATAACAAGTGCTACTTCTACTTCTTCTAAAACTAAAAATAGTGCCGCTGCTGCTACTGGGTTGCAACAACAAAAAAATTCAACATCCTCTCCTCCTATAGTAGTTAATAATGCGCCTGATTCAATTCCCTCTTCTGTAGCTGTAGCTGCTACTGCTGCAGCGCCGTCTCTACAACCAGCAGCGGTTTCAGTTCCCGGTCCTCTTCCCATTAATAAGCCTATACAACAAAGATTACCACCAATATTGCCACCTACAGTACTTCCTCGACAAACAAGTTTCTTAACAACAATTTTAGAGAAACTACATTTAGCTCCACGATATCATCAACCGCAAGCTATTACGATGAGAAATGGAGTAGTAACCCAACCGCGGTTGCCACAATCACAAGTTAATGTCGCTAATAATATACAGATACCTACAACTATTCAACAACAACAACAGCAGCAGCAACAGCAGCAGCAACAACAACAACAACAACAACAACAGCAACAACAGCAGCTACAGCTACAGCAACAGCAACATCAGTATCAACAACAGCAGCTGCTGCCTCTATTAACTAACCTAGCCACGATACCTCAAATTCCTTTACAAAACACGAGTTCTTCTTTTAATCAACAACAGCAACTATTAAACTTATTACTTTTAATGAATCAACAGCAACAACAACTTACGCATCATAACCATTACAATCCTATGCTATTGCATAATCAGTCCTATTACTTACCACAACAACCACTACAACAACAACAAGCCTATTACCCGTATTACCATCAACAAAATTTACCTTATTATCATTGGTTATAAGAATTTCTTAATGCTATCAATACCGAGCGGCTTTAAATTTCTAAAATAAAATATAATAAATTCTATCTTTCTCTTTCTCTCTCTCTCTCTCTTTCTCTCTTTTTTTATTATTGTTATTGTTAATTGTTAAGTTATGGATTCACAGCTTATAAAAACAGGTGACTATAGTCAACGACTTTTTTTTTTTTTTTTTTTTTTTCAATGAATGCCTCTATTAACTTATTCATACATAGTCAATAAGCTCCAGGATGCATTTGTCACAGTAGGCGTTCACAATCCGATTGACCTTCCCCAAATTACAGTTATTGGTTCCCAGTCAAGTGGTAAAAGCTCAGTTCTAGAAAACATTGTAGGACGTGATTTCCTTCCTCGTGGCTCTGGTATTGTGACTCGTCGACCTTTGGTAAATTATAAACACGATTATACAATTGGTTAATTCATGTATGCAGATAAATATATATATATTTATATAATTAATCTTTACTATTAGATTCTTCAACTTATTAACCGACCTGCTTCTAAAGATGACGATGAACATTCAGAATGGGGTGAATTCCTTCATTTACCTGAGAAAAAATTCTATGACTTTTCAAAAATTCGTGAGGAAATTATCAAGGACACTGAGCTTAAGACAGGTCATAAATCTGGTATTTCACCACAACCTATTAATTTACGTATCTACTCTCCCAATGTTTTAACATTAACATTGGTTGACTTGCCTGGTCTTACTAAAGTGCCTGTTGGAGACCAGCCCAAAGATATTGAAAAACAAGTACGTGACATGATTCTCAAGTACATTAGTAAGCCCAACTCAATTATTTTGGCAGTGACGGCTGCCAACACAGACTTGGCTAATTCGGATGGTCTCCAACTTGCACGCGATGTCGACCCTGAAGGATTACGCACAATTGGTGTTTTGACTAAAGTCGATTTGATGGACGAAGGTACAGATGTGATTGATATCTTGGCGGGTCGAGTTATACCATTACGATTAGGTTATGTGCCTGTCGTGAATCGTGGTCAACGCGATATTGATCAGCACAAGTCTGTCACAGAGGCTCTTAAAGATGAACGTGAGTTCTTTGAAAGACATCCAGCCTACCAGTCTAAATCTCAGTACTGTGGAACCCCCTTTTTAGCACGCAAACTGAATATGATCTTAATGCATCACATCAAAAATACGCTACCAGAGATAAAAGCAAAGATACAGGCTGCTCTTGTCAAATACCAGCAGGAGTTAGCTGCTTTAGGAGAACCTACAGATAGCGGTGATGCAAATGTGATCTTGAACATTATCTCTGAGTTTTGTAATGAGTTTAGGTCGGTCATTGATGGAACATCAACTGAATTGTCAAATTTCGAGTTATCAGGTGGTGCACGTATCAGTTTTGTCTTTCATGAATTGTATGCAAATGGAATTAAAAATATTGATCCCTTAGAACAAGTGAAGGATGCTGATATTCGCACTATCCTTTATAATTCATCAGGTTCCTCACCTGCTCTCTTTGTAACAACCACTGCCTTTGAAGTGATTATCAAACAGCAAATCAAGAGACTAGAAGAGCCAAGTGTACGTTGCATCAACATGGTTTATGATGAGTTAGTACGTATCTTGACTCAATTGTTGGCTAAAACAGCTGTATTTAAACGATTTCCTGTTCTTAAAGACAAATTTTATCAAATCATCTTGGGATTCTTTAAAGGGGCTTTAGATCCTACGACAAAACTAGTGAAAGATTTAGTCGATATGGAGACATGCTATATTAATACAGCACATCCTGATTTTTTAAACGGACATCAGGCGATTGCTGCAGTAAATGAGCAAATAAAGCATCGTCAAACGAATGAACAACAACATTTAAATAAGGCAGCCAGTAAAACATCAACAGTAACACCGATAGCAACAGCAATGAGTGAAGATTCATCAAGTCATGGATCCTTATTTGGAAGCTTTTTTTCTGGACATAAAAAGACATTATCATCTTCATCAATTCCTAAAAGAACGGCTACAAGTATTATGGAAACTGTAAGCTATATAACTTATACATACATATATATATATATATATATATACTAATGAATAGCTTTATTTAGCCACCAGCTACGTTGAAAGCTACAGGTGCGTTATCAGATCGAGAATATATGGAAACTGAGGTTATCAAGTTATTAATTCAATCTTATTATAATATTGTTAAGAGGACAATGATTGATATGGTACCCAAGGCTATCATGCTTAATTTGGTGAGTCGTTCTAAAGAAGAACTTCAACGCGAATTATTAGCACAACTTTATCAACATGATGTTTTAAATGATTTATTAAAAGAATCAGAATTTACAAAACAGAGAAGAAAAGAGTGCAAGGATATGATTGAGGTATGAAATAGTAGAGAAAGAAAGAAAAAAAATAGACTTAGTAATATGTATGTATACATATTTATTTATTATTAGGCATTGCAAAAAGCAAATGAAATTGTTGGATCTATATAAGAAGCAGTGTGATATAAAAATGCTTGGTAGAATAGTATGAAATAGATATAGTATAGACATGATAATTGAAAAAAAAAATAAAAATAAAGAGGGTGTTTTTTTTTTTTTCTGTGAAAGTACTATACTACTTTGCTTTCATTTAACTTTTACATTAAGAAATGAAAGGAATATACTGCAATGGTTCATTTGTGCTTATGAGGAAGCTATTTAAGTGCTTTATTCGTAAATGTAATAATTAATATTGTATTTCTAGTGAATCATTTGAGATGAATATAATATAACAAGCTATGTGCATATGTATAATTATACAACATATATGGCTTCAAAGCTATATATGAAAGCGGTTAATTACATCATGGAATATTCTTAAAGGACTTGATGACATACATTCATTCATCTATCTTTATTATCAGCAGTATGACTAAATAATAATAATAATAATAATCAACTAGCAAATACTCAATTAAGTAATAATGTAATTGATTTACGTGATAGTTTTATTTTACAGCAAGTTTAATTCAACCTTTCTTCTAATTGGACAATCTTGAAACTCACGTCATCATTCATGTTCCGACTAGCTTTTTTTTTTTTTGACTTATTTTCATAAACCCCACATTAATGTTTTACCATTGCGATTTATTGTTTATTCTACTAGCTTTTCATAATGGCCTCCCCACTCATCACAAGGACATCAGCTGCATTTTTACGTTCTACACAACGACCTCTCGGTATTTTTGCACGATTCAACTCTTCTAATTCTAAAGACATTCAACATTTGGCTCAAGAGCCTCTCAGGACTGTAGAAAACCTTTCAGGAGCACCAGGTAAACAACACTTGAAATTATGACTAATTTAATTTTGTTTGTAATTGTTATTCTTTTTTTTTCTTTTTCTTTTGATGGGGGGGTGTGGATAGAGGAATTATTGGACAGAACTGTTCGAATTTTCAGACCTGCTCGTTCATCTCCTCAACAAGGTAAAAATGGTACAAGACTTTGGCGTATCGAATTTGATATTTTAGAAGAAGGAAATAGATGGGAAAACCCTTTAATGGGTTGGGCTTCTAGGTATAAATGATAGTTTTATTTTACTTGTTATTTATTTATACATGGTTTTTTTTTTCTTAGTTCGGATTATCAACAAGCTTTAGCATTGAAGTTCTTTTCTAAAGAAGATGCTATTCGTTTTGCCGAAAGACAAGGTATATTTCATAATATATCCCTTAAAAAAAAAAAAAAAAAAAAAAAAAAAAAAAAAAAAAAAGACAACGCCTTTACTAAATATATTATTTATAGGATGGAATTATTATGTTCAGGAACCTAAGGTTACAAAATTCCTTAAGAAATCATATGCTGACAATTATCTTTATTCACCTACAAAATTAAGAATGATCAAAACCAAATAAATTATTTTATTTTCTTTTCTTTTCTTTTTTATAAATGACTTTCATCCATCCTAATTTGTTGCTTATTGTTAAAAACAAAGCTAAGAACATGCCAAATTGTCTTGACATAACAAAATTCGATTTGATCACGTATTATATTGGGCACATCTTCAATATCTCGTTTATTTTTAAACGGTAAGATAATTCTACGTATACCGGCTCGGTGAGCTGCAAGCACTTTAGATTTGACTCCTCCAACAGGTAGAACCTGGCCTCGAAGTGAAATTTCCCCTGTCATGGCTGTTGTAATTGGAACTGGTTTGTTTGAATAAAGCGAAATAAGTGCACATACAAGTGTAATACCTAAATAAGTTTCTTTATTTAAGAAAAAAAAACTTTCTTTTTTTTTATGCTTTCAATTTTTTTTTTTTTTACCTGCACTAGGGCCATCTTTGGGAATGGAGCCACTTGGAAAATGAATATGAATATCATCATTTTCAACCATTTTCTCTTTTGAATGAGATACTAAGCCTAAAGTATAGGCGTTAGATTTGACCCAAGATAAAGCCAATTGTGCTGATTCCTGAATAACAGTGCCGAGCGATCCTGTCAAATGTAATTGGCCATTACCTGGCATTTTAGTAGCCTCAACAAATAAGATACTACTATTACCCTGATTCATGTAAGCTAAGCCAATTACAACACCAGCATATGCTTCTCTTTCTGTTACTTCTTTTTCAAACTTTGTATTCTTTTTGGGGAAAAAAATAAAAATAAATAAAGAAATAAAGAAAAATTATGTCTACTCTCTCTTTTTTTTTTTCCTTTACCCCTAATATTGATTCAATATGTTTAACCTCCACATTTGGTTCATATTGCTGCTGTGATGTAGTAAACTGCACACATTTAGCACGTACAGTAGCACCTAATTGTCTCTCTAGCTCACGTACTCCACTTTCTCTTGTATACCTTTCAATTATAAATAGTATTGCTTGATCATTGATTATGACTTGATCTAGCCTCATACCATGATATTGTATTTGTTTTGGAGCCAAATGTCGTTTTGTAATATCCAGTTTTTCTTCGATCGTATATCCTTCTAGCTCAATCACTTCCATACGGTCTAATAAAGGCGCAGGAATTGTATCCAAGTTATTGGCCGTTGCCACAAACAGGACCTGAGATAAATCAAAGGCCACATTAAGATAGTGATCATTAAAGGTTGAATTTTGCTCTGGATCAAGCACTTCTAAAAGGGCAGCAGCAGGGTTTCCATGCTGTGAATGATGTACAAGTTTATCTATTTCATCTAAAAGGAGTAGAGGATTATTGACTTGACATTTGCAAAGTGCTTGAATAATAAGACCTGGCATAGCACCAACATATGTACGACGATGCCCCCTTACAGAACAAATAAATAAATATACACTTTATTAATAGATATTATACCTTATTTCTGCCTCATCTCGAATTCCGCCTAATGAAATACGATGAAATTTTCTTTGCATCGATTGAGCAATCGACTTTCCTAAAGATGTCTTGCCTACACCAGGCTAAAATATTTCAAAAAAGTAATTAAATATTATTATTATTATTTCATAGTATCTAAACTTACTGGGCCCACAAGACACAAGATAGGTGCCTTTAAATCCTTTTTTGTCTTCAATACAGATATATACTCAATGATTCGCTTCTTGATTTTTTGCAATCCAAAATGATCAGCATCCAATTGTCGTCTTGAGCGGTCTACGTCGACTATTAAAGCGCTAGAACGACACCAGGGTAAGTCTGCTAGCCAAGTGAGGTAGTTATATCCAACAGCCCATTCAGAATTGGTTAGTTGCATTTTCTTTAATCTTTTTAGTTCACGCTGAGCAATACGAATAGCATGTTCTGGTAAATTGGCTTTTACTAAACGTTGATTTAATACAGCGATATTATCATCATCATTATCATTATGACTATTAGTTCTATCCTCTTGTAAAGCTTCCAACTAGTATATAGAAAATATATGAATATGTATATGAATATGTATATGTATCTATTTACTTGTTGACGAAGATAGAATTCACGCTGGTGTCGTGTTAGTTTTCCTTCTAGTGCTCCTCCTAAAGCCCCAGAAATTTTTAGAACACTCAGTTGTCTCATTAAATATCCACATATCATCTCTAACCTCGTTGTTATATCATGTGTCTCTAACATTTTCAAACGTTCTTCATAACTTGTATCAATGATAGACGTCAAGAAGTCTGCAAAGTCAGAGACTGAATGTGAGCCCCTTATTTTGATCAGTTGTTCCAACAGATCACTTGATATCCTATGTTGTTTCATGATCTCTATCAAACTCTCTGTTAGGTTTATAAATTTTCTATTGAATAGAGTTGTGGCTGTAGATGGATAATCGTAATGAAGGACATGGACTGTCCAGTAATTAGCGAAAGGCATAGAGGGTGTATTTTGAGTGAATCGATCCAGTTTGAACCGACAAATTCCCTCCACAAAGACACCAAAGAGATTAGTTCCTGATCTTTGAACGCGTACAATACGTGCTAGACATCCAAAACCAATAAGACGATATCTGTCTCTGATTGAGACTAAGTTGTTGCTGTCTGCTATTGACATATTTGAGGGTAAGGGTACTTGAGGTGCCTGTGAAACGATAGCATCATCATCATCATCATCATGATTCTCTTCTCCTTGTCTTAAAGGAATACAAGCAACATAAATATCTTGCTGTATAGAAGATGAATGCTGTTTAAAATAGGCTTTAGTGAGTTCTGCTGCTTGTTTACCACGAATCAAGAGACGTAAAGTAATAGCAGGTAATAATATCTCATTATTATGTAAAGGGACTACGATCAATTTTTCTGGATAATCGTACATACTAAGAAGAAGATAATAAGAGAAGAGAAGAGAAAAAAAAAACAAGAAACTACCTATGCTTTGTAGTTATAATTCACAATAGTGTCACGAGAAAGAGGGGACTATTAAAAGTTATTTAAAATAAAAGGTGGGAAAGTTGCACATACGACTATTGAAATTCGGGTTTTATTCATTTATTCTTCATGTATAAAGTGATTAATTCATCAGAGGCATAAATATGGTTGATTTGTTCTGTTATTTCAAGTAAAGCTAATTTAATGACATCTTCTAATAAGAGTAAATTCAAGCTAAATGGCTCTGGTGACTTTGTTTTTTTGTTGCTTTCACTTTCACTTTCACTTTCGCTTTCACTTTCATCTTCTTCTATCCATAGACCAATTGCGTACCAATCCACTTCCTTTAATTCTTCCTTTATAATCTCAGGTGCAACATCTTTTACTTTAACTAATTTTTCATCTTCCTTTTTATTATTATTATTATCTTGTTTACTAACTTTGAATACAAGAACTGGTGATTTTGCATCCTCGATATTTAATAATTGTCCACTCTGTGTATAATACATGCGGTTAATATGCCCTACATCTACAATACGTTTCGTTTCTTCTTCATCATCATCGTGATATAGACCATCATTTTTATCCACTGTTATTACCATCTCATATCCTTTACTATCACCTTTTTTCTCTTTGATAATCAAATCTGCTTTATGAAACTCTTCTTTCCATGTAAAATTATTTGCTGATGATCTTAAATTAGCTGAAAACAGTGAATAGAGTTTAATTCGAAATGTAGCAGCTTCATGGCCAGTTAAGATATGGGATGCCTGAATGAGTTTAGCAGGATCAATGGCTTGATTGACTTTATTTTCGATGGAACGTAAGGCCAAGTGTAAAGAAGGTATAGCATCATCAACATTAGCAATCAGTTGACGGAGACGCGTTTTGACTTGATCTGCATCTGTTAAGGTATTTGTTGCAAAAGTATCCAAGTCTAATTTGAGGTCATTGCAAATTTCTAAAGCGGGTTCTAGATCACTATTTCCGTCTGCTACAGATCGAGCAATAATGTCAATAGTTGGCTATACTTGGAAAAAAAAATAAGTATGTGTGTATATGTGCGTATCTTATCAGTATGTTATGTTTATATACAATGTACCTTGAGATTTTTGATTTTGAGATCAAGATGACGTTGAAGAGTACGAATCTCTTTTGAATCAGGTTTATTTTTTGGTAATTGAGTTGTAATGTAAGAAGTAACATTTTTCTATAATGATAAAGTTAGATATACTTCAATATTAGACATGTTTACTTACAATAGCAGCATTTGTTGCATGACTTAAAGCTATTCTAGATACTGTTGTTACTGTAGTTAAAGCTAGTTTTCCAATTAAGTCCTCTATACTTGACATTTTTTTTTATCTAGAAAAAAAAAAAATATGTTTCTGTAAATATCTCAACACCAAAAACAATTAAATTCTGGGTTTTTTTTTTTCTGCATAATAAAATTGAATTATTTATTTCTTTACTGTCTTTGAAACAATTAAAAATATCTTTGTCTTTTGTATAAAAAAACGACTTGCGTGTATAATAACAAGCATGTGTTATATTAAATATACGCAATAAATAAAGATTCTTCTTATTTATTGAATATTGACAACTTTAACTTTATTCATGATTAAGTCAAGAAGTCTTCTTCTTCAATAACAAACAAGTAATAAATAATATCATCTGATGCTGCTTTGTTACTCTGGATTTCAAAAGGACTTTATTTTTACATCTCAATTTAACAAAATCTTTGTTATGCAAAGATGACTTTCATTCTTCTTTTAATACTGAGTTTTATTTTCTTGAAAAAACGAAAAAAAAAAAAAAAAAGCAATAACTCGAGTTAGTCCCTTATTTAGGATATAAAAGGCAAACTCAAACAGAAAATTCTAATTTATTATATTTTTCTCCTTCTTCTTCCTCTTTGTTACTTTATCATATTATGACTACTAACAATAGCGTTTCTACTTTTCAAGAAGAAGTTTCCCCTGGACGTGTCTTGACTATGCCAGCTGATGGTACCGGTCTTTCTGTCATTGACCCTTGGTTAGAACCCTTTAACGGATCACTTAGAGAAAGGTAATATCTGTTTGTAGTTTATTAAATTTATGAGAGTAGGGGAGACTCATGAATATTGAATTGTCTTATAATAGATATGCTATGTTTAAAAAGTATGATGAAAGTATCAAGTCTTCTTTGGGTTATGAAGAATTTACGAAAGGTTATGAATATTATGGTTTAAATGTTCAGTCTGACAATAGTGTTATTTATCGTGAATGGGCCCCTAATGCTGTTACAGCTAGTTTGGTGGGTGATTTCAGTAAGTTTTGTTGGGGATAAGTAATGTGGAGGGGTGGGGGATGGAAAATAAAAAAGTGGTTTTGTAGCGGAGTCATTGTATATAAACATCTTTTTTTTTTTTTTTTTTTCCTTTTTTCGTTTAGATAACTGGGACGTAAATGCTCATGTTATGGTCAAAGATAAATTTGGTGTATTTTCTATTACCGTGCCTCCTACCAAAGACGGAAAAGTAGCTATTCCTCATGGAAGTAAGATAAAGGTAATATTTATATACTATATATACTATTCGATTTTTTTTTTAGTACTGGTTACCCATCTTTCTTTTTTATAATTTAGATTACAATGACATTACCTAATACTGGTGAACGCATTTATCGTTTACCTGCTTGGATTAAATATGTTACACAAGATCTTAGCGTAAGCGCAGCCTACGATGCTATCTTTTGGAACCCTGAGCAACAGTATGTCTTTAAAAACTCACGTCCTAAGAGACCTCAATCAATTCGTGTTTACGAAGCACATGGTAAAATAAACTAATTCCAAGAAGAAAAAAAGAAAATTCTGTATTAAATATATATGTATATTATATATTAATGATTCATTATCTTATCTATAGTTGGTATCTCTTCTCCCGAACCACGTTGTGCAACCTATAAGGAGTTTACCAAAAATGTCTTACCTCGTATTGCCTATGATGGTTATAATACAATCCAATTGATGGCTGTTATGGAACATGCTTATTATGCTTCCTTTGGTTATCAAGTGACTTCCTTCTTTGCTCCCTCGAGTCGTTATGGTACACCAGACGATCTTAAGGAACTTATTGATACTGCTCATGGTATGGGTATTACCGTTCTTCTCGATTTGGTTCACTCACACGCCTGTAAGAATGTGATCGATGGTCTTAATATGTTTGATGGTTCTGATCATTGCTACTTCCACGAAGGTGGCAAAGGACGTCACGACCTCTGGGATTCTCGTCTTTTCAACTATGGTAATTATGAAGTAATGCGTTTCTTAATGTCCAATTTGCGTTATTGGATGGACGTCTTCCAGTTTGACGGTTTCCGATTTGATGGTGTAACCTCGATGCTTTATAAACATCATGGTATCGGCTATGGCTTCTCTGGAGATTATCATGAATACTTTGGTGACACCGTTGACGATGAAGGCGTCATGTATGTTCAATTAGCTAATCATTTCTTACACGAGAGATACCCTGACGTGGTTACGATTGCTGAAGACGTCTCTGGTATGCCAGGTTCCTGTCGTCCTGTACGTGAAGGTGGGTTAGGCTTTGACTATCGTCTCTCCATGGCTATCCCCGATATGTGGATTAAGATGCTCAAGGAACTGTCTGATGATGATTGGAATATGGGTCATGTTGTTCATATCTTGACAAATCGTCGTTACCTTGAAAACACAATTGGTTATTGTGAATCTCACGATCAAGCTCTCGTAGGTGATAAGACATTAGCCTTTTGGTTAATGGATAAGGAAATGTATACCAACATGTCAGATTTGACCCCCTTGACACCTATCATTGACCGTGGTTTGGCCTTGCATAAGATGATTCGTATGATCACACATGGCTTAGGTGGTGAAGGTTATTTGAACTTTGAAGGTAATGAATTTGGTCACCCCGAATGGCTTGATTTCCCTCGTGCAGGTAATAACTCTAGCTTCCAATACGCTCGTCGTCAATTTAACTTGATTGACGATCACCTCTTACGTTACAAGTATTTAAATGAATGGGATCGTGCTATGCAAAGGACAGAAGATAAGTATGGATGGTTGCATTCCCCTCAAGGCTATGTCTCACGTAAAAATGAAGGCGATAAAATCATCGTCTTTGAGCGTGCTGGTGTCTTGTTCATTTTCAATTTCCATCCTACTCAATCCTTCGTAGATTACCGTGTAGGCGTGAATGAAGCTGGCAAGTATAAGATCATTTTAAATTCGGATGATAAACAATTCTTAGGCCATGGACGTGTAGATAATGATACAGAATTCTTTACTACACCTGAAGATTGGGATAGTAGAGCTAATTGGCTCCAAGTCTATATCCCTAATCGTACTTGTTTGCTTTTGGCAAAGGCAGACTAATTGAATTTTTACACATTTTATGGCATTTTTTTTTCTTTCTCTCTCTCATTTGGGTTTTTGTTACATATAAATGCATTGTCATAGGTTTATATAAATAAATAATCATATTATTATTATTTTCTGAATTATATTAATAAAAGTAAATTGTTATTATATACACATACATATACATATACATATTTAAAGAAGTGAAAGAAAGAAAATAAACTATGATTATTGTTTCAAAATAATATATTAGAGTGGTATGGTGCTGCAGCAGTATATATCACTATTCTATGGCACACAAACCTATTCAGGGTTTTTTTCATTAACATAGTTATACACCATGCTCAATTATGATGTACGTATACAATTGGAATAAGGTTACCGACTTGATTTCTCTGTTACTATTATTATTAAGCCTATATTATTATATTACAGCCTGCTAAGGGCAAAACCAAAACCAAAAAAAAAAAAAAAAGACGCATTAATATATACAAATATTAATATGAGTGGATTATTGTTTCTATTGAAATACAATATAGTCTCTCATAATAATAAATAGAGTATACATTACTACAACTGAGATAGTCAAGCAGAAAAGGAAGCAGTTAAAATAAGGTAGAAGAGGCATGTATGATATTATTACTTCTTAAACGTAGCATTTGCACAAAAGATAAAGTAATTACAATAAATATTCATAAAACACATCTTTATTATTAAGGGCATAAATTAATCTATATTACGTGTACAAAATCCTTTTATTTACGATACTTTAGATGGTTTAATTGCTCAAGACAACAAGAACGTACATATAAAGTGGTATAATAATGTTATCATTCTGTGTAGAGAAAGCTTCTAATAAACCTATAATATTAAATACAGTTTAGTATACTTTCTCTTCAATATAATATATATATATAAATATGTATATATATTACCTGCTAAAGTAATTATCACCAAGTAGCTCAACCACTTACCTCGGCCAGCCAAGGCAACAAATTGTACAGCATTGTCTACACTAATAATAGCCGCAATATAGACAACCACTATAGAACTTACAAAAATAGTCATAATAAATGCTATTGTACCTTCAACTGTCTTTTTTGTGCCTGGCCAAACGATACGACCCATATATTTTCCAACTAATGAAGCTGCCGCATCTCCAAAACCTAAAGATAAGATACCAGCAAGGCTTGCCAGCACATTTGAACTTCCGAGCCAAACAGGGCTTGCACATCCCAATAAAAGATAAATATGGCTCAAGATAACGGGCCCCAGATCGCGGCTATCAATGAATTCCGTCAAAAAGACATGAAGACTCTTTCCCCATGGCCAAATAGCGAAATATCTTAGGTATTCAAGATAAATAAAGCCTGATAATGCAACGCTAAAAGCCAATTGCAAGAATATTTTCTAAAAAAAATAAAATAAAATAAAATAAATAAATAAATACGAGAATACATCTTCATTCATGCCTAATGATAATTACCTCAAATAATACACCAGGTACAAACATAATAACTGCTAAGGCATGAAATAATTTTCGTTTCTTATTTAATGCACTCGTCAATATTTTCGTTTCTAGGCTTGAATAATAATCATGTGATGGTTGGGGATAAAAATCTAATACAAGGACCCAAATAACTACAGTTGTAATAACCATCAATGCCCAATATAAGCATAATACCATACGTGATGGTGACATGTACAGAAAATCGAGCGTCCTATAAAGAATAGAAGCATTAAATAGTTAGTATATTTGCAGTCCATACTTCTTTTTTTTAAGATCATTACCACATGAAAGGGTTTTCACCTGTAATCGTTTTACATAAAGGGGCAATAATAAAAAATACAATTATGGCTGTCAAAAAATAAAATGCAATACCGCAAATTATTTTGGCATTGTTTGTAGTTTTTATTGAAGAACGCCAATACGGTTTTTGAGCTAAACGTCTTGACTGTCGAAGTAAAGGATAAGTAAGGATACCGATAAAAATCATACCAACTACTACAGCATGACTTAGTACGGTAACTGTTGAAATATCACCATAATGAATATAGCTAGGCGCTTGTTCAGGATAATACTAAATATACATATATATTTATATGAATATACAATAAATTAGTTTTTTATCATAAATAATGTAGACAAGTTTTTTTTTTTCTTTTCTTTTTTTTTTTTTTTTTACCGCTGAATAGATGTATTCAGTTGCTCCATGTACTACAACTGCACCAGCTTGTGATATAATACACATTTCTCCTAACGTAAAACACTTCTTAAGAGTCACAACACAAATATATAAAAACCACTGAAAAATAGTGATAGAAAAAATGGTTAGATTGGTTGTTTGTTGTGATAATTGAGGAGTTAATGAAGTCCAATTTGTTAAAACAGTCGTACAGAGTGCAGCTACACAGATACTCGAAATAAATAAACCACGTTTGCGAATTATACGTTTTAGAGGATGTAAATAATCGTTAATAAAGACAAGTAGTAAAAAGAGAATACTCATGAATACTATAAGCTCTATTCTAACTTGAAGATAAGCTTTTATATGTATATGTATACATATATAATTCAAAGAAAAAAACTGTTAGTTCAAGCTATACTTGCCTTTATTATCACTATTTACCCATATAATATTCATCCATGGCATTATTCGATGCATCTATTAATTTAGCAACTGCTACCATAGGCAATAGTAAAACACCGCACTTTAACCCGTCATCTGCGTTGCCTCTAAATTATGAAGCAATTAGTTTAATATGTCAATTATTAGAACCATAATACTTACCTAAAAGACGATTTACTAGCACCAAAAATACGATTCATAGAATACACCTGTTGCTGCTTCATATTATGTATCCTTTTCTTTAGTTTTCCTTTATCATCTTCAGAAGAAGAATAGGCAGCTGCTGTTGTAGTTGCAGTTGTGCTACTACTGCTTGACTCGTCATGTTTCATTAAACCTCGTTTAGATTTTGTTGAAATGCGAACCAAGAGGATTCCTAACCAAATGCTACCAATCCAACCTAATGTAAATGATTTTATCAATACAAATGTATGTATATATATATATATTTCCGTTTATTTTTGCCTTCTCCTACCTGCTATAACATGATTATCAAGATAATGAATCTTGAACAACCGATAAAAAACCCAAAAAGATGATCCAATCCATAAGAGGGATTCTATTGATGCCATTTTGATTTTACTATAGCTAGACATGACATCATTATTGATAGTTGAAGAAAATTGCTGGTTGATAGTATGTGACTTTTTGCGTTGAATGACTAAGAAAGATTGAACGTCTTCGAGCGAAGAAGATGAAGCAAACCCTTCATCTACTTGTTTTGTCAAGAGATCAATATTAGGATCTACTTGTTGAGTATTATTGTTAAATAGATTCGACAGTGTTGATTGAAAAAAACAAAAAAAAACAAAAAACAAAAAAAAAGAAGAAGAATTATATATAAAATAGTAGACAAAAAGAAATAAAAAAGAAAAGAAAAAAATACAAAAATGATTTGTTGTGTAGTATTTCACAAATTAATGTGTTCAAAAAAAAAATGCATTTTTCACTACAAATCCTTTTTCAATATTGATAAATAAAATCTTTCTAATTCTTGATAATACTTGCTGTTTTCTTTATTTAAATTATTTTATTAGTATGCAATGCAGCATGGATATCTTTTCTTTATTATTATGTAATATTATTTTTGTTTAAAAACGCTTGTTAAAGCTATTTGTGGATCAATTTGAAGTAAAGAATAACAAACATGACGATATCCATTTTTTACTTCTCGAATACGATAAGATTTTTTTGACTTTTTAGTTTGTAATAACATGTCAATGTCCGTATCTAAATCACCTAAAACATGAATCTCTGATTTATCAATCCAACCCCTAAATAAAGAATAAGTTTATTATACTTCCAATGACGTGTATATATATATATATATTTTGAATTTACCAAGTATGTGAATCGCCAACAAGAAAGAATTGAACCAAGATTTGATGCGGTGGTTTTAATGAAAGGACATTTTCGGGTATTGTTTTGTTTGTCACAGAAGGATCTACAATCTAAACAATTGTATATTTATATAAGTTCAATTTATTCTGTTCAAACACATCTTTTATTTTTTCTTTATTTTTTTCATTTCTTTAATTATACCATTGCTGGATGGGGAGGGAATCCACGAACACGAGCCCAGACAATTTCTCCATCTTTGAATTCAACTTTTTTTTTAGTAACTGGAGTTGATGATCTTGGCGTTAATGATCTTGGAGTGGATGATCTTGATCTTGTTATTGTTGTTGTTGTTGTTGATGGTGATGATGATGTAAGCCTGTCTTTTTGGATATCAGGTACTAGATCATTTTCTTTCTTTATTGTTGGCTTCTCTTCTTGTACAGCACAAGGTGATGACATTGTTGCTCTCCTTCGTTTTTTTTTTAAGGATGTTAAATGTATTCCATTACTTATTGATGAATGAATCGGATCCTTATCAATCGTTCTTGATCGTAATTCGCGCTTATTTCTTTCTGTCATACTTCGCGTCACAATACGTATCGCTTTCTTTTTCTTTTCTTTTGGTGATGTACGGCGCTTCTTTCGACTTTCTTCATCATCTTCTATTGAAATGGCACGCTTCTTTCTACTACTACTATTATTATTATTACTAAGGGTTGCCTCTTCACTACTTAGACTGCTGCTGATACTATCCAACACATCAAGCTGGCTGTTGTCCTTGTTTTCAACAGTTGTTGATTTTTTTTCTTTACCGTATGTGAAAATATTTGGATCTATTTTAATGTCCAAGATACCTGTCTCTGGCACAATCTTTAATCCCTTGTAATCATATTGAGCCTGCGTTATCAATTCATTCGTTAACTTATCCAACTTTTGCGCAGCTTTGTAATAGATTGTATCCGTTTGATTATATGTCATACAGTTTTTCCAAATTAATTGCAAATCTGCCTCAAATTCTTCTATCGTCATATATTGATGCGAGACCATTTTTTCTTGCATTATAGAAAACGACATTGGACTTTCAATAATTTCATTATAATCAGGTGCAATATCCGGCGTCACTGGGTATCGAAAAAATTCACGTTTATCTGTTTCTATAAGTTGCTCAAGGATCCCTTGTAAAATATGCTCAAGAGGATAGAGAATGGTTTCTAAATAAGCCTTTTGTTTACGAATACGTTCAAGTTTTTGTCGTTCTCGCTTTTGTACTTGTTCAGAAAGCATTCTAACCTTCTCGAGGTCAGCACGTAAACTCATCATAGACTTAAAAAAAAAATAACAATGATAATAATAAATATACAGACATGCATATACATATATACATACATATATAATTGTCTTTTTTTTTTTTTTTTTTTTTTTTTTTTACACTTACAGATGCTTTATGCGCTTTCTCTACTTCTGTCTGTTTTAATTGAGATGCTGATGCTGTCCATGGTTCTAAATGAAGTCTCTTTAAAAGTGGCGCTCCTCTTCTTGACTCACGTTTTAAAGACCAATATCGACAAATACTTTCAATTAGCTCAGCTTTTTTCTTAAGTCGGCTAGCTTGTTTAACATGGGGTAAATTTTCTAGTTTGTGAATAATATATTCAGGCGCAATGGGTGCTGCTCCAGCCGTATACTGATGCTGATGAGCTCTTGCTGCCTTTGTAGCTAATAATAACATTTGTTCCTCTCCATGAAACTCATTCGTGTTTTCCTCTTTATCTTCTTCGTCCACATATCGTTTTTGTGGCATGATCCGTTTGTGTTGCTGATCTGCAAACCAATTTTGGGCCATGGCTACCATACGTTCAACATCCACTTGCTCCTTGTAATCACGAGGCGTATGGCGATCACAATAAGCCTTTAGGACAACTCCACTACTCGAATCATGATTACCATCGTCATTGCTCTCATCTTCGTCATGGTGATGTAGCAACTTCATACGCATGCAGAGCCTTGCCCATCGTGCACAGGTCACATGAAAGGCGACAAAACAATGCTTATTATCGCATTGAATGCAAGCACTGTGATGGCGACGTCGACGGCAAATATAACAGGTCAGTTTCCAACGACTTTTGGGTATGAGGGCTATATTATCAATTGGCTCCATATAGACAGAGTTACTGAGGGTGACTTCGGGTATCCAGATGGCACAGAGTAAATGTGCCCATTGATTCGTCGTCGTTTGTTTGAACGCACCTCCCTCAAAGGGGCAAAAGATGCAGGATACAGGGTTTTCGGGAGAAATCATACATTTTCTACAAAGCCATTGACCTTCAGGAATATAAGGTATACCATAGCAATCTATTATATGTTGTAAGTAAATAAAAAGCACTCTAATATATATATATAAAGGTATACGTAAAGTAATTACCTTGATGGACAGCCAGGTTACAGCCATCACAGAATACAATGGCGTTACTGTTTTCGCATTCTCCATCGTCACAAACAGCACATTTTGAATCCTCAGGTAAAAGGGGTTCTTCAGTTGGCTTTTTTGGTAAATTTTTAACCTAACACGAAAAGGGTATAAATAACTTAAAAAAAAATAAATAAATAAAAACACTTGTAAATAGAATACCAAATTGAACCATTCTTTTTCTAATTTGTCGATAATGGCTTCAAATAATTCACAAGAGATTTGCCCCACATTTTCCTTTTTACGCTCCTTATTATAAATCTTTAACCATGCTTCATCTATATTAGGACATGATGTTAAATTCAGCTCATATGCTACATATTTTGTCTAATCTAACCTTGTTCGTCCATATCATATTCAACCATTTCAAATAGTTCTTTCTCTGAAGGCTCTATAATTATTAAAGGAATGATAAGAAACGCCTGTTAAGTTAGTCATCTGTATGGTTATTTTACCTATGTAACGTATATAATGATTCTTGGGTCGATGAAAGAAATGAGAATGAAGATCTAATCCATCTTCATCATCATCTTGTTTAGTATGTCGGCATTGCTGATCATGTTTATCGTTGATTTTTTGAAAACGAGGTATAGGTAATGTACTGACAGTCATAAGCTGTTTAAAATCATCGGATGGAGGTTCTGTCGATGGTTCTCTACTAATAAGAGCTAATGGCTCTTTAATATCTAAATCAGGATAAAAGTCCTTGTAGGATCGTTCCTCTCTAGGCTGTTCTGGTGTAGGTGAATGGTTGACGGGTTGAAGGGGCTTTAATTCTGTAATAGGATGCTTTCTAGGTCTTCCTCTTCTTACTGTAGGTTTTTGATCGGTCATTAATGTAGATAATTCGGCAGACATTTAAGGTCTGCTAAGTACGTGTAATCTTTAAATAAATTATTAAACTTAAGGAATTCAAGACGAAATGTGGCAGTAGATGAATAAATATATATATATATAATTGTGTATATATAAATAGATATATAAAATAAAAATGCTTTTTTTTTTCTTTTTTTTTTTTTTTTTTTGATTGTAAACTGTTGAAAATTAAAAGCCAGTAGAAATTATACACTTTCCATTGTGAAAATTTATTTACAAAGATAAGAACAAAAAGAAACAAAAAAAAAAAAAAAAAAAAAAAAAAAGTATCCTTTTACATGAATAACTTTCAACATAGTTTGGCCCAACCAAAAGCTCTTGGACCTGAACAACCAATGAATCCAATATATTGAATGTCAATATTTTCTGCAGATCCATTATAATCATAAGCTCTTAATAATTTGATTAGGACATATTTTCCAGATCTAAGATAAATGATGAATATAAATGGATATTATTATTAAATTACTCAACCTAAAATTTAAGTTAATAATAGTGGTTATGTCTTCCTCATTAGTCAAGGTAAACCAAGCAACTGGATCATTATCATCTAAGATACCATCATGTGATTCCATTTTCGTTTTCACATAATCTTCGTAATCTTGCTTTGTGAAATGATCAAACATAGCTGTGTCTATATTTGTATAGTTTATTTAGATAAATATGTATATTGTGGGTATCAAATTTATTACCTGAAACATTGATTTCTTTATGAGAAATGAATATTAAGCCATCTTTACATGGAGCAGTAAAACTAGATATTTTATGATGTCGTTATCCTCTATCTATTTATTACTATTGTTATTTACCCAAATCGAGGTGCTCTTATGACCATTTTGGAGATAGAGCAAGTCTTATCGGTAATTATGCCACTTTCGACATATCCACGATATTGAGTTAGTATATTAATAGCGCCACGTCTCCTAGAGCTATATACAAGATAAAGTTTAAAATACACGTATGTGTATATATAATACATGTACTACCAATAAACTGATCCGTTATTTAGCAGGATATTATGAATACCGTACATAGATCTAACAATTGGAAATTTCTTTTTTAACGTGTTATCTCTATTAACGAACTTTTTTTTTTTTTTTAATTACCCAAATTCGCCTCCATCTGCATAAACTATATCAAAATTTAGCATGTGCAATTGTTGCAAACTTGCTATTTCAAAAATATCATTTTGAGCAGTCTTCATATTTAACAAAGAAAGGGTTATAGAGAGAGAGAGAGGTCATATGTAATAAATGCATAATTTTAATTGTTAAAATATAAAAAGAAATGAAATTTATACGTCATTTTTTCTGCTCTCTTGCATAATAAGAACATTATATTTCTTTTCATTATAACAAAAGGGAATAATTGTCATTATACAAAAGACTGAATAAATACACAAAATGAACGAACTAGTCAAACTATTAAAATATACAATTTTGTTTTCTACATAGTTTCTATACGATATATATATATATATAAACTTGGCTGTATAGCATCTTTTTTTTTTAAATAAAAATACAAATATGGGTAGATGATAATGATACTGGATATGATCTATTATACTATTAGTGATATGAACGCGAGTATAACTATTCTATTCAGGAAGTTTTTTTAACCCATTATTCAAATATAATGAACTCTCTTAGTGTTTTCTTTTCTATCATTCTTCACAAATATGTATTATTTTACAAAAAAAAAAAAAAAAAAAAAAAAAAAAAAAAAAAAAAGACACAAGTATCTTCTACCATAATATATTATTAAATAATCCTTTTCATTGGATTTGGCAGATCATTAAATGAATTTAGTTGATTTTGTCTAAACAAATTATGTCAAAATAAGCCTCTCGAATCAATTTTTTTTTATTATTATTATTTCTTATTAGCTTATAGCAAAGGTATCCACCATCACCACCACCACCACCACTACTACTACTACTACCATTTAATTACCAACATCAACATTTAATTGTATTTAATTATATAAATATCCAGTAATTACGATCATATATATATATATATATATTACACGTATAATGAATCAATCTCGTTAACTTTACTTTTGATTAGGATTTAGAAGATTTATCTCCTAATAATACAGATGAATTATAATAAAGGTCCTTGAATCTAAGAAAATCTTTTTCAGTGAAATTATCTTGATGGAAAGAAGAGGCAGTATCAAGAATAGGGATACAAGACATATAATTATTCATAGGATAAGATGCTGTATCATTGTTTACAGTAATGGTTGCATTAGACATTATAGTAGTAGTAGTGATATCAGGGTCTGCAGCAGTTTCGGTAGACTCTATAGTATTAGTGGTAGTGGTATTAGTAGTAGCGCTATCTGCATTATTGTCTTCCTCTTCTTGGTAAGAGGGAAAAAGGTCACTTAAAATGGATGTGATTGGAGATACGGATAACTCAGAGTCAGACATCAAATCGCTAGGACTTGTGGTATTCCATTCTCTTGTATAGATAAAGGGCATTTTAATTGAAAGATAACTTTCAGAAGCAAATGGGATGAATTAAAAAATAAAATGAAATAAAATAAAATAAAATCATTATTAATATTATTTTCACGTCGAATGTCTCAAAGATTATTTATGTCTCATGAATAAATAAATAAAAAAAAAAAAATGTTTTAAACAAAATGAAATTACAAGCATAATGAGATACATAAGCAAACTTTATTTTTGGTATATTACATAGCAATATTTCCTTTTTTATGATTTTATGTACATACCTCATGAAAAGAAAAGAAACCAGTATAAATTCTTATATTGGTATTGAATATATTGCTAAGCATGTATATATTGTTACTTATTATTAAAAAAAAGGGTGGTATTAATGATATTGTTCATATATATACAACTGGTCATAAGTATATCTTAAAAGCAAATTCCATCACAATTTCTCTAACATACCTTCTTGTATCGATGGATATTATCTGTTAATATGCACGGCGCTTGATCTCTTTGAACCTACTATACTCTAATTAACTATAACTACTTGGAATTACTTTAAATATCTCCTTTCTTAAATAGTAATGTTTTTTATAGGTTGTTTATTCAACAGTGTTGCTGTTATAATAGTAAAATTGATTCTATTTATCCATTAACTCTTGAAATTTTGTCATTATTTAAAAATAATTCGATTTTAGAACCTATAATATAATACCAGCTTAAATGATGTTAATACATAATCTACTTTTCCAGCTTTACATATATTATATATTTATGTTATATTTTGGTCTTATATTTAAGAACGATATTTAATTGGATTTAAGCTACATATCCTCTTTTTTTTTTTTAAAGACATTATTTAATTTTAACGTGATAAACAATTCGTGTATGTATTTGGTATATTGAATATAGACATTGTGTGCTCTTCATTATCACTATGGTAACAACCCTTTTAGTTTAATAAGAATAATAATAAAAAGATAGATAGCACCTGATTAGTTAATTTTATTTATTTAAATTTACTAAGGGAGCTCATAGTTTTTTTTTTTTTTCATTGTCTATATCTATACTATTAAGTATTATAATACTTTTAATGTAAGAAGTCAAATTATTGCTAATTACCTGTAAAATGCAATACTATACACATATTTATTTAAACAACATTTTTTTATTACGTAATGAACAATAATTTGATTCTATTAGCTTGATTGTAAAAATAGATATAATTATATTAAGCGTCTACTATTCAATCTAGTGCTTGAATAGACATGATCATCATCTTCAAATATAATACAGCATAATTCCAAATATTAAGTAGACATAATTTCAACAACTCCAGAATTTTATAATAGTCACATATTTTTGAGGCTTCTTATTGGTTTTCGGACTTTCAATTTATATTATTAATTACATGTACTAGAGACGAATTTCAAAATCAACAAATGGGGGGTTAGCTTAATTGGTAGAGCGTCAGATTCCAAATCTGAAGGTCAAGAGTTCAATTCTCTTACTCCTCATTTTTCTTCTCGGTTTCCTTTTTTTGGTAATATGATTTTGCAAAAAAAAAAAGAAAAAGAACTTTTAATCATCGTTCCTATCTTACTGCAAAAGTTTATAATTATTTTACAAAGAGAGAGAGAAAGAAAAAAAAACTGCCTATCATGATAATGCTTCGAACATATTATTTATTCACCCATTGTTGCATAATAATAACAAGAGAGAGGGGATAATGTTTTCCTTTTGCTATAACGATACAATGCAGAATTCTGGAAATGATTTATCTATTATTATTTCTGCAATTGTTTTATAGTATTTATACAGCAGTTAAAAAAAACATCTTTATTTTAGTGTAATACTAATAAAAAAAGTTATTACCTGTATTATACTAATTATTAATATTATACTATTATTATTATTATTATTATTATTATTATTATTATTATTATTATTATTATTTCATTTCATCTTTACTACTACTACTATTATTACAGTCAAAGAAACTAGGTTGGGCCAATGAGAAAAAAATGGGTCGTTTCAAAATTGAATTGGGACACCAATATGAAAGTGTGACATCAGTATAAAAGTGGGATATATTGAGACACGCCTAGTTTTTGGGTGAATGTATAAACAAGAAGCTATAGTCTTGTTCCATTTAACAAGAAAGGACACTAATAGACTATCAGACTACTATGATGATCATCCAGATTAGGATATGATTCACCTAACTTGAATGATCCCGGAATGAACAATCCTCATGGAGAATATCCCAGATTCAAATTACTTAGGACAATAAGGAGCGTTTCTGTGAGTTTGATGGAGTGAGTGAACTATCGTTTTTGAAATAATAAAGCCAATTAAAGTAATTCAGATACGTAGAATGTAGGGTTTTTATTATTCGTAAGAAAGAAAGACCTAGAGCCACCAGGTCTTGGTTACAATCATTATTTATACTCTGTAATATTGGGCTCCATATGTAGTGCAGGTACCAATGTTATGATAATAGTGGATCAGAAAACCGACAATTTCATATGATTATAATCATACAAGTAACAAATAACGATAAATGTATGTAAAGGAGATCATCTTCGATCAATAAAGTTCTTCAGTCAGTTTACATTGAATAAACACTCACACAAGCATCTAGATTAACCCACTGTTTTTGTTTTTTCTTATATCTTTTTTATCTACCAATTCTACAGAATGAAAACTTAAATGACATCCCCTTTCTCCTATTTTATTGTCATTTATGCTGGTACCCATCAATTATTGGTCGAGGCTATACCAAAACTGACTCACAAAAAAACTATACAACTTTGCTGCTTTATTTGTTGGTCAAGGAAAGAATGCCGATACCGAGATTGCTGAAGCTTTTTTAAAATTTAGTAATGACATGGGAGAAGATTTTAATAGGCAACAACAGTTCCCCAACATTCAGTATAGCACACTAATCTCAATAGTCATGCGTAGCTTTGAGACACTTATAGAGAATCATGTTGGAGCCAACTTCAAGCCAAAAACGTTGCGTTATCTCTTTACGAGGCTTTCTGACACAACTGAATTTCCGAACCACCCTTTCCGAACTGATGTCAAACGCGACCTAGCTGAACGGGTATATAATGCTATTTGTACCAATCAAGAAATAATTTACCCTGCTAATCTGGAAGTTGCCGACATTCACAAAGTCTCAATCAACAATCTTATTGATGAATGCCGCCAAAGACTACATGGCTTGAACCTGACTGAAGCAGATTACTATGCTAAACCTCACTTGTATTTGCCGTGGTTATACCATGTTTTTTAAAAAAAAGGAGCAACATGTCATCATTCGTGAGCCAATGTTGACGCACGCCGTCTGATTTCTAATACACCATCAACAAGGACGTGTAACTGGGACGAGTTTAATGAAGCTTTGCGACATATATATTTTGGAACTTTGAGGCAATTAAAGGCTATTACACAACCGGGTTGAAAAAAGCTCAAATATCACAGCTATAGAAACAAGCAAAAAGCATTGACCGAAATGTGTAAACGGTTGTTTACAGACAGCAGAAAAATACCAAGAAGGCAATCCTGATATACAGCAAGCAAATCAGCAAAAGTGGAAACCGTTAGCCCCTAGAGACAATGCTGGTGAAGCTGAAAGGTCTACTGTAGTGGCGTTTGGTGGGCTCCGTGGGAATGTACCTTCTCCAACAAGGGCATTCAGAAAAGCCTTGCTAAATTATGTCAAATCAACCAGACGCAACCAGCCAAAATTCAAGAAAGTACGTCGTTATGATTGATGAGTATTTCACAAGTCAAATATGTCCCAGATGTCATACCAAAAGTACTTTCAACCAACGTGACAACTCCAATATGATGATCTATCCAGTTCTCAACTGTCAAACTTGTAATACTCGATGGAACAGAGACCACATGGCGAGTCTCAACATACGCTCTATCTTTTTGTATATGGCTGCCAACAATAACAATCAACCTGAAGAATTTCGGCGGGGGTAAGCTATCTTAATATTAATATAGATTTCATTACTTTCATATACTAACAACACTATTATTATTTGTGGAAAAATAACCTTAACAATTGAATAACATTATGACTTGTATAGCAGCAAGACATCCCATATTTACAGGTAAGTTGACCTATTGAAAAAAAAAGTTTTCATTCGCCCAAAAATTAAAAATATCTTCATATGTCCCATTTCTGTATCGCTGTCCTGCTTTCGTATCTCTGTCCCATTTTCATAATGGTGTCCCACTTTTGTATACGTGTTCCACTTTCATATTGGTATCCCAATTCAATTTTGAAACGACCCAATTTTTTCTCATTGGCCCAACCTAGTTTCTTCGACTGTAGTACTGTCTATGATAATAAGCGAAAATCATCCGAATGAATAAATAAATATATTCTCGGACATAGGAGATAATCATCACAAGTAATTGAAATGGCGTGATTAATGAATTTTTATTAGTACTAGTTATTATTATTGTTACTATTATTATTCCCCCCCTCCTCCTCCACCACCCCTTTATACATTGCTTTAATAGAATGGAAGAGTAGTGATAACACTATGGTCAAATAAGTATATTAACCAGTGAATAAAACTCATTTTTGATTTAATTCATAATGTTTAGTTGTAGACAGAGTTAAATAGATACATGGATAATAAAGAACATATTTTAAAGGACGTGTATCACTACTGAATGCTATTTATTATACAATAGTTTTTGTTCTTCTTGTTATTGAGTCCATACATAATATACATTAGTTGTCATTATGACAAAAAAAACACGACAAAAGATCTTTTTTTTTTTTTTTTAATATTACGTAAAAATTAAATTAAAACAAAATAAAACTAAAACAATATAATAGAAAGGAATTTTAAAATGATAATAGTAGTACTTTATTATTTAACAAAGAAAGAAAAAAAAATATTAATTCTTATTTTAAGATTATAAATGATTACAAGAATCGATGAATAATAAACTAAAATTTCATTAAAGCACGATGTGCTTCTGATAATTGACCTTCTAAAACTTTAATTCTTTCTTCAAGGGAATTGTCTTTTGATTGCAAACCAGCCTTTTCGGATTCTAGAACCGCAATACGTGTAATCAATTTTTGATTATCCGCTTCTAATTCTGAAACGTGTTTTTCTAACTGTTCCATCTTCATTAACTTTTTTAATCTTGAACGACGTGCGGCATCCGTGTTCTTTTGTCTTTTAAGGGCTATTTCATCTGGATCCATAGTAACTGTTGATGTTAATTTTCGTTTATTGTTACTTGCACATTGACGACTAGGTAAAGCAGTAGCAGTATTCATAAGAGGAGTTGTAGGACGTGGTGCAAGACGTGGTAAATTAGTAGTTGATTTCTTAACAGGAGATTGTTGTTTATGAGCAATATCAGGGAAAAGAGGTAAAGTAGGTGCTACTGCATTTTTATTGTCAAGATTATTTTGAACAGATGGAGTAATAGGAGGCGTAATAGGGAATAAAACTGAAATATCTTGCTGATTTGGCAAGTCAAAAGTAGCATTGGGTGGTGATATTAAACCTGATTTATAAAGTTCATCTACAAGCCAATCATCTATTGTATCTGGTGTAGTAGGTAAAGTAGGAGACTGTTGAAAATGAAGTGAAAATGGATGGATGATGTTATTGTTTACATCATCCAATAAAAATAATTCTTCTTGATAATGATTGCTATTTGTTGTCATTGTTGGTTTTTTTTTCTTTTACTTTACTTTAATGTCCTGGTGGGTTTTGTCTTTTAGAATATTTTTTACGACGTGAAGAATCAGTTGTATAAGAGAAAAAGGGTTGACGTGACATATTGATATAATTTGATACTGATGACATTTAATATATTGATATTGATATAAAAAAATAATACGATAATTAAATATAAGATTAAATACGACTATACGATAGATTCCTTTTTTTTTAACACGATAAAAGGGCAATTAAAAGGCTTAAATAATAATAATAACAACCATCTTGGGCTATTCACAAAAGAAGAAGATAAAAAGTAAGTATATAAATAAATAAATAAATAAAGGTAAAATATATATATATATGTGTGTGTGTGTGTTTTAGTTAATTATCGTATAAAGAAGAAAAAGAAAAAGAAAAATGAAATATGAAAAAAAGTTACCGATATTTATAAAAAAAAAAATATTTTCACTATCTCATCTATTTTTTTTTCCTTATCTAAAACAGATCACTTCCTATTGGATGTAAATTTTTTTTGAACACATGACACAATATTATACACCTTTTGCCTAAATGATGTTTCAAGAAAATAAATTAAAGTGCCGCATTTTTTTTTATTATTATTATTTTGTAGTATATATTCTTTAAACTAAGACTATTCGAGTACTCTGATAATCAACTTTTCGTTTTTTTTTTTTTTTTTTTTTTTTTTTTTTTTTGGAATTTATAGAACAAGAAGCACAATCCATGTTGTTGCTTCTGGTGGTGTGTTGCTTGATCCCTGTTTCATTGTGTTGTACCTTTTTTTTTATGAGACTCGCACTATAGTGTCGTCCTGCATTTGCATATCTTTGCGCTTAGTTGAGGACTGTTGAAGAAGGTCGATAGTAAACTGATTCTTAGCCACGAATTTGCTAATTCAATTCGTGTCTGGCATCATATAGTCGTGTGGCAATTTGTATTGTAACAGCTCTTCTGGTACTAGGGAAAAAAAAAGAAGAAGAAGGCATTGTTAATAAGTTTTAATTTCAGGGGGGGTTTTTTCTGTATTCCTTATTTGCCTTACTTATTGTCATGGTAATCCGGGGAAAGAGGTAAGCAGAGATATCATTTTGGCAAGCCAATAAAATAGAGTACTACTGTTACATTTGCATATAAGGTTTTACCTTTTTTAAATTGAAACCTAAATTCGAAAATCACTGATAATACTTTTGCCACAAAAAAAAAAACGTCATTGGTGGTAGTACATAATGATTTATACAATTTTTAATGGGAGAAGGTTATACGATACGAATTTTCTTACAAAAATGTATAAATTATACAAAAAATCACTTTTAATCAGCAATAGAGTCAAAAAAAAAAATAGTTAGAAAAACAAGACGATTATTCAATACAATAAATAAAGTACTACAGCATGTTACTACTTATCTTGTAATAAGAATACAATAGGTATTTTTTTTTTTTTTTTGTTCTGTCGAATAACGTCAAACTTGAGTAGTAAAGTAAACACTAATAAATGGATAAGTTTTATTATTTACTGACTCAGACAATCTTCTACTTAAATCGTACAACGCTCCTGAAAAAAATAAATAACGACTATCAGTGTTTCACCAATTATTGTCTATACCAAATAAAGTATAAGCAATGATATAAAAGAGGATGTAGATCCCTAGAACAATTATAGAGTTTAAACTAATTAAACATTAATTATTAAATATATTCCTTATTGACTGACGACCAAGAAGATGATACTTCTTTAGGATAGTTATTTACTCTTAAAGGCATAGGTATACTCTTCTTTGGTTACAAGTCAGTTTATTATTATCTCTATTATAGAGAAAGAGAGAAGCTTGCGGTCTTATCATATTTCTTTTTACTTTTTTTATCTTGGTTATATATGGAATTCAAGAAAATCAGATATAAGATAAAGCCAGTAGCTCTGTTATCTGATGATTTACAAAAGACTAAATTAACAACAAAAGGGTACACACATCGTATAAACCAATTAAATAAGAATGAGGATAATACACTTTAATAGTATCAAAGACTCATTACTATTGTAATAGAGCATATAAGAATAAAAGAGGTTATCATATAGCACTTTAAAAGAAGAGAAAACAGACCATCAAAAAAAGCCCTTTACTTATAATAGAGCAAAGTGTTCATATCTCTATCCATCATCATTCTCAAGAGAAGAAGATAATCGTACATCATTTCAGAACACTACTCAATTGTATAGAGGAGCACATCTTCTGGATAATCCACAAACATAAAGAATTAATAAACTTACTGCTGTCCTTTTTGTAAAGCTGACCTTTCTGATTTTCAAGTTTATAAAATCAGCATCTAAAACAGGTCTTGAAATCATCGCCCAATACCACCAACAGGAATAGCTTCAAAGAAAAAGCCCGGAACAAAGAACTGTCCTGCATGTGAAGTTATGTTTGCCAACATAAAATTGTACAGAGTACATCTTAAAGATGAGCATCAATGGAGTATGTTATCTTTCAGAAAGAATGAAAAAAGAGGAGCTAAAAAAAAAAAAGAAAAACGCATTTAATAGTCATAGTAATGATGATGTTTGCCATCTCTCTTTTGTTCATAGTTCTCCTTTAGATGGAAATTTACAATTTCTTTTTTTTTTTTTTTACTTTTGTATAAACTTGAAATGAAGACATGATGAACATAAAAAAGTAAGATGAATATTATAAGCTTCTATTACTATTGGTGTATATATATATTTATATATATATAAATATATATTTAGTTGTATGCTATACGCGAAACCATTGTTATTCATATTTGTTGTTGTTAAGCTGCTGATGGCCGCCCTGAGTTTTAATAAAATTGGGCCCACGAAATTTTCTTTTTTTTTTCTTCTTCTTCTTTTCTTTATTATGTTACAATTTGTTTCAGCTTTATTTGCAACAGGCTATATAGTATCTGTGATTATCTTTGCTTTTTTTACATTATGTGCGTTTGATAAACCTTTTACTCGAGAATTATTTGCAAATCGACTACGAAGATATTTGTTCATGGTTGAAGTCATGTCTTCAGGTGTAACTGAATCTTGTCTTCATCTCATTTTGATTAAATTGACTTTAATAAAGCTTGTTAATTACTTTGATGGCTTTCGTAAAAATGAAAAAATGTATATGTATATATATAAATCATTCTATTGACTCATCTATACATATATACATACATAAAACTCTCTCTCTCTCTCTCCTCCTCATTATTATTTAGGATATAGTTTCTCTAAACTGGCTTATATTGTTGATATCATCAATATGCTATCTCTTTTGGTTTTCTTTTATGAAATGTTAACTGAAAAGGCAATTGCAGATACAACAATTCAATCTATTGATAATAAACGAGGACCGATTGACAGTATTGTTTGGTAAATATAAAATAGTATTTTGTTCTTAATAATACATCATTTTCACATACATAATGATTTAGTACGGCTGATATGAAGAAGCTTATAAATCCTGTTTGGACACCTGACGATATTAAAGTTCATCCAAATAGTAATTCTAAATTAAGCTTTTTTCTTTTCATGTGATAAAAAGGACCAACTTACGTAATATAATATATAGTTACTTATGCTACAAATGAAGAGATTAGAGAAGCTTTAGTGACAACCAATCATGATTTTAATCAACCTCGTAAAATGATGTTAGATATTTACACACATAAAAATAATACCACAGCTGGATTAAAGCCTGTTTTAATTCATATTCATGGAGGTGCTTGGATGATGGGATCAAAGAATATTTTCTATCCATATGAAAAGTTATTAGTTAAAGAGAATGATTGGGTAAATAAATGAATAAATGAATAAAGAAATAAAGATACAAAAGTTGCTAATAGACACACATTCTATTAGGTCATTGTCAATATTGGTTATCGGTTAGCTCCTAAGAATGCATATCCTACTCACTTGAAAGATGTTAAACGTGCTATTCGTTGGATTAAACAAAATATTGTCTCATTTGGTGGTGACCCTGAATTCATTGTTTTAGCTGGTGACTCTGCAGGAGCTCATTTAGCTGCTATGGCTTCTATGACAGCTAATGATCCTCAATATCAACCTGGATTTGAAAGTGTCGATACCTCTGTACGTGGCGTGATTAGTTTAAGTGGTGCACTTGATATGGCAACAAATGCTCATCATGCCATCTTCTTTTGTAAAAAAGTCGCTCAATTGAGTAAACTTGACTCGGTCTTCTTGACTGAGCATTCCCCTGCCGCTATGATTCAGGTCACAAAGGATAAAGATAAATTAGTCCCTTTTTTACTTATTTCAGGTGAACGAGATGGATTAACAGAAAGTAAAATGTCAAAGCTATTTAAAAGCTCATACGATGACGGTATGTCTATACATATATAAATATATATATATATATATATATATGTATATAGTGAACAATAATAGACTCATGTTTACATATATGAATATAGCAGTGGGACCTGAAAACAATGATTGCACACTTGTATTATTACCCGTAAGTTATATAGAATACATATTTATACACACATGTATACAATTCTGATACTCATGATTACATAATATTCATGTATCTTTTCATGTATATATCATAATAATAGGGTGGACATCATGTTTCATATGTTGGTTGGTCACCTCGGTCACTTTATGTTGCTAGAGTGATCCAATCATGGTGTACTCAGTTATATATTAAAAATTATAAAAAATAAAGACTTTTATTTCTTTTTGGATCTTAATGTCTGACCTGCACCTTTAAATACTGCTGTTGTTGCTGTTGCTGCTGTTGTTGTTGATGGAGGTGGTACAACTGGGAAGCCAAAGTAAAGTTGGCCAAAAGGCAGGTTAAAGGCTCCATCTTCATCTCTTTCTTCTTCTTCATGATTGTGTGTTGTAATAGCAGCGGCAGCACTATCAAATTTATTTATTATGTAAGTTCGTCATCTATCGTCCCCTTTTATTTATATAGTCTAACCTTTTTGTCTTTCCACGAAGACTTTGTCCACCTCCACCAAATGCAGAAAATTCAGACTTTTTAATAGGTTTAGGTAAATCAATGACCATATGACTCTTCTAATATGTATATAAAATATAAGTTTCAGTGCATGTTTATTTCTCATTCCTCTTTTACCATGGGTTTGACTTTTTGTTCATTTGGCTCTACATAACCCACAGGTGGTGCAAAATCAACTTCTAAATCTGTTTCAACAATCGAAATACCTGAATGTTCCTCGTAAAATGGTTTTACTTCTAATACTTTAATTTCATATATCTTATTATTATAATTGATTTGAATGATATCTCCCATCGTTAATGTTGAAAAATTACGTAATGCCTTTTCCAATCTAAATACATGCATATATGTATACATTTATATACAAATAAGATTTAGTACACAAGTTGAAATGGATGCTGGTATATATATATTACACTGCTCGATGATCACTAATATCTAAAAAGTCTGTAGATTGAGGTTGAATCTTTACAAAAGATCCAAGTGGCAATGTCACATTTTTAACTTCAATAATATTTCCTGGCTCCACACCTAATGTTTCCATCATCTAATAGTTAAGGTTAATATGACTAGGACTACTAATAGTATACGTGTATATGCTTACCCATTGTGGTAAATACACCCTTCCTTCTTCTGCAATAAATTCAAGTACACCTGTATGTGTATGTTTATTTTCAGCTCCATTGATTAATCTAAACAACATTGGATATGAAATATTAAGTTGTGCTAATGAATATATATATATATAAAAGGATTAGTTTAATTGTAAAAGATCTTTACTTTAATTTTAAACTTTACAAAGTTTTTCTAAAGCTGATTGAGGCAGAATGACTATATTATAACATTAAAAAAAAAAATTCAAGTTATACACGTAGTCATTAATAATAATAGCAAGCTTACTTTTGCCACCATAATTGACATTTTCTCTTTCATTTCCATTTTGCATCATTGCAATAGGAAAGCATCGATAGCTTTCAGAGAACCCTCTATTAGGATTAACAAAGCCTCCAAGATTATGACGGAATCCACCAAAGAAAGTGGGTCCAAAAGGATCATCGTCGTTAAAACCGTTAAACTACGCATGGGATCATTTCAAATTTAAATATACAACAATCTATTTTTTTTTTTATTATTATTTCTGTATTTATTTACCATCTTCTTTCTAGTTTTAGTTTTTTTTTTAAAATGTGTTTATATAAATGTATAAAAGAGAGTAATAACAATTAAAGATGACGAAGACGTATATGTGTATGTTTATATGTGTTTATTTTTTTTAAAACTCATCAAAAATTTTTGGCATAAATAAATAAATAAATAAATAATACTTTCCCTTAGAATGATGCGAATATATCAATGAAAGGTCTATTCGTGTCGTTCATTTGTCGAAGCCATGTAGTGCATGAAGCTATTTCTGATAGCATGGATTTATTTAAAGAAAGGAGAATTGTGTGTTTCCATCAATACACCAGATTATGTCGAATGCATTACATAAATCTTTCACCTATTATTCATTATAGATATGATGTAGTAAATATATGATATATGTATATATATATATATATATGTATATGTATATATATATATATATAAACGTCAGGTCTCATATATAAACTAGTTGTTATTATTACGCCAAGATCTTTATTATAATGTTGTTTACTAGTTTTTAAACAAACACTAATATTAAAATGAATTTGATTGGACGAGATAAACTTTCATGTGATTAAGTTTCAAAAAAAAAAAAAAAAATATTAATTGTCATAGTTAATCTACATATACACATAAAATTATTTCTCTCTCCTTTTTTTTTTTTTATATATATATATATGACAGATTCACAAGCTAAACATATACCTTCGTTATCTGAAATAAAACATCTCTCTGAACAAATACCTGAGGTACAATGGGCTCCAGTACGAGGTATACCCTTTGAACGAAGGGTTCAGACAGCAGTTGTCCTTGCTTGGATCTTTTTATTAGGCAATTGTCTCCTCTCCTTCACTCTCTCTCTCTTCTTTGCTTTTCTTTGGCCATTTCATATTGCTTATATCATTTATCTTTGGTTAGACCCTTCTCCTGAAAATGGCGGTCGTCGTTCAGAATGGTTTAGAGAGTTATCTTTTTGGAAGTATTTTGCCAACTATTTCCCCATAAATCTAGTCAAGGTAAGAAAAAATAAAAATAAAGAGATATCCCATATTTAGTTTTTTTCTCTCTTTCTCTCTTATAAATATATAGGAAAGTGATCTCGATCCTTCAAAGAATTATATATTTGGTTATCATCCTCATGGCATCATTAGCATGGGCGCATTTGCTAATTTTGGAACAGAGGCTACAGGTTTTTCCCGTCTCTTCCCCGGTATCCAACCTTCTCTTTTAACCCTGAAATCTAATTTTAATATCCCACTCTATCGTGATATTATCTTGGCATTAGGTCTCGCCTCTGTCTCTCGTCGTTCCTGTGAACGTATCTTGGCATCAGGTCCAGGTCGTTCCATCGTCATCGTCATCGGAGGTGCATCCGAATCTTTAAACGCAAGACCTGGTGTCGCAGACCTCATCCTGAAGAAACGTTTAGGTTTTATCAAATTGGCAATCAAGCAAGGCGCTGACTTGGTCCCTACCTTTTCCTTTGGTGAAAATGATCTCTATGAACAAATTGATAATTCAAACGAGAGTTGGTTATGGAGAATACAAAAGAAGATGCAACAGGCTGTCGGTTTTACTCTTCCTCTCTTTCATGCGCGTGGTGTCTTTAATTGTAAGTAAAAAACAATAAAAAAAAACCCCTTCACTTATTAATTTTTTTTTCTTTTTTTTTTTTTTTACATAGATAATGTGGGATTGCTTCCATATCGACATCCAGTGGTGACAGTTGGTAAGAAACAAAAATACATATAAAAATCCCCACCCCTCCCTTCTTATCACTGACATACATAATCTGTCCTTATAGTGGGTAAACCTATTTCAGTTCCAAAATTAAAAGAAGGTCAAACAGAACCCACTGAAGATCAACTTAAAGAAACTCAAGATCTTTATATTAAAGAACTTGAATTTATCTATAACAAATACAAAGATGTTTATGCAAAAGATAGAAAACAAGAATTACGTATTATTAGTTAACGTCTTTCTTTTACAAACAATACAAGCCAGATATAGGCAATAAAAATAAATAATAAAAACATTGAACTTAACCGAATCACATCAGGCCAATAGTTTTTAGCATTAAATCCAAAGGTAGACAGAATTGTAGCCCCTGGAACGTCAATTTTGAGTCCAAAGCGTTCTTCCACAAGTTGTAAGTAAATAAGTTCGTTCACTAACATAGCTTCCAACGCGTAATTAAAAAAGGATAAATATTTAAGCCAACTAAAGTAAGGGGACATAGAATCTAAAAATATATATATATATTGGTGAGTGGGGCTTATTTAGATGTACGTACGTATGATAATCATTGATTTACCTTTGTTTAATAAGAGCCCTGCAAATAACATTGAGAATAAAATCACCATGCATGCTAATAAATTAGCTAATGATAAATTCTTAACAACAACTCCAATCGCTAAACAAAGTGCGGCAGCTGTCAAATTAAATAATACAAGCACTAACAAAAACTTGAAAAATTCAGAGACACCCTCTACAAGTCCTACCATATAATAAGAGATAAGTGCCATCATGAAGGGTGGAACGACCCTTAAGGGGATAATATCAAAGAGAACCTTTGATAAAAAGTAGGTTGTAGGGGAATAATATCCATTGGCTCTTTCTCGAGCAAATAAGATACGTTCACCACTAAACACCTGTAAAGATGTTAAACACATGAAGCCCAAAAGTGCTTCATAAAAGAAAAAAAGTCCCATACGATTTTGAAAGCCTGCAATTGTATTTGAAACCTGATAAAATAAACCACCACAAACCACTAATCATATAGTAATATAAAAATGAATTATATATGTGTATATGTATGCATGTATGTATATATGTATATACATATATACACATATTTATATATTCATGAATGTGTGTGTTTACTTACATGCTAGAATGACAGCCATTGCATAATGACTAAACATCAACATTGGATTTCGATACAGGTTTTTAAAGGTACGATCAGCCAAAATTTGAAATTGCATAAAAGCTCCAGGTCGCTTATAAATAGTGATACTCTTTGCACTTAATGCATCTCCATTCTCTTGTAATGTTTGTGCAATGGTTGTCTGCATATTTTCTTTTAAGGCATTCGCAATAATACTATGTTGATAGAATTCTATGAGCTGTTGCAGGTAATTGGGCAGTATCAAATTTTGAGATTCCTCTTCTACCACGACATTAGGGACGGTTGTACTTGTTGTTGTAACTGCACCAGTACTACCTCCTGCTCTTGCTCCTAACTCAGAAGCCCATTCTGCTGTTGTATTCTCAAGCTCATCATTAAATGCTGGCTTATTTACTTGAAAGACATTATCTATTTTCACCGCCTCTGAAGGCTGATTTGGAGTACGTTGAACAGCGCCCATTGTTAAATCAATCATATAATCAGCAATATTAAATCCAGCAGGACAGGGATATCCGATCTGTTGAAAATAAGATTGAACCTCTGTTTGAGGACCTGAATAGACAACATGACCCTGTGCAAGTAAGACTAATTGATCAAATAGGGTTACAATATTAGATCTAGGTTGATGAATCGTAAAGACTACTGTTCGTTTATAGTTTTTCGCTAGATTTACGAGGCACTCAACGACATTAAAGGCATTATAAGCATCAAGGCCACTTGTAGGTTCATCCAAGAAAAGAACAGATGGAGATGTAACGAGTTCACATGCAATAGCCACACGTCGTCGTTCACCACCACTAATAGAACGAGCACCAGGTTGGCCAATCTTAGCATCCTTAATCGCATCAATACCTAATTCTTGCATCACTTCCATGACTCGAAATTTTTTAGCTGCTGTAGACATAGAACGTGGTAGTCTGAGGAGAGCAGAATAGAGAATAGTTTCATAGACAGTTAAAGTAGGAATCATCACTTCCTCTTGATCTACATAGCCAATTAATTTCCTATAATGAGAAGCAGACACTTCTTGACCGTTCAAGTAGATGCCCCCTCGAGAAATACCAGACTTGGTACGTTTGGCTAAAATATCTAAAAGGGTTGTTTTACCTGCACCAGATGCTCCCATGATGGCCATCACTTGACCTGGTTGAACCATCCCTGAGACGCCATCAAGAATGGCCCTTTGACTATTTGGAATCTCATAATGAATATCCGTAAAGATGAGGCTGGTAGGTGTATGTTCCGTCATTAGTTTGCCTGCCTCATCATCTGCAAGTGTAATATGACCTGTCGTCTTTTTGCGTGCATAATAGTTTACAATACCTGCTACTATTAGCAAAAAGGCGGTAACACCAGAAAGACCAATGAAGATCATAGTCCAGTTTGTATGTCGTTCAGGTCGATGAAAGCCTGGGACCATTGTATAATGTAAACATTCACCACCATGACAATCCAAGAAGATGGCATCATCACCAAAGACGGCTGAAATAAGGTCATTCATAGCAGGCTCGTTGAAGCTACATTGTGAGCCTCCTACACAATCAAAGGAAGCAGGACCCTTAATTTCATCCAATAAGAAGTCGGTCAAATCAATTGAACCATCTTTACCGCATAACATTTCATCCTTGATACATCTACATTCAATATTCTTACAGTTATAGTGAGTTGAATTTTGGCCATAATAATCGTATTGTTTGTCGAATGCGCATGTATTGAGATGACAATAAAATGATTCAATTTCATCAACCCAGACTATAAAAAAGGAATTATATATAAGATAGATCTAATAAAAAAAAATATATTTACGACTTACATTGAAAATCACAAGTAGCATGATTTCTATTACATGAGAAAGTTACTTGTGGAATTTGCTTCTTTAACTGATCAAGAATTTTTCGATCTAATATAAGAAATTTTAATACATATTACGTAATTTTTTTTTTTTTTTTTTTTTTTTTTTTTTTTTTTTTTTTTACTTGTAACATTGCACATTTGGTAATTTTCAAAGACAGTAATTCCATTTTTATAACAAGTACCATTTTGTCCAGTTGGTACAAGTGAGTCGCATACAGAATCCGTCTTGCAAACTTCAAAATAAAACAACAAGGATTAGAATATTATCGTTTTTTTTTTTTCGTTCTTGCTATATCGGTTATTTTACCATTGCAATTGATGCCTTCCCAGCCTTCTGGACATTCACAATGATCGTTTTCCCTTGGAGTACGATTATGACCATCCGGTAACGATCCACATACTATATAACACAGATATTAGTTATATAATATGTATATATGTATGTATGTATGTATGCATTTATCAATTTATTTTATAATATAACTTTACAGGGTTGTTTACAGTCATCACCACCAAAACCAGGAGGACAGTTACATTTGCCATCGTATTCTGAACAATTAGCAAAATGAAGACATTCGAAACCAGGTAATAAACAATTAAAACATGGTGGACAATCGTCTTGTTTTTTGAATATATCAAAGTTAGAATGGCTACTCGTTAATAGAGTTATATTATGTTCTATACTATATACTAAAGACGGTAATATTAGTAATGGAAATAACCATTTATTCAGATTAAGCATTAAAAATAATATTATGTTAAGAAACGTAATAAGAGAAAGGAAAACTAAATATTTCCTTGGTACATGTATAAAAGAAAATGCCGCCAATAATAATCATAATAATAAAAAAGATGGTGTATGTAGTGTGTTTTTTTCCCCAGTTTTTTTTTGTGAATGGCAATAAATGACAATATTTCAAATACTCTCTTATTTTTTAACAATGATATAAATTGTCCAATCAAATAAGGAAAAAGAACTAATTTAAATCCTATAATAACAACTTACTTTGTTTTGTATAAACCTAATCATTATAATACACAAGCATTTGTTTGCCATTCATAGAGAACTTTTTATAAAGATCAACATAGTTTAATAAAAGAATGTCTAAATTACAGTAAATTAAATATTAAAGGCCATTTATAACTGGTTTTTTTTTTTTTGATTCTGGTAATTTGAAAAATGTAAATAAAATAATCGATGAAAATTTTTTAAAAAAAAAAAATATAATAAAATGAGTTTAATAACGAAGAAAAAAAAAATCTTATAGTTAGTCTGTCTCATCGTATTAAAAGTATTTTATTTTATATTATCTCCAAGTTAGTCAAAAAAATCAATTATAACTTATTATAGAGCTAAAAAGAAAGGAAAACAAAAAAAAAAAAAACTTTTCATTGTTCTTTATGAAAGAAATGCCGGGCATTAAAAAGCCATTATATCCAATTCAGAAAAAGAAGTTCTACCAAATGCAAAAAAAAAAGACAATGTTTCACTTGAGGTGAGCTCGAAACAAGGGTTACTATTAATGTAACAAGTTCTGAAAATCATTCAAAGAAACTTAGTGGTGTGTACATAACGTAATGAATAATTGAAATCAAAAAAAAAAAAAAAAAAAAAAAAGTTTTTCTTTTTAACTGTCTTTATTCTTTATAAATTATTTTACATGGTAAAATAAAAAAAAAAATTACACAAATTATTACAAATATTCATTTTGTTTTATTAGGTTGCTGTTCCTTCTGACCCTGCTTTAAAATCCTCCTATTCAACTGATAGCCGCCGTCAACAATCCAATTCACCGCCACCTTATTATCCTGCAAGTGACGGTAACCTATCCACATCTTCCTCTACAGGCTCTTCTTTAAAGCGCAAACGATATTCAACTCGTACAAAACAATCTACTCTCGTTGACTCTACTCAAAAGAAATTTAAAAGTCTTAACTTAACAAGTAAGCGAACTCTATTCCTCCTCCCTCCCCCCCCTCCTCCTTCACACCACTCTCTTATTATAGATATATATTTGTCGTATTTTTTTTTTTAATAATAACATATATATTTATATTTATATATATACATCTATATATATATATACATCTATATATATATATACATCTATATTGGTATTAGAGAATCCTTATCGTAGTCTATCATGGAAAATAGGTGAACAAGTAGAAGCTATCAAATGGACAGATGATGCTAAAGAATGGTACTGTGCACGTATTGTTGATATCTTCAAAGAGCCTCCTGACGAAGTTTTAGTGTTTGTTCATTACGAAGGATGGCCACCTGATCAAGCAGACTGGATCAGTCCTACTCTCATCCGATCCCTTACACGATCGCCACTTTTGTATGGTCCGAGAGGTGCTGAAAGTGATCGATCGTGGAAGGATTATGCTGCCTTTCACGAATCAGCATCAGGTCAATTAGCAAGACGTCATACAGGAATCGTTCAAGATAGACGTATGTCATTACACACATGTCCATGTCATTCACGTGAGACAATTCATCCTGAGAGACCCGATCGCATCAGTTCCATTCTTCAAGCATTTCATAGTAATCGGTGAGTTTACTTTTTTAAACATACGTAAGAATACACTATGTATTATATTAACTTGCTTTTTTTTTTTTTTTTTCTTGAATAAGTATGTTACGTTATTTTGGAAGAGTACATGCTCGTGAGATTACCACACAAGAGCTCTTACGGGTTCATACATTTCAACATGTTCGTAACTATTATCCCTTAGATGAAAATGAACAAATACCTAAACGTAAACGGCCACTTAAAGTAACCTCGATCGCTGCCCTTCTCAACCCCATTGAAGAACCACCGCGACCCAAGGTGATGCGAGGTGTAAGTGGCGATGTCATTGTACAAGCTGATAAAGAGCATATTAGAGAACAACATAGGAGATTTTCTTCAGCTGCTGCGGCTGCAGATGCTTCACAAAGTAATCCTCAGCCAAATGCACCACCAGGTTTGATCTGTAAAATGACTTGTGGTGAATTGGGTATCTCGGTTGATACCACCTTTCATCCATTGTATAGTAGTCTATCGGCTCGTGTTGCCTCTGGAGCTCTCTTGGCACTCGTTGAACCTATCATAAAAGGGCAGCTAAGAAATGGCTTTGCATTGATTCGACCACCAGGTATAAAAAATAAAAAAATAAATAAAAAAAAAAAAATAAAAATAAAAAAAAGAAATAAGAAATAAATAAAAAATAAAAAAATGGCTTGCCTTGTACACATGTATACCACAAATATGTATTTAATTATTTATATGATATAATTTATAGGACATCATGCAGAAGATGATTTGGCAATGGGTTTTTGTTTTTATAACAATGTGGCTGTAGCTGTGGCTGATACGTTAGACAAATATCCGACAAAAATCAAAAAGATACTTATCATTGATTGGTAAAGCTTATATGTATATGTAATGATTACTTTAATAATAATACTAAAGTTTATATCACATAGGGACATACAGTAAATGATATAACCATAGAAATATTCGTTTATTTTATAACTAACCTTTTGCTTTTAGTCATGGAAACGGGACTCAAAAAATATTTTATGATAATCCAAATGTTCTTTATATTTCAATACATAGATGGGATAATGGTAAATTTTATCCTTTTAGTGGCGCACCCGATGAATGCGGAGAAGGTGCTGGTCAAGGTCGGAATGTGAATATCGCATTAAGTGCTTCAAAAGAAAAACCAAGTAATGTTTTTTTGCTATTATAGAGTAGTGAATATGATTCATATAAAAAAGAGGCAGTTTTTTTTTTATTTATTATTAACCCTATTCTATTATGTATATTAGAACCTATGGGAGATACTGAATTTGTAGCTGCTTTTTATCATTTTGTTATACCCATTGCAAAGCAATTTCATCCTGATATGATTTTTGTCTCTGCTGGATTTGATGCGGCTGAAGGACATCCAGAAAATGTAAGTTCTATAGCAACAAATTATACCAGACTTATTTACTCATTTTTTTATGTTTTCAAGTTGGGAGGATATAATGTAACCCCACGCGGTTATGCGCTATTGACAAAGATGGTCAAAGATTTAGCAGAAGAATTATGTGAAGGACGTCTTGTGCTAACGTTAGAGGGCGGATATGAATTACAGCCACTTGCCGCAGCATGTGCTTCAAGTGTTGTACAACTATTTGCATCAGAGACATTGCCAGAACAACAGATCACTCATTTTAAGCGTACATTAAATGCAATTAAACCGAATATGGGAGCTGTTGAAAGCTTTCGTCAAATTCTATTGATGCAACGAAAGCATTGGAATTTTCCGGATTCTATGCTGTCTTCTAGTTTTAGATTCTCATTACCAAATGATTGGAGAGCAACAGATAGTTTTTCCACTAGACCACGTAGAGATAAAAAACCTGTAAAGACGCCTATCGTTGAAGGTTATTAAATAAATAACAAAAATAAAATTTGGTTTTCCGCTTTTCCATTGAAGGAAGATACAGGTTATTCATTTAGCCAATCATAATGCCCTTATTTGACTATTAAAAATTTTTTGTTATTTTCCTTTTCTTTTTTTTTTTTTTTTTTTTAAATACATAATTCATAAACAATGGCTAGCATTGAAACCGAGCCTCTTCGAACTGTTCAACTTGACGGCTTGGTAAAATCAACAATAATGAATGAAGAATGAGAAAGAGAGAGATTTTTTCTTTTTTTTTTTTAACAATTTATTTAATTTATTTTTAAATAGGTCGTTTTGAAGATCATTAAGCATTGTCGCGAATCTTATCCTATTGACGTTACTGGTCAACTTTTAGGTTTAGATGATAAGGGTGTTTTAGAAGTCACCAATTGTTTCCCTTTCCCTGCTGATGGTGATGAAGATGCTAGTGGTAAAATAAAACCAAAATAAAGTTAAAATCAATGAAATCTAATTATTCTATTTATATATTATGATAAGCCCAATATCAACTTGACATGATGCGATGTCTTCGTGCTGTTAATGTCGATAATAACACTGTAGGTTGGTATCGTTCTGCTCATTTAGGCAATTTTGTCGATCTTAGTTTGATCGAAACACAATATAGCTATCAAAATTCCCTTAGTGCTCAATCTGTTGTTCTCATTCATGATGTTTCTAAAAGTGCTGCTCAAGGTAATTTGAGCTTGAGAGCCTTTAGATTACAAGATAATTTTATGAAGGCTTATGAGTCCAAAAAGTTCACAACTGAAAGGTAAACTAATAATAATAATAATGTTTATTTTATTTTATTTTTTATTTATTTATTTATTTATTTATTTTATCTCTTCTTGTTTTTAGCCTAGCTCAAGCTAAATTATCCTTTTCTAATATTTTTGAAGAATTACCTGTAGAAGTTCACAACTCTCATTTAGTCACCCTTATGCTTCACAACATTGAAATGCCCAAGTTGGAAGCGAGTCGCCTTCGTTCACTTTCAACATTTGCCAACCAACAAAAGGAATTTGAAGAAGCTAGACCTTTGGCACCTAACTTTGATGTGCTTGAATTGGAACTCGATCCTTTCATGCAAAAGAACTTACAATATCTTTTGGATTGTGCTGATGTTCACCAACAAGAACAAAATAATTATCAATACTGGCAACGAACTGTTGCTCGTGAACAGGGCAAGATGCAAGCCTGGTTAGCTAAACGAAAGCAAGAGAACGCGCAACGAGCTCAAAATGGACAACCTCCTTTACCTGAAGATGAAGTCAATACTTTGTTTAGATTACCTCCTGAGCCTAGTCGTTTGGATTCAATGATATTGAGTGCTCAAATGCATAACTTTACTAAACAAATTAATCAATTTGCTGGTCCTAGTCTTGCTAGATTGTACAGTACTCAAGAATTACAGAAATAAATAAATAAATAAAAAAAAACACTTGTTTAATATAATATATACAATTTAATAAAGAAGAAGAAAAAAAAATAAAAGAAGAAAAAAGTTATTTTGTATATTGAATTTATTACTTTAGCTTCTTGATATATGTATTTAGCATTTATTATAACCGTGGATATTCAATTCACAAACGAGTAATAGATGTATACTAAAGTTTTTCTTCTTCTCGACAAATTACTTGTATCACCATTGATTGAATTTTGACAATATATTGCTATTCAAGATTTCCTTGAATGTGTATAGCCCAGTTCTCTGTACGTTGATCAAGACAAGAAATCACTATAATGATCCCGTTAAATAATAAACCGTTTATGAGTATACTAATTTTAATTTATAGAAAAGCCCTTTTTTTATATATATCTATAACTTTCATATCTGTACATTCTCTCATACTAATTACATTTGAAGTTTATAGATGACAATAATGTTTATCGAATATGCTTTGGAACTGTAAAGACATCTTTTATATTATGAGAAGAGGCGAGAGAAATAGATATATGTATATATTTCTTACCAAATTTAATGAAGGGCACGTTTGGTATGGGGAAGAAACTTATCCAGCTCTGTTTGAACACTTGAATAAACACCTCCACCTCTCCCAATATAAAGATAAGGGAGACTGTCTAATCGTATCATATGCAAGCAACAGATAAGAAGTGTCAATTACTCGTGGAAATGATAGACTCTTCCTATTGTAATGGCCATTTGCTCTTACGACTTGGCTTATATTGGATAAAAGAAAATAACCGAAATCCCACTCTTTCTTTTTTTTTTTTCTTAATAAATAAAACATAAAGAAAAGGTCTGACAATTAAACGTATAAGAAGAGAGAGAGAGAGATTATTAGAAAAGAAAAATGGATATCAGTATACATAGTATTTTTTTATTATTATGTGTGTATTTATTAGAAAAGTTCAGCAAATAAAATAAACGCATAATAATGTTTATATATTGAGATAGTATTCAAAAGTGATATTTAAGTATTATGCTTTAATATAATTTATCCTATTGGAAATGGTGTGATTTTAATAAGCAAAGACTTTCAATTACTTAACAACGTGGTTCCAATAAAACGAATGTATTAACAGGCTATTACCCTTTTACCTTCCTAATGCTCTCAAATTAGAGTTCTAACGCGTTCATAAGAAAAAATGAGCAAAATCTCTATGTTATAAAATAATAAATAAATAAATAAATACGAGATTCAGAGCTTCATAGATTTTATAATATCAAGATTTAATGTTTCAGCTTTTTATATTTTTATTTTTAAGCCACTTTGTACACTAATAATACTAAACAAAAGATAACTTGTTTGTGTTAAATACACAGAATCATTCGTGAATGGTCATAAACTTTGAAAGTCAAAAGGACATGATTTAAATGACAAAGGCTGCTGTAATGTTAAATGGAAAAGAATCCACAAGTAGATTTTTTATATCATTAACCCCTTTTTTTTTTTTTCTAAATAATTTAAAGTCAGATAGCAATGTGGGGTATACAAGATGTTAAAAGTTCCAGTCTTTATTATTACATAAATAGAGATTTGTTATGGGAATACGATTCTTCTTTAATAAGATGATAATAAAGAAGAGGCTCTTATTGGCTTCCTTTGAATCCAATTATTTGTATTTAGAGATTGAGTTCTTTTTCTTAGAGATTTTCTGGGAAAGAGGAAATTTGGATAAGCATGTTTCTTTTTTGTCAGTACAATTTCATCATTTTCAAAATCATAGTCATCTTCATCATTTGATTCTTCTGATGACAGATCAGATATGAGTGCTGGTTCTATGGTTACATCTTGTTGAATTGCTTGTAAACCTTGTAATGTGCCTTCCATATCAGTTACCATTTCCTATAATAATAACAATAAGCATATCATATATATTTATATATGTATATATAATGGATTCATACATGGATTCTTTGTATTAAATCATCTGAAGTCTCTTTATTTGAAATAATAGTTTCGTTTACTGTTTTATTTGCAATCTAATGAATATATAAATAAATGATAATATTTGAGTGAGAATTAAAATTAAATAATCCTTAAGAGGAGAAGAGTTTAGGTAATAGAACTTACTTCTGCTTCGTTACACAATTGAGCTGTTGAAGAGCTAAATTTAGTCTGTTGTTGTTGTTGTTGTTGTTGTTGTTGTTGTTGTGGCTGTGGCTGTGGCTGTGGCTGTGGCTGTGGCTGTGGTGGTTGCTGTTGCTGCGGCTGCTGCTGCCCTTCATTATTATTATCATCTAATTTTAATTTCAGTAATCGATTCTCATTTTCTAACCGTAATAGCATTTCGAGATTTTCATTTGCTTGATCTACTTGTATTTTCGTTAATGCCTCTATTTCTGCTTTATGTTGATTTATTAAGAATCTTTCACGGTCTATTTTTTAACACTTAGTAAAATAAATAAATAAAAAAGTACATGATACTAAATACCTTTTAATTTTCGTTGAACTTCTTTGAATGAGCTTTCATATTCTGCTGCCTTTTTTTTCCATTCCATGACCAACATTTTTAAATTATTTATAGTGGACTATATAAATTGATTATTAAATGAATAAACCTTTTTTTTTTATTATTTATTTATTTATTTGTTTGTTTGTTTCTTTACATCTTTTTGTTCTAACGCTTTATGACAATTTGAAAGATCATTGTACCATTTCTTTTCTCTTTCTGTTAATGTATCATAACTGGTATCATCCAACAAAGATTGAATAGCATTATTTACATTTGTATATTTTGTACTTGTAGATGGTGTAGGTGGTAAGGCTTTCTTTTGTTGAATTGACATAATAAAGCAATATAATAATTAAAAAAAAATGAAGTGAGAAAGAGATACAAAAAAAAGTTTAATATTTTTTATAAGACTCTTTCTTGTCTTTTCTCTCTTATTAAAAAAAAGAAAACCTTGATTTCATATTGCATTATTTTCGGTCATTTGTTTTTCTTCATAGTTACCATTAAAGAAATTACCATTTTTGGTAATTTTTTTTTTTAACCATTTCTCTGATTTTCTTTATATCATTTCAGATATAATGATTACACTTATTATACATGTTTATTATTAGCTCATAGTGTATGTCCTATTTTCTTCTTTATTTATATAATTACTATAGAAACTCTTTTTATTGATAATTTCATGTGAGCTGTCATCATTCAAATCTTTGGCTCCGCTCAAAAAAAAAGGTTATTTATTTATTTTATTTTATTTTTTTTTTTAAAAAAAAAAGGACTACTTGCTGCTTCTGTTACTACTATTAATTTACATTACATTGTATATATAAAATGACGTGTATCAAACATCATTATCAACTATTAATGATGAATTATTATTACTTTTTTTTTTCCTGTTCTAATAATAAGTTGTAGTCCGAATTTATTTATTTATTTTTTTATTTTGCATTGTTGTAATGATTGAGTTTGCAGCGCTTCATATATCGTTGTATTTGATAGTCATGTTGAATGATGAAAGGATGAATAAAATTTCTTAATCTCAGATTAAAGTCAGAGTGTCGAAATTTCTGTATTTTTTTTTTTTTCTTTTTTTTTTACAATATATCAACTCTATTTTCAAATGTAATATAGAAATACTTGTTTCATATTAATTGCTAGCAGTATGAATATTATTTATATGGTAATAATGTGACTGGATATAAAAAGCTTTATTTGTGGAAAAATATTGTAAAGCCTATTCTTGTTTTCAAGTGCATATTGTATGTACATTTTCCATGTTATCTCAACATGAAATTAACTATTATCATTACTTTTAGTTTTGCTTTGCTTTGCGTCAAGTATAAAAGAATATTAAGTGAGTCCATGATTAAACTATTGAATAATACCTTTCTATATATCATAGTATTATGGACTGCAAGACTCGTAACATATTATTATGACAAAGAAAAAGTAGTGTAGTAAATGTTAACTTAAAGATGACTATATTATTCTATTGGCATGGTAAATATATGTATATGTATATGCTTAATGCATAATATATATTCTTAATAAGCTTGGATAAATACCATTTTATTAATAGTATAATATGATGCCTATATATTGTTAAATCTATTATTATTATTTTTTTTTTTTTTTTGCATAACATAAACGATTATCTATGAATGTACAACAATGCAAAAAGTGTGGGTCATGTGATATAGATAGATGTATATAGAACAGTGTCATATATTTTGTTATAATCAAACTGTATTATCCTTATTTTTCGCTTCCAGTAATATGTAATTTGCCAAATTGCTGTTGAAATTGTATAGATCCAATACGTTCATGTTTTATTTTTGTTGATGTTAATGGATGGTGATCTTTCTTTGCCATGTCAATTAAACTCTCGAGTTCTAAGATTCGATTTTTATAACCCGATATTTCCTCTCTTAGCTCTTTAATGTGATCTACTGATAATTTCAAGATTGTGCCTTTATTAATAGGTTTTGCATTTGTACCTGATTGCCCAGGTGCAATAGACATTACATTTGAACTTGCTGGAACAGAATCGATTAAATGATCTGGTAATAATGTTGAAAGCTCTTTTTATATATGTGAGATTATGACACGATTTATATATAAATATATGTATGTATTATATTTAAAATAGATACCATAAATTCTTTCGTTTATATTATCTCTTCTTCTTCTTTCTACTGCGTTATGCGACTCTCTCCTTCGTCTTCTTTTTTCAAACATCTCTTGATGACTAGTATATTATAAACAAGCAAAAAAAATTAGCTATGATTACACTTTCCCTCTTTTTTTACCTTTAGTTAATTTATATACTTTTTTTGGTTATTGATATCATTATTAAGTTCATTATTGGGGAAGCCCTCAATTAAATGTCCTGTTGAATTTGAAGGTGTCATAATTAAATCCTGAGTATTCTTATTATTATTAGTAGTAGTAGTAGGAGTAGTATTAGAAGTAGGAGTAGGGGTAGGATTTGCACCAAATACAGAAGATTGTCCAAATGAAGAAGTTGTAGATTCAATACTTGTACTAAACCAGTTTGCAACATCTGTTGTAGTTGCCGTTGTTGTTCCAAAGGTAGAAGAAGGATGAATGGCCATTGGACCAAAAGTTGTTGTTGTATGATAAGGTGATGTTGACAAAGGCGACTGCTGTTGAAAGCCACTACTATTTGCTCGATGATGTTCTGACCTATTACTAGTGTCGATATTAATAAAATGCTGTTGTTGTTTTGTAGAATACATTAAATGAAAAATAGATAAAATAAAGGTGGAAGTAGAGTTGAAAGGAAAAGAAAGTCTTTTTTTTTTATATAATGGCCATTTATAGATTAGTTTGTCCTTTTTTTTTTTTTTTTTGTATCTTACTCCTTTTTTATTTATTGTATAACGGTGTGTATACACACACAATAGACTTTATTTTATAATAAACATCATGATCAAACATAACGTGGCACAGGCCACCACCTTCTCATGTGATCCTAATAAATATGTTTCTATCTTTAGTCAATATGTGTTATCTCATCAGACATAACATCTACTTGTACTTTTTCAGGAAAAGTAATATATGTAAATGTCTATCATATCATTCTACTATATCCTAAGCTTCTTCTTTATATCAATTTTACAAAGAAATAAAATAAAGATTGTAGTGTAACAAAAGATCGTGCAACTATAATAATCTGACTGAGACGAATGCACTCGAAAACGTATGCTATCTAATTCAATCTGGGCAATCCTGAATAGGAATGGTTTAGCATTACCTTCAGTCTTAGTCTGTAACTCTTGCTTTCACAACAAAACTTGTATAGTGGCTTTTATTAATAAAGAGTTGTTATATCTATTAAGATTATGGTTTTTCCCTTTTAAGATGCTTTAATTTGATACTTTCCTTTTTTTTTTGGTTTCTTTGATTGAAAGTTTCAATTAATTTGACGTGACTTTTTTTTTGCTGATAACAGAACATTAATAATGTCACTAGATAGATAACGCAGCCAACAATATTCAAATTTATTTGCATATCAATGCCTCTTATTTTGATGATGTTTAAGGTAACTACATCTTCCTTTTCTGTCTTTTATCTTCAACATGATACTGAGCTTCTTTTTCATCTTTTATTTTATTCTATTCTATTCTATTTAAATACATGTTAACATCAAAATAATAGATGGAAGGAATAATAAAGGATTGTTTTATTCATGCTTAGTTTTAGTTAGTATATTGTGTTTCGGAAGGTTCACTGTTATTTTTTATTTAGAATGTTTCAACATATCAGTATTCAAAATATGTAATAAATGGAATTCATTTTTTTTTTCAATCGAGACCGAGATGTATAAAGCATATCATTACATATTTATACAATAAATTAGGAATATATATGTATATCTTCTTCTTCTTATATTACCAATAATCTAGAGAGGGATAATCGAATATTTTATTTTTACCATCCTTATTTATATTTTGCTTATCTTGAATCCAGCTTTCAAGTAATTGTAGCATTTTGAATCGATTTTCTTCATTATCAGCATTGACAGTAGGAATGATATGACGTATATCAAGACTAGCAATAAAGACTGCAAGTTCTCGAAAACTTGAATGTTCAGAGTAAGGTATATCATAAATTTTGATGCAAAATGTATCGTAGCTAGCCTTTAACAACATCTTACTACTAATCAAATCATCGGGACGTTCGCTGATGATAGATTCAAGTGACTTGTACTGCTGCGATCTTTCATTACCTTTGAAGGTCCATCCTGTTGGTTTGAATGCGATCATTTCTGTAAATGCAGGCTTTAGGCTATTAAAATAAGCCTCAAGATTCTAAATATGATATGCATTAAAAAGAGAATGAGTTTTATGTATATGGTTTATGATACATAATAATATATTTACTTTAGGTACAATATGCCATAATGGAATCACATGTACTTGTGCTTCTTTTATTTGATCTGTTAACATTTCATCAAGCTGTCTATCTTTAAAACAATTTAAAATTTTCCTCTTTTCATCTGTTACAAATATTTTACTATTTAATGCCTTTGCAATTTCTAAAAATATACATATATATATTTATATACATGTATATATATATGTTAATTATATGTTAATTATATGTATGTATATATATATTGTTTAATAAGTAAGTATTATATACCTATAAAGATATGCTCTTTTCCTAGTGTATAGGTTCCTACAACCACTAATAAACGCCCTTTCTTATCACTACTTTTATTATTCCTTTCAAGTAAAATCTTATGATTCTTTGCTATCTCACAGGCAGCTCTTATGCATGATATCTGCGAGGGGAACGAATACATAGGATTCAAATAAGTCGTGTCTAAATACAAAATATCGATTTCTTTTCCCATCAAATCTAAGCACATTCTAGGGCTGGCACGAAAATCGCCCGTATGTAAGTATCGCTTTCCATCAATAACATCAATTAAAAACATAACTGATCCAGGACAATGATTTGCATCTATTAATGTTATAGTCCTATTAGGGCTTGATGATAATGAATACGGTTTATTAACAGGTAAAGGGTTGATAAAGTCCTCAACAACACCCAACTTATTTATTAAGAGCTGAGCTGTAATTTGAGAACAGTAAATGGGGCCATGTGTCCAGTTAGCATCAATGCCAGCGTAGTGGTCACTATGAAAATGGGAAAGTAAATAACCCTCACAGTTGGCTATATCTCCGTAAGAAAAGGCATCCACAACAAGATTTGTATCAGCGATTCGTTTATAATGGGGCACAGTCATTAAACGTGTATCCTTATTATTAGTGATGGAGAAGTGTGTTTTAGCAAAAATAGATTCATCATTTCGTATTGCTGTTAATGATGGTGTAGCGTAAAGTGAAGTGTTTATTGGAGTTGTCTTCTGTTTCATTATCTGATCATTTATAATCTCATTTTTGTCAAGTACATCACTTATTTGATCGTCAAAGTCATCATCATCATCATCTTTCATCATGTCATTTAAACATGCACCAACGTGTGAACTTGATTCTAATAATGAAAGATCCTGTAATACTTGATTACACACTGGACAGTTATTGATTATTACTAATCGTTGATGATCATCTTTACTACCACTAGTAGTGCTTTTTGAAGAATACTGTTGTTGCTGTTGCTGTTGTTGTAGTGTGTTTTTTTGTTGCTTTTTTATTGATATCGGTGATTGACTGTTATCAACAATTATGTCTTTGCGCTTTTTCCCATTATTTTCTGCTGACATATAAAAAATAGATACATAAATTATGTGAGCTATATTAATAAAAAATGCATGTCTTGGTTGTTGCTGTGAAGAAATATAAACTGAAAAAAGGGCTTATTGGTTTATTTTCATATACAAAAATAAAAAAAAAAAAAAATAACAACCCCTTCCAACTTGCTAATTTTTTTTTTAACTATTTTTATGGAATGATGATTGAGCAAGCAAGTTCTTATTTTATTTTACGTCAAGCTATCATCATTTGGCACCGATTAAAGCCTTATTATTACTCCTACTGATCACTAACACAAAATGAAAATCTCTTGTTAGCATAAAGTTATGACATTTATATCTTTAAAAAAAAAACATAGCAAATCTATTGAGAATATTCCAATATATATACATATATGCTCTGCTTAAATGTACAAATAATAATGTGATAACAGTTACAAATATCTGTAATCAAGAGATCAGATGGTAATTATTAGTAAAAGCAACAAAAGGAAAGAAAGAACAAGGTTTCAAAGCACATCTATAATTTCTGTATTAATGATAGTAATTTATCTTATGAAACATATAAATGATGAAAACATTTTTAGAATATGTAATTTGTGTGTGTGTGTTTTCCTATAGTTTCTTTTTACTGTATTATATGTTAGTATTATTTGTGAAGCATCATAATATAGCATCTTGTTCTATTCTTTTTCTATTTTCTTTTTTTTTCTTTTTCAGTTATTGATAATCTATCCCAAGTGTAAATATATTAGCGCATGTATTATTATGTAAGGTAGTATTTATTCAAAATATGCAAAAGAATAACAAATATAAACAGATTAGTAAATAATAATACAGAAAATGAAAATATGGAATTATTATTAATATAGTTCATTGAAGCGCTGTACATAATTGGTATTCCATCTTTTAATAAATAGTTATGTCATGCTCCTTATGAAGAAAAAAAAAAGCTACAGTTCCAGTTAGTTATTATAGAAAATAACAAATGCTAATAGTTACATAGATTATACTTTTGTTGTTTATTAATTCATTTCTTTTTTCTTAAAAAAATGAGAGAGAAGAGAGGGAGATTTACAGAACTTCTTATTTTACATTATAATGTTATATCCAAGTTGTCTTGTTACGCAATAGCAGTTAATAAAAAAACTATAAACTAGACCAACCTCATCATGCTTTTACTTTGTTAATTTGGAAGAAGCAGTATTCATATATTTGGTTGTCATTAATATCTTACGCACATAAAGCAAAAAAAAAAAAAAAAAAAAAAAAAATAAAATTAATAAAAAAATAAAAAATGAATGCTCTAGGCGAGGATCGAACTCGCGATCTTCGCGTGACTTAGGTATATTTTGTGAATATAAGCACGACGCTCTAACCAACTGAGCTACTAGAGCTTGTGTTGTGAACTTTTAGTTTGTAAATTATATGTCCGATTCGAATTAAAAAATTAGTCACGTGACCTATAGACCTTTTTGGTGACATCATCATATATGTATATTTCATTACTTGAACAACCAAAAAGTTTATTATGTGTTTGTATTGAAAATAGCAGTATAGTATTGGTAATGTAATAATATTGAAGTAAATATGCTCATAAAATAATCTTCCGATAGTGTTGTATAATTATATCACTTTTTTTTTTCACAGTCGTATATTATTGTATTCATGATTAACTACAGCTCATTACATGTGTTTAGGGGGGTTTAATCTGTAATTACAATTAACATCTTAAAGCACACTCATACACGTTCACATTAGTTTATAGTTGTATTCAATAATATTAGTTGGTACTATAACTCATTAAATGACATATGAATCTTTCAATATTTTGTGGCTTTTATAAGTATACTATGCATCTTCAATATGCTGTATTACCCTGATTTTTAATTGTTATAAAATGAAGACAACAAACCTAAAAAAAAAAAAAAAATAAAAAAAAAATAAAAAGATATGTACTAGGAATTAATGTATGGTATGGCAAGTTAATCAAGTTAAAGCATATAATATTGTATTTCATCTAAAGAAAATAAGGCAAAATAAAAAATCTTTAAAGCAGAGACTAGCAACGATGCTACGATAAAAAAAAAAATCGAACATCGTCTTCAGAGTAATGCCATAATAGCCACTGTATTAAGAAGTTTTCTGGTTTCCTTATTTTTGATATCATGATCTACCCCTATTTTAAATTGTTAGGGTATAACTTAATGAGATTATTTATACCCATTTTTTTTTTGTATATAAAAAAAAACTCTTATTCTATTTATTCTATTATATATTAATGTTGGATAATATTTGTAAATAACACGTTATTCAGGTATATATATTATACATGTATACATATTTTATAAATATAAATGTACTATAACAAATCACGACCGTCTGTAAATGTCCATAATCCACAATCCTCACAGTCTTCTTCTTCAATCACACATTCTGGTAAAGGAAACTCCTCAGGCTTTTTAAGAATACTTTCAATGATAGTTCCAATACGATGACTCGCTATATTCACTCTCCATCCATGGTCTTTCACTGTATCCCAAACACATACTTTCCCTGTATGACATCTTGATTCCATTGCATATCCACCATAATAACAACCGCTCCAAGGACCCTAATCATAATTACATTATTCATACTATACTAAAACCTTGAATTTATAATCATGGTTATGATATTTACTGTGCATACACCAATAAAGATAGGATCTGCTGTATGTCCAAAATGCCAAATAGGCATATCAGCTGCCCCAGGTGCTCTAGGCAAATGTAATCTTCGTGCTGCTAATTGATCTCCAGGACTTTGAAAACCCACAGCTGGAACGCCAAATGTCTCTCCTAATAATGCTGCAATCGCTCCACCTAATGAGTGTCCTGTAAGCCAAATTGTGGCATCTGGAAATCTATTTGCGACATCCATATATATTTTCTTTTATGAGATGAGATGAGATTTATCAATATTCCTTTTTTTTTTTTTTTTTTTTTTTTTTTTTTTTTTGGTAAACTTACTGCTGCGTAATCATAATATAGTTCAGTATCTACTAAAGCTTTATCTAAACATTGGCTATCACATTGATAAGGTTCATTGCTGCAATTACAGACAGGTGCCCATCGTTTATTTACCTCAGCACAACAGCAAGAAAAGAGCATATTATCCTATTAAAATATATATAAATCGATAAGATACACTTTTTTTGTTTGTTTGTTTCCTTTTCCCCTTGTAGTTTACATTTATTTTATCTTTCCCAGTAGAAGGAAGCATTTTAGAAAACAATCCTACGCTTGTCCCCTTAAAGCTAATAATTAAATGTGAATCATCTTCATTACCAAAAACATGACCTCTTAATCCATCTGTTTCCCATCCAAATGTCGAATTCTAAATTACAAATTATCAACGAAATATGTATATAAATAAATATATACATATATGTATATAAATAAATATATACATATATGTATATAAATATACGAACCACTTTATAATTTGTGTCTAATTCATACCAATCTCCATCATTACCAAGCTCAGTATAGGCATTGTAACTCATTTCAGCTAAGGCAAGTAACGTTTGACGATCTGTAACATTAGGTAGCAATCCAAGTTTTGGTTGCATTTGTAAGTCACCTTCTTTAAATCGTAGTAGGAAAGGATGCTTAGATTGTGCACGTAATGCAAAAACTTTCTCCTGGGTTATTCCAGAAAGTGGATAAGTGATACCCCATTGAGATTGAATGGTGAATGAATGCATAAGAGATGAATGATTGGTTCGTAAGAAAATGTTGTCTTCAGAGAAATGATGATACATGGCTTTAAGAGTCATAGTATCTATTGATTTTGTTTTTGAGTAATATACTTGTTGACATGATATAGCGTAAATAAAAAAAAGTATGAATAACCAAATGAACATATAGGAAAAAAAAAAATCCTTCGAGGAAAAGTGTAATGGCCTATTTAGGGGGGGTTTATTTATTTATTTATTTATTAAAAAAGGTGACACATAAAAATTTCCACTTAAAGAAAAAAGAAACCTCTCTCTCTCTCTTTCTCCTCCTCCTCCTCCTCCTCCTCTTCCCCCCATAATTTGGTAGCAAATAACGTCATCTGTGTTACTTCCCCACATTGTCATTTGTTTATAATAATTTAAAGAGAAAGTGTATTATTATATTAAAGACTCCGGCTACCAGTAAATTGAAGCCATTGACTACTATTATTTTCCATTTGGCCATGTCTAAGCATTTGCCTTGCTCTATGAACATCACTTATAGGAGATTTGCCATTTGTGATATTCATGTTATATCCATCTTCATTATGATGATCTTGATAGGCAGTAGAAGAAGAAGGTTGACCATAAGGAATCGAATTGGAACGATATAGATATTGAGGCTCTGCTAAATCCTTAATAGTGCTTGAAGATCGTAAGCTAGTAGTCTCGATAGGATTGGATCCATGATGTTTAATACTAAAATATTGCATCTGAGTATTTTCTTCAGGTGATTGAGGGTATTCTTGAAAGCGCCACATAGCAGGCCTTTGCTGCTGCTGCTGCTGCTGCTGTTGTTGTTGTTGTTTTCTTTGTTCCCAAAGGGCTACTTCGTCTACTCCACGTCGACGCGCAGGGTCTTGCCAAATTTCAGAACGAGGTACTAACGTCAATGAAGATGGTTGAATAGGCACAAAGGTAGATGAGATAGGATATTCCAAATTTTGTACAGGTGCCTCTAAGATAGGCAACCTATTTTGTTTAGGTTTATAAAGTAATTTTGCAAGTAGGCCAGATGGCTCTGTAGTATCGTAATGAATTGGCTCACGTTGACGAGTCTCTATAGTATCCTCTGTCACAGACATAGGATAGAACTTACGAATAAAGTGAGTAAAATGAGTTGTAATGGGACTAGCTTGCTTTTTAGTTTCAAAATGACTATCCATATTCCATGATAACTGACGACGTCCATATGCTTGATAAGTCATTCTATAGATACGATAAAAAAAATAAATAAGAAAGCCGAGAATGGTAATGACGCCTATAAGCGCAAAGACAAGAATAATAGGCAAATAATAATGGAGACGTTGATCCCAAACACTTTGATCAGCAGTATAGACAGGAATATTATTATTAGATGGTGTAAAAATAAGGGAGGCAGTAGGAGAAGAAGCTTCAGGTACAAGAATAGTTGAGGTTATATAATCTGTTTGTGTAACTGTAACTGCATTGCTTCCACTTGTAGTGTCAACACGATATAAGTTAGTAATTGACTGAATGTTGGACATGAATTATATTTGAATTTTTGTATAAATGAAGGCAAAGAAAGAAAGAATAATAATAATAATAAAAAAAAGAAGATAGGATAAGGAATGTATTACAAGATAAAGAAAGGATCAAAAAATAAAATAAAATAAAATAAAATAAAATAAAATAAAATAAAAGAGAATAATAAATAATAATTTCACACTCGACCAAAGTGACATTTTGTCAAATAAAACGATGTTGAGATTATGCCTGAATTTTACTTTGTTTTATTTTTGGAAGATGTAAACATAAAAAAAAAAAAAAAAAAGAAAGTTTATTTGATCTACGTATCTTTTTTCCTTATATGTTTTCCTATATAAATAAGCAAGCGTCCTATATTAATAACCTATTATATAATGAGCTCATCTATAAATATGCGTTTCACCCGTTTATAGAATATAAATACAAGTAAATCTTGTAATAAAGTATAATAATTTTATTGTATACATTCCTTATAATTATAAAAATCGAGCTTATTTTTTTTATAGCAGTAAAAAGCATATTAAGTTTTACGATACAAATAAGAATTTGAGCAACAGTTTCTTTTTTTAGTCTTTAGTATATAGCTTTATTTTATAGTAAATCAATATATTATCATATTTGTGTTAGATGCGATTCAATACATACACAAACAAATATATTTCTATATATACATTTTCATAATACAGTCATATTTTTTAACATTTTGTAACTACATACATTGTATGTATATGTACCTTTAGAAATATGAAATAGGTGATATTCAGAAATATATCAGACTGAATAATTAATATATAGCTGTATTGCTTTTTTTTTCTTTTTACAAAAAAAAAAAAAAAAAACGTACCCATATACAGGCCCGTGCACGTTTTCTATTATATATTAAAAATAAGACACAAGATTAAATTAATATGTGTATTCCCTCGTGTTTAATAAAATAATTAACAACTTTATTTTTTTATTTTCAAGTATCTATTTGATATTCATGTGGTATATCTTCATTATGCTCCAAAGCTTTTGTGGCAATAAATCCCATGAATCGATTACCATATGTTTTGGGCTTAACTGCAGAAATTTTATGTTTATCTTGTGTCATTGATTTAAAGAAATGTTCAGATTTCTTCTTGAGATCGTAAGGTGTCAAGATATCGATGATACCTATAAAATACAATGAAGGACTAGGTCGATCCTTTTCATCAGTCGCTTGAAATCCACCATCATTTGAATAAAATATACAATTGCGACGTCTATAGAAAAAAAAAAAAAAAGGAAAGAAAAATTTAGAGAGAAAATAGGCTTATTAAAATATAAATGCCTTACTCTTCAGAGGGTGTATCTGGTAATTCTGCTGCATTCAATCGATCAGGATTAGCTTCCATAATCACTTTACGATATGCCATTGCTTTACTTTCACGACGTTTCATCATTGATGCACGACGTTCAGCTAGTTTAGTATCAGGCTATATAGGTATATATGTTAGCAATTACATACGCTATTTTTTCTTTTTTTTTTTTTTTTTTTTTTTTTTTTTTTTTTTTTTTTTTTTGCTTCTCTACTTTACTTGGAATGTTTGTAAGATTGAATTTCGAACATTATCTTTATTTCCTCGTAACATATCATGAATTCCAACCATCAGACTATAATCCATAATATTTAGACGAACTAACAGTTTGACATCACGTAACAACTGAGTCACAAAAAGCTTACGTTTTCGAGGACCTAGTTGTAACTTCATATTACGTTGTTGCCAATTGAGGTCCTTAAGAACCGCATAAGGGTTCTTTTTGAGTTCTTGTTCGGGTAAGAAACGACCTTGAGTAGAACCTTTAAGGTCGTAAGTTGCATGAATATCTTTATTGGGTGGTAAAACGTTGCCCATGACTACAAAATGAATTTTACGGCCATGAGGGAGCTTTACACGATGAAGGCCATAGTAGCGACAAAGCAAGGTATCAGGATTTGAACATACATGCTATAGAGAAAGAAAGAGAGAGGGAGAGAGAGAGAAAAAAAAGAGTAGTTAGAACTATTTAGAAAGCAAACTTCCTTTTTTGTCTTTACATCGTGATATTGCTTAAGTATCTTTCTCATAAATTTATGTTCTGTATGATGTATTGTTTTGATAATAAATCGATAATCTCTTGAATAGTAAAAAAAACTTCCACTTTTACCAGCTGAAGCAAGTTCTGATAAAATATATTTGCTTGTTAACGAAATCTAGAAAAGAAGATATGTTAACAGATATTGTAATTATATCATTATATAATATTTATACCAAATAATCAGCAGGATCAATTCCAAATCTTTCTCTCAAGGCACGGAAAACCCAAGGTGCATAATCCTTAAACTTGAAATCATATTTTGCTCCAGGTGTTAGTTCATCACCCGTTCTAAACAAAAACCATAAATTAGACGAAAAAAAAAAAAATAAAATAAAATAAATAAATTAAGGTAGCCATTTTTTTTTTTTTACACATCAAAAGCTAATTTATGTGCTGCTAAAAAATCTTCATCCACTAAAGGCCTATCAGGTTTTGCAGATACTCGTCCAACTGCAATACGTATACCTGTCAACATATTGTACATTAAAACATAATTTTGATGCCCTTCTGAAATACGTGTGCCAAATAAGACCTTATCATCATCATCTTCGAACTTTGTAAGTCGTCGAGAAAGACGTTTAAAGGCCTTTTGTCGCACTGCAAGCTCTTTAGAAAGGTCTTGACTGAGTTCCATATTTGGTTGAATAATAGTAGAGTTTCGAGTAAGGACTGTAGGGTTTGTTATTTTTCTGGTATCTTGTAAGGTTGTTAAGGATCGTTGTGGTGGTATTGGGGGTAATTTGTTATCGATATTCTTGATGGGTTGAGGACAAGATTTCTCGTAAGATGCTTCTAACAATTCAATGACATGTTGATTAGCATGATCAAGAATTGGTTTGTGTAAGAAATAGTCATTAGTTTCATTATGGGCTGCCAGAGCCATTATTATTAAATAAAAAAAAAAAAAATAAATAAAATAAAATAAATAAATAAATGAATATATAAAAAAAAAAATAAAAATAAAAATAAAAAATAAAAATAAAAAAAAGGGCAAATAAAATATATATTAAAATAAAAAAAGGAGATAATTTTTGTTTTATAATTATAAACCTCACACGTGTGACATGAACAAACACAGCAATTTATTTTATTTCTGCAAGTCTGTAGCTTCTCCATTTCTGGTAACCTGTACGATTATAAAAATCAACCAAATCAACCCAGTCTACAATCGCTTTTTTGACTCCGCGTTGCTTTAATTCTTGGTTTGCGTGAGCAACAAGACCTATACCAATCCCTTTACCTCTCAATTCTTTCGAAACACCTACACAGGCGAGCCCGCCACTCTCATAGCCAAATAGGTCTGTCCAAATAAGATCTGTGCGGCTAGGATGCGATTGGCCAGTGGTGTACAAGATAAGACTACCAATAATACGGCCCTCTAGATCTCGTGCTACTAAAAAGTCCTGATAGTCTCCTAACCTAGCGTGATGTTCATAAGTAGAGACCCAAAAGCTAAAATAACGTTTTTGAAAATTTAAAAGTTCTTCGAATTGATCTTTTCCTTTGAGTGTCTCAAAGGTGACGTTCTGTAGACGTTCTTTAATTTCCGGTGAAATTTGATAGTGTTCAATCTCTTTACTCATCAAGTCCCATACTAAGTTGGGACTTAGCGTATATCCGCGATGTTTAAAGAAATCATTGAATTGTGGATCGGGAATACCACAGAAGAAACGTGGATAAGTGGCGCCTAGCATAACATTGTGACAGCCTGCTTGACGAAAGACATCTAAACAAGAGTCATTCAATTGAGTACCAAGCCCTTTACGGCGATAATTGGGTCGAACCATCAAAAGGGCCAATTGACCAACACCTGAAATTTGTTGCGTAGCTGCAAATCCAATCATTTTTCGCCCATCACCATCACCATCATCATCATAAATCGCTACATGGTATCGTTCATGAAATCCACATAATACCAAACAAAACTTTTCAAAATCAAGTGGCCATTCAGTAAATACAACATTCCAAAGTTCATACGCTGCCCTTAATTCCTCTTTCCCAAAGCGGAATTCGGTTATCTTTGTTGTCGTTACCACTACATCTTGAAGAGTAATAGTAACAGGTAGTGGTTTATGAATGGGCTGTGTTTCTCCAAAGATGAGCTGAATAGCAGCTTCATGAGCAGGTGGTGTATACTCATATGTCACAACATATGTATCCACTTCAGTTTCAAATGCTAATAAATCATAAGGATTGATAACAGCTATCACCACGAGTTGTTTGGCATGCATCGCAGCTAACTTAACCATGTTCGACTGGAATGAATGTAAATTTGCATTCGCTGTACCAACAATCACTAAGCTCGCTTCATCCATTGCTTTCTTCTTTATCGCATCGTCATTTTCTTCATCGTCTTCATTAAAGATGATATAATTCGTATTGAGGTGGCGTCGTCTGATTGACTCATACATAGAATTGAACGGCTCAGGTTCAGAATCGATTGCCAACGTTAAAGGCACATTAGCCGCTAAAAACAAAATTTTATCTGTTGGAGCTAACTGGACGGGTATAACTTGTGCTTTATTGCGGACAATAGAAGGTACCTGTTTATAAAGACGTTTACTTAGATCAACATGATTTTGACATCCAATGATGTCCAGTCTTGGGTCTTTCTCTAGTAGCACTTGTTCCCAACTCAAATATTGATCCTTCAAGTTAGCTATTCGCTTTAATGAAGCACGTATTGCATCCTTATTCAATAAATTATCTGATAGAGCCTGTTTTATAGTTTCAAGGGCCTTCTGTTGAAACTCTAATGTATGAGAGATGATGGCAATGTCATTACCTGCCTGTAACGCCATTAGCGCGCCACGTTCAACTCCTACAGTGTCTTTAATAGCATCCATTTCTAAACAATCCGTTACCACCACACCCTCAAATCCCATCCTTTCACGCAGCAATCGAGTCACTACCGAACTTGAAATAGATGCAGGTTGATCACTTAAACTAGGGACAAGGATATGAGCTACCATGACTGAAGAAGGATGAGCATGGCCCTTAGCCTCAATGGCTTTACGAAATGGTATTAGCTCTACCGTATCTAGCTCTTCTATTGTCTTATCGATAATAGGAACACCTAAATGAGAATCAGTGGCTGTGTCTCCATGGCCTGGGAAATGCTTGACGGTCGCCACGACCCCATGACGTTGGTATCCCTCGACTTGGGCCAATCCTAATAGGCTCACCCAATGTGGGTCCTCCGAATAGGATCTCACCCCAATCACAGGGTTCAAAGGGTTGTTATTGACATCCAGAACAGGTGCTAAATTCCAATTTAGACCTAATGCCCGTAATTCCCTTGCTGTCGCTGAAGCCACTTGGTAAGCTGAACTTGTTGAACCTAATGAACCCAAGGCCATACCTCCTGGAAGATAAGTACCAGCTGATGAACCTAAACGGCTTACAACCCCGTTCTCTTGGTCGACAGCAATCAATAAGGGTCGCTTATGGCCTGCTTCATAAGCAGTTTGTTGAAGTCTTTGAGTCAGTTGACGAACTTGGACGGGGTTTGCGATATTACGAGAAAACAAAATGATATTGCCTAGATGTTCGTGTCGGATAAGATCAAGAAAAGCATCCGGAGGCTCTAGACCATCAAAGCCACACATGAGTAATTGTCCAATGTCAAGATTCAAATTTGATTTAGTCATTAATAACAATTGAATGTAGTATAATATAAATATAGAGCAAAGTTTTTTTTTTTTTTTCTTAAAAAAAGAAAAAAAAAGAAAAAAAAAGAAGCGAGAGTTAGTTAGTTAGTTAGTTAGTTAGTTAGTTAGTTTATTATTTTCTTTATAACACATTTTAAGGAGATTTATTTAAAACATGTATGACATAAAATAAGGATATTTTGTTGCTACATGAAAAGGAGGTTTGGAGTGGAGGAATCCATAAGTTATTGACAACTATCAAATAAAATAATAACGATAACTGGAGTCTATGTAAAATTATTTTATTCTTTTTGTCACTATAGGATAGATATGATAGCTTTCATCTAAAGATAGTAGTCCAAATTTATATGTTAAATAAAGTTAACAACAGTTATAATTTTAAATTAATCGCTTTGATCTAAAGATATATTCTAAAATAGACCGTTATAGTCTGAATACTTATTTTGCTTATCAAATAGTTTATTCTTTGTCGTAGTAGTAGTAGTAGTTTATATCAATATATTCATGCAAATATATATAAAAAAAAACCCGACAACAACACAAGTACAAGTAGTAGTAAGTTTGTTATCTCCGCTATTCACAATACGCTTGTCGTCTTTTTTTATTTTTTATTTTTTATTTTATTTTTTAATTTTAGCAAAATGGCAAGTGGCAGTAAAAAAAGCAGCAGAGAAAATGCATCACACATGATTGATGATTACATCAAATCTAATAAAGTGATGGTAAATAACCTGATGCGTTTCTTTCTAGAACATATAAGTCAAGCTATTTTCATAGGTCTTTAGTAAAACATACTGTCCCTATTGTGATGATGCAAAGGAATTACTCAAAAAGTTAAAAATTCATTACGAATGTATTGAATTAGATGACTTGGGCAGTTTAGGGAGATTACTACAAGAAGAGCTCTTAGCAAAAACAGAGCAATGGACTGTTCCTAACATATTTATCAAACAACATCATATAGGTGGATGTGATGATCTTCATAGATTACATGCTTCTGGTGAACTTGTCAAACTACTCGAATAATAATATTTTAAATTGTGCTAAAAAGAATAAGAATAAAAATAAATAAAATTTTAATAGAGCGATTTCTTATTATTATTTATTATACGTGCATTTGCTTGTATATAATAACTATCCTTTCCCCCCCTTCTTTTTCTCTCTTCTCTTCTTCTTCTTCTTCCTTTTTAATAATGTCATTTATTTCTTCTTCTTCTAATTACCATGATATCATACCAAAGAAGCGGTGGCTAAAGATAAATGATGGTTCATCACTTGTCCATCCTCTTCATAAATCGCCTACTGATATACCTTCTTCTTCTGTAAAGCGCCTATTTCCTTCACTTTCCATGTTCAATTTACCTTCTTCCATGGTTTTATCGCCTACAACCACTTTATGTGATACACCATCACCATCACCATCGCCACCATCGCCTCTAGATCCTTCTTTTATTCAAAAGCTTTTTTTATCCTTAAGCAAATCATCTTCCAATCCGTCAGAACAACAACAACAACAACAACAACAACAACAAGAGGTGACTACTACAGTACAACCATTAGAGGCCGTACAATTGTTGCTAGAGCGCCTAGAGGCCTGGTACTTACTCACAACACGTCTTTTACGTCATTTTCAACGTTTAGCAAGTATCGAGCGTTACATATCCAAGATATATGATCGTCGTTTTGTTTCACCACATCAAGCCAATATCTTCACCACACATCCATTACTTGATACTCACTTTGATCCTTCCTTTAAGGGCGGTATCCGTCATCTTTGCCATGCATGGTATCAACACCATCTAGATCGTATCCAACAACATACAGACTTGTCTCATTTTTTAAAACAAGAGGCTATCCCTGTCCTTCAAAAGATAAAACGCGATTTACGTCAAATGATGCGGTCCATACGCACTGATGATCGCTTATCCTCACATACCCTTAAAAAACTTGAATGTGAAGCGAATCGACGATTAGATAAATTAGAGCAACAGTTAAGAGCCTTTGATGAGCAACCTCATGAATGCCACATGAAACAAGACCCCTGGCTCATGAATGCAGGTAATAGATGAATATAGACAAATGAAAACAATATAAATATGTATATGTGTATACATGTAACACTTTTTTTTTTTTTTCCCTTTTGCTTATTAGGTGTAGTTAAACAAATGATCAAGGTCTATTATCATCAAAATAAAATCTACGAAACTGTTTTACGCTTACAAGATGAAACTCAAACACTTGAGGAACAATGTCTTTCACAATTTCATCAATTATGTTATCATGTCACAGATACTGTCTCTAGCGATTGGGAAGACTTCTTTCAACGATATCAACATCGTCTATTATCGCCTGTCTTTCATAACCTTGACCATCTTCAATATCATCACCGTCTGTTGGAACCCTTATTGGCCTCTCGTATCGAACGTAAAACGTTTTGGGGATGGCGTGAATACATGTATGTATTGACACCTGCTGGCTTCTTGCATGAATATCAATCACAAGCAACCTACCCAGCGAAACCAACCCATAGTCTCTTTGTGGCTCATTATAACGTTTGCTTAGAACCTATGGGTTTGCATCAGAGTTTAGTATTCGGATTGAGTGGCAAATGGGTATTGAGGGCTAAATCAGTTATGGAAATGGAGATGTGGATATATCAATTAACCAAATGTTCTGAACGCTATTTTGGAAAGGGAGTAGAAGATAAAAAGACGATGAATATAAAAGAAGAGGAAATCAAAAAGAAGAAGAGGAAGCATCTGATAGTATAAAAGTGAAAAAAGAAGAAGAAAATACTGAATCAGCTGCTGCTGCTGCTGCTGCTACTGCTGAAGAACAAGAGGATAAAAAAGAGGAAGAACCTATTAAAAAAGAAGAAGAAGAAATATCTAATTAAATAAAAAAGAAAGCCTTTTTTTTTCTTTTTTATTTCTCTAATAAACTTATCAAATGAGCAGAAGAAGATATGATATCAAATGTACAAGCCTTATTTGCAATTAAGAATTGATGATGTAACATTGCAGACCAAACAGTCGTTAATTCACTATTTAATAGTTAAATATAAAGATTTACATCACGATTTATTTTATTTTTTCTGTTTACCTTTGTTTAATTTTTATGATGCCTTCATTTCGATATTGATTCCAGTCTAATATATTAATGTAACAAGAAGCCCCCATTTGCCCAAATATTGCTTGAAGAGCTTGTTGAATTGACATTCGAAATGAGAGTTCTGTAATTTCTACATCGAGATCTTCATCTGACCAGCTATAAAAAAAAACTATTTTTTTAAAAAAAAAATCAAGTATGCTCTTTTTTTTTCTTTTACATTTTTATTTTTAAATATTGCCATTCTTGAATAGGTTTAAATTTCTTAAACCATGGTTTAGTAACAACAGACATTTTTTTTTTTAAAAGAAAGAAGGGAAAAAGAAATATGTATTTTTTTTTTTTTTTTTTTTTTTTTTTTTTTTTTTTGGATTAATTAATGGAAAGTCACTACTTATTTAAGCTTTGCATAATTTAAAATTGAACAAATTTAGGATCTAAGGGTAAACCGGTAACAGGGTCAATCCCCTAGAGTAAATTCAAGTTAATTTCATAAACAAGTAAATATAATTTTCCTTGTTCTTACATTCTTTTTTAATAATCGTTGTTGTCGAATAAGTCTAGCTTCATCAAATGACACATTTTGTTTTTTCATAATTCTCAGAATTTCTTCTTTATTTTTGAGACCTGCTCGACTATCTTCTTCATTTATATTGACACTTAAATCAAAGTTTGAACTTGTTAAGCCATCTTCAATATCTTCTTCGAATGAACCTTCGTTAGTAGGTAATAAATGATAGCCAATGAACTTGTTCGTTCTATTGGCTAATTTAGAAGCACATGTTATAATGAATCTACGAAAATACCAACATACTTTGATAGGCTCAAGTTAGTATACTAATAAGCATGAGTTGAGTATATATATATATATATGTATATATATTAAGAAACCTGAGAGAATGAGTGTCAAGAAGAATAAGTAAATGAACATTTTATATGATTAAAGAAGAAGAAGAAGAAAAAAAAATAAAAATAAAAAAAGGTCGAAAAGAATAAATACAAACTCAGATGATTTATACTTAGCAACTTCCCCCCTCAACAGGCCACTCATTAAAATGGTATTATTAGTCATTTGTATATGCTTATTTTAACTATAAAGAGAGAGAGAAAAAAAAAGAAGTCATTTAGTCCTATTTACCTTGTTTGTTATTTTGCGTTTTGCAGTTTAGTAATGACGATGATATAATACACGTTATCTTTAGTCATAAAATAATACTGAAAAAAAAATTATTATGCAGCAATATTTATATATTAGGCTATTATATCATATAATACACGTCTTTTCCTTTTTTTTTCTTCTATAATCTTTAATATTATAAAAATGACAAGGTATTATTTTACATTCTATTCTATTACACTTGTATAACTCTTCCTCATCTATTCCTTAGTTATTCAAAAAATGATGTGTTTCGTATTGTTGTAGCTGTAGATAATTCACTTGTATCTAAAGAGGCTATTCAGTATGCAATTAACTTGTGTACAAAATTAAAGACATCCTATACATTAGATATCTTGTATGCTGTAGGATTAAATCCATCAACGACTCCATTTGGATTATTGTAAGTTATTATAATGCTCAAATACAAAATGTATTTAACCAACATAACTTTAATTAGAAACAAGTTGGATAGAATGAATAATGTAGACCTTCAGGAAGATGCTAAAGAAACGATAAAAGAATTAAATGAATATTTAGCCAAATTTGATGAAACTGTAAACTACATGAGCACATTCTAATTTTATATGCATGACTCTAACCTTTTTTTTTATATGACATAGAAAACAAAAGAATTAATAGTAAAAGAAGATTCAAAGGATATTGAATATATAATTGAAGATTATATTAATCAAAATCCACCCAACATGTTAATTATGGGCTCAACAAATAAAGAAGGACTTCAAAAGTAAATAATGACACACAGAAGCAAAAAACAAAACTTATTTATTATTGTTATTACTATTAGAATTATTTTAGGATCTGTTAGTGAATACTGTTTACATCATTGTAAGTGTCCAGTCACTATTATTAAACAGAATGTCAACAAAGAAGAAGAAGAAGAAGGACAGATAAAGGAGACTACTTTTTAAACAATAAAATTTCTAAAAATAAAAATAATAGTAACAACTCAGCGTGAAAAAAAAAAAACCCAAAAGAAACAAAAGAAAAAATACACACACGCACACACATATACACATTATTTTATGTCATAATAAAGCATGCTTGTAGTAAATTAAAGTAAATAATTCTAAGCTAATCAATTTTTCCTTCATTAATAAAGGGAGGGAAAAAAAAAAGGACATAGTCAAATTAATTTCCTAATTTAGAGAAAAAAAGATACTATTTTTTTTTTTTTTTTTTTTTTTTTTTTTTTTTGCACCTATATTTAAATCTTATTTATCCCTTTTTCTTTTCTTTCTTTTCTTCTTCTTCTTTTTTCCCTTTTCTCTTTATCCTTATGCATATCTCTTTAATAGCTGGACCTATATCGCCCAATAAACTCAAGAACATACTTAGTATACCCATTCTTGCTCTCTTTTTTATTGGGCTCTTTTTTATATCTACTTTAAAATTTAGAATTATATATACAGCACCATCTGGTAAATAGAAATAGATTAGATATATCTATACTCTCTCATCTTTTGACTCAATTATCTCTCTCTCTCTCTCTGTTTAGTGAGTGCATGTGAAAACTGTAGTAAAAGCTCTATTTTAGAACAAGAATTAAAGCCACCCAGCCCAAAATATGTTACACAACCTATTCATCCTAAGCCCACTCAATACCCTTTCACGATTGTCACAGCTTCTAGTGCAAATCATTTGTGTTCCCTTGAAAATTTTCTTTATTCACTTTATCAATTACGAGAAGAAGTAGACATTAGTGAATTTCCACGTATTATTGTTTATAATATTGGCATGAATCGTACTCAATTACCGATTCTCGATCAATTTGTACAGACAGGATTAGTCGACGAGTTAGTTACCTTTGATTATTTTAAATATCCTCGATTTTGGGATGTCGCGATAAATGCCGGTGAATATGCATGGAAGACAGGTATTGTACATGAGGTGGCAACAAATAAAACCATCATGGATCAATCAAATGGTTTATTAGTATGGTTAGATGCAGGCAATGTAGTGACAGCTGAATTTATACGCTCTATCCCTACTCTTCTACGAGACCCAAATCAACAGTCCACAGGATTTTGGTCACCCAGATCCTCCAAGACGATGGCTCAATGGACTCACCCTGGGCTCTATAAGTATTTTGATGCGAATCCTTTACAATATGCTCATAATCCAAATTGTAATGGTGCTGCCTTAGGATTTGATGTTTGGAATGAATCTGTAATGCAAGGTTTAGTGGAACCTTGGTTTCATTGCGGTTTAGATAAAAACTGTATAGCTCCGCCTGGTTCCTCAAGAGCCAATCATCGACAAGACCAGGCAGCACTTACATTTTTAGCCTATCGTATGGGTTTACAGTGTAGAATGTCTCCACAATACTATAACATACAAATTCATAGAGATAAAGCATGTCGTACTGAATTAATGGCATTAGAAGTTCAAGAAAAATTAAATCATCCCAGTTCAATAGGTAAAATTACATACATGTTATCTATGTATACATTTTAATTATTTTAAAATAGATTTGCCAAAATGGTATGCTAGTAATACTTTACAGTTATATTATCACCCAGAATGGAGATACCCCGAAAATCAAATTCCAGAACATCTAGCTAAATTATTAAATCCTCCATTATTTAGTTAATATTTGCATGTATATATATATATTTATATGAATATATTTATTTATTATTTAATTTATTCTATAATAATAATAATAAAAAGGAAAGGGAAAATTCAAACATACAGGAAAATATATATATGTATATTATATAGAAGAAACATCTATGAAACAAGTACTTGTATTTGAAATAAAAGTAGATAAGGAGAATGGAATGTCGATAGTTAAATTCAGTATCAAGTCTGAGTAATGGACAGATCACAAGATTTTGTCAGAAAATGTGATCTGATCCAAGTGTTACTGAATATTAAATCTATTTATACACCTATATTATGCAGGAATAAGCCACAAAAAAGAAAAAAAAAAGATAATAGGAAGACTAAAATAAAGAATGTTGTAGTTGATGAAAGGATAACATAATAGAGTCTACTACCAGTATGACTACTACTCACTCAGTCACTCTCACTCAGTCACTCTCACTCACACACACACACACACACACTCTCTCTCTCTCTCTCTCTCTCTCTCTCTATTTATATATACACATACGATTTGTTTCTTTGACCACACACATTGTATAATACTCTTGAAACAACTTACACTTTATCAAGGAGAAGGGAAACTATAGTATTTGGAATGAAAGCTACTATTAATCATGTATTCACTTCATATCTCCTTATTTGACATGATCTTCTTCCGATGATCCGAATTAGAATTCCCCTCTTCCCTTCTTTCTCCCTTTACTATCTATACACATACATTAAGAAGTAATAGGTCAACATGATTAAGAGGCCTTTGTATTCTACTTTTTTTAATTAATCTATTATCATGTATACCTATTATAAACAATAGATAAAAAGACTTACAAAGAAGGAGAAATAGATCATCTCCGACCTTATCAAAAGGATATATAACATATATATATATGTATGTATGTATGTATGTGTAAGTGTGTGTGTGTGTGTGTGTGTGTAAGTGTCTGTGTGAATAAAATAACAGGGTATTTTAATATAATAATGCTGCCCATATTATGAAAAGTTTTTAAAAAGATCTTTATAAGGATCTTCTTGATTAAAATGATTATCAAATGTTGTTTCTGGGTATTTTTCGAAATTACTTGTATCTCCAGGATGTGGATAATGCGGAATAATAGGTGCCTACAATTGACGTTAATTTTCCTTATTATTATCATCATCATCATCGTCACTCTTACCCTCACATTCTTTTCTAACAATCCTATCCAGTCCACTCCTCTAAACCATTTATGTCTTTTCACATCTTCTGATCCTCCCTATCATAGAATAAGGTTAGTATCTTGTGTTCGTCTTGAATCTTTGCTTTCTTTACCTTCAAGTTCCCTAATCGTTTCGTTCGATCACTCACTAATAATCTTTTCAATAAGTCTTTAGCTAATGGATCAAAATGAGCTGCAAATTGTACTTTTCCCATTAATATTTTTTCATAAATTCCAAATGAATTATCATCGAAAAATGGAGGATAACTATTTAAAAGAATAGAATTATTTTTAAAATGAGAGAAGTAGTGGCAGTTGTCTTTTCTTTTTTTTTTCCCTCCATCCCCCTTAAACATGTACATAAAAATGACTTACCCTGCTAACATTTCAAATATTAAAATACCAAGTGCCCACCAATCAACTGCTTTACCATGCCCCTTGGATTGAATAATTTCTGGTGCTAAATATTCAGGTGTACCACATAATGTCCATGTTCGATCGACAATTTTCTTTGCAAATCCAAAGTCTGTAATCTTGATATGTCCTTGATGATCAATCAAGAGGTTTTCAGGTTTTAAGTCACGATAAATAATATCTTTAGAATGAAGATATTCAATAGCCAAGACAATTTCAGAGGCATAGAAACGAGTCATGTCATTCGTAAAACGACCAGCTCGACGTAAATGTGTAAAAAGCTCACCACCTACCACATATTCAAGTAACATATACAAGTTGGTATTATCTTGAAAAGTACAGAAACTATATATAAAGCAATATAAACGAACATGATGTTATATGTATACATATATATATATTTTATCTTACAGATCTACAATAAATGGAAATCGAACTGAAGATAATATCTGCTTTTCAGATAATAAATGTTCTACTTGCTTTAATCTCACCACTTCAGATTTTTTTAATACTTTCATAGCATAGTATTTATTAGAGGGGATGAATTTTGTAAGATAAACTCTACCAAATGTTCCTGTCCCTATCAAGAAAGAGTCAATAGGTTCTGAATTCTCTCACTCTCACTCTCACTCTCACTCTATTTCTTTTTTTTTTATCCGTACCTAACGTGTCTTTTAGTTCGAAATCTTTCAAGCCAAAACTGGGTGTTTCAACATAAACTGGAGAACGGGTATGAAAATACGTAAGACGAATTTGTTGTTGCTGTTGATAAGGAGATGGAAAAGGTAATCCAGCTAATGGATGATTAGGTGGAAAGCCATTATCTGTAAATGAAGATTTATTAAGTACATGAGGATGACTCAAATAGATAGTTGGCTTATTGCTGTTGCTTGTCTTTTCTTCTTTATTAATAACTAACTTTTCCATTTGCTTATTAAGGATATATATAAATATGTATATAAAAGAGAGAAAAGAGAAAGTAAAAAAAAAAAAAAAAAAAAAAAAAAAAAGGAGAACAACAACAACAACAACAAAAAAATATTTATGTGTGAACACGAGCATTGCTTACAATTGAGGGAATACAAATGTTGTACACATCGTCATCATAGTGCGCATAATAAGGAACAAAAAAAAAAAAAAAATAAAAAAACAAATGAAAAATCTCCATCATTTGTTATACTTTTTTTTTTATTCTTTTTTTTCCAGAATTATGCCGTACTTTGAAATTTTAAAGAGAATGATCAAGCAACAAGCCATGATAATACTTTTTTTTTTTTTTTTTTTTTTTTTTTTTTTAGCTTCCGTATTTTTATACATAATGGATTTTGATAAGCTCCAATTTATCATTATTAAAGTCATTAATATATCAAGATGAAGTAAGATATGATCAGTGTAGATATGTAGTAGAGTGAGAGGAGAAAGGATGATGAGAAAGAAATGATATGCGCAAAGATTCACTTTCTATTTCGGATCAAATAATGACTCTAGTTTGAAGATTCAAAAATAATAACCAAGTATTTCTAGATTACTTAGTAATAGGTTCATCTATATTGTAAGAAGACCAGTTTTAAATAAAGATTGAGTTGTCAATTATCATCTAGACACCCGGGATGGAGCACATGAACACACCAACGGTAAACTTTTTAGTCTGCACGCAAGAATATGAATTGTTCACTAATTCCAAGCGGGCTTAGCTAATCGTGAACATTGTACTTGGCTTTTAATCAAGGTATAAGTAAGATACTGCAGCTAAAGCTTCTCTAATTGATTTGCATTTGTCTACATACTTTTTTTTTTTTTATTTTTATTTTTTCGTGCTATATAATTTGATGCAAGGTTATTCTTGCTCATGTTTACTCTGTTAAAATAGACAATGAATACATAGACTGAAGGTCATACAGAGATAAAAGACTGTAAAGAATATCAGCGTACTACAAGAACCACGACTAATTAGATGAGAGATAAAGAGTAAAGACACATATTCAAAATAATTAAGGGTCAAGTACCTACAAGAGACAAGCGTTAAAGTATTATGCTTTCTATTGATTAGTTTCTGTCTGCCTTTAAATAACCTTTAGGATATTGATACTAAGGCATTCAGCTCCTTGTAAGCTGATTCAAGTTAATACTAATACATTGCATCATATCTAATGTAATAGTAAAAGTAGTGTATTCTCGAAACAGAAAGATTCCCTAAATGAATCTGGACTGACCCCAAGGACATATTATTTCTTACTGGCAATTGTTGTTGACTTTAAAGCTGCAAAATGTGCTTAACACAAATCATTCAAACAGTAACACTTTCGAAAAAAAAAAAAAAAAAACAGACATAAACATGCGTTAATATGTTTTATATGTTGACGGTCATCCTTTTTCTGGTCTTTATCAAGTCAAGCCTATTGATCAATAGACTTGTAAACTGATCTAATTGATAACACATCCTCTCAGTATTAAGCTTTAGAAATTATAATTTGAATAGTATAAAATCTATGATTGGTAAATTCGTTTTTATCAACAAAGATATAGGATAATTTATAAATTGCTCTACTCTATTGATCTTTGCAGCATAAAACATCCATTTGATGAAATCTATATAGTATAGTGCATATAGGCTATTCTAATAAAATTAGAAATAGGAATAGCTATATAGTATGTATACAGATTGAGTCATTGACTTGTATTTTAGTCTTATCTGTGTCCCAAATAATAGTTAGCTTGAAATTGACTACCTTTTCGGTACTTTATATGATATATCTCTTCTAAGATAATATTTAGTTTGTATTCCCTTTTCTTCTCTATTTGTCTAAATATAGCTTTTCACACATTTAACACCTAACAAAAGAAAAAAAAAAGACATAATTATGCTTTGAGGATGATAACCAAAGTGTAAATAAAACGTCATTGATATGCACTATATCTATTTTTTTTTTGTTCCCTCACTTCCTCAGTTAGTGAGCTTCAGTCACTATACGTTGTACAAATTAGTCATTTTGTAAAAACTTAATGTTAAGCGCAAATGATGCTTTACTAAGATACAAGTAATAGTACCAGTTCTTCTATTGTAAATTCTCAAAAAAGAAAAAATTCATACTTTTGCAAAATAAAAAAAAACTCTTTTTATGAATATGCTCTCTGATGTCTTTTTTTCGATAAAGGCATAAAGAACTATATACTTCGCCAACAAATAGAATGTGATTCAGCAATTTACTGTAAAAATGGAAGCATCTAAAAGAGTTAAGAGTCTTTATAAAGCTTCTCAGAACTCTAGGTAAAGAGATCTGTATACATTATTATCAATGGTCAATTGGGTAAAGAGGGAAAAAATACTTTTCTTTTGCTTATTTTTTTTTTTTTGTTAAGTGTCCCTTCTGATCACAATCAAAGCATGTGGCATCTATGATGTTATTATTAATTTTAATTAAATATGTGCACTAATAATAATACTTGCTTGAAAGCTCATTCTTCTCTAGACAACTGTCATAAATAGCTTTTTTCTCGTTAAAAATAAATGATCGATGCATGTCTTTGTGTGAAATAAGCAAAGATCGGTAAAGAAGGTAAAGAAAATGTGACATATTTGTGGAAAATTTAAGGTTGATTTGCACTTAAAAAAAAAAAATTAATAGAAATCGAGTGTAGTCCTTTTTGGTAAATATTCCACTTATTAAAAAGACTAAGGTCTTAAGAAAAAAACAAGAGCAACCTTTTGATATGGCAGGTAAATTATTTCTCTTACAGTGTCCATTATTAGCGACGTCATAACAATATCTTGAGTAACATCTTCTATTGTTCTGTCTGTCACAGCTATCATCTGTTGGATGTAGTTTGAACGCGAATCAATATAGAGTTGTTATTTATGACTCAACTGGAGCTAAATAATCATGCCTATATGTATATTATTTGAGATCTCTGGATTTCAGGATTCTTTCTATTTCTGTTTGGCTGATATATGATATGGTGAAAGTGCACGATATGAATTACATGCCATATCTATGCATATTCTTTATTAATTATCGGTGTATTTCACCACAATATTTACTAATGCTGTATCTTAAATATGGCTGTCAAATCCATACTTTCATATAACTGTACACACGTAGTCTCCCATGTATGTATGCGCACCTTAGAAATATCAGTGTGTTAACCTAATTGACAATATAGAGTTTATTAGTCCCTCAAGGCAAAACATTTTAAAATGAAAAACAATCTATAGGAATCCAACCATTTGATATTCACTAGAGCCATTTACGACACTTGACAAAAAGGTGTTAGCAGAACCTTATTCAAAAGGGATTAACAATGATAGGGACCCTGCCACAACTTTTGGTCGGCCTGTTTTATTAGCAGCTGAGTAAACCGTATCTTAGAGAAAAAAAAAAGAATAATATGCCTGAAAAGTCCCCTAATAATATCAATGCCATTGGTAACGTACAAAGCTTATGGGTCTGGTAACGTAAAAAACAGTTCCTTGAACTTATGTAGAAAAAAATGACAAATATGTAAAACAGATGAAAAAAAATCATGAATGCGTATCATATTGTAGCCTTAGTTTGAAAAATACAATGGATGTCTTGAGTAAGCACACTAAGTATCATTTTCACATTTTTATGGACAAGTGTAGGGTGCACTATTCTCTGTTTGTCGTAGATGCCATAAGCCAGCGTGACTACGAACCGCTATTAATGAGCCCCCATATTCACTCTTTTTGTGCTCTATCAAAGATGTTGGTTCAAGATCATTAAAAAAAAAAATAAGAATTCTTTTTGGAAAAAACCAGACATGCATACATCTTGTATTGCTGAGCATTAGAAGCAAGTTTATGTTGCTAATTGCTAAGGACGAATGTGATATACAGAGGCTTTCTGGGATCGAGAAAGTCCTCTGTATTTTTAAGTTGCGATTTATCAAAGGAGCGTAAGGTTAAAACACACTTCATTAAATTAGACACAATACTTATGCAACGTCTGTGATTCACCTTTTTTTTTTTTTCAAGAAAAAGGAATTTCCTTTTTGGGATTTGATTATTACAGGTGAAGAAAAAGTCTGAACATTTACCATCAAAGTGTTTGAACTCATTTTTTTTTCGTCTGATTTTTTTTTCCTTTTGTCCAAAAAGTGTAAGCAAAGTGTCTCCTCCACTTCTTGATCCAGACAGGAAATTACTCAACTAGGTTGTCCCTTTAAACTTGTTAGCAATATTTCCCCTTTCTTTCTCACCTTCTCTTCTCCCTTTCCTTTACCTTTTTTACCTCTTGTCCCGTAAGAGGGTTTTTAGACACCTTTTTTTTTCACATAATTTGAACTGACCTAGGCAATCCAATATAACAAAGATAGTATGCGCCCAGAGGTCGCTTTATAAATTTTAATTTATAAAAATAATAAAAATAAAAAAAAATGTTTAATCGTATCATCTTTATAAACAAGTCACGAATGACGTTGCTAGCAGAATTTCAAAAAAACTTTTGTTGTTAATTTTGATAGATCTCTCTTTACGCGATTTTCTAACAAAAAAAAAAAAAGAAAGAAATCCCAAACATGGATGATTCACTTTATGATGAGTTTGGTAATTACCTTGGACCTGAACTTGATGAGGAGGATGAGGATTTAGAACTTGAGGAAGAAGAAGAACAACAACAACAATATGATGATGAAGAAGAAGAGAATGAGGCAATGGAAGAAACCTCTGAAATGCAACTTGAAGGTAGGCAAAATTAACTAAATAAAATAAAATAAAACAAAGCAGAATAGAACGAAATAAAAATTAAATAAATGAATAAAAACAAAAAAAATAAGAACATTTAAAATTGAACCCTATTTCATCATAGAAATTCCTGCCAATCAAATTGTTTTACATGAAGATAAGAAATATTATCCTTCAGCTGAAGAAGTGTACGGCCAAGATGTAGAAACTATGGTTCAAGAAGAGGATACGCAACCTTTATCTGAACCTATTATTGCACCTATCAAAATAAGAAAGTTTAATGTCACCGAGACTGATTTACCCGACACTTATTACAGCAAAGAGTAAAGCATATAAATATATATATATATACATGTATACCCTACGTTGCAACTAAATGAACTTTTTTTTCTTTCTTTTATAGATATATGGCAGATTTAATGAATCATCCAGATCTTGTGAGAAATATTGCTATTGTAGGTCATCTTCATCACGGAAAAACGTCCTTTATTGACATGCTCATTTCAGAAACACATCCTCATATGCCTATCAATGTAGAGCAACCTGAACGTTATACAGATACACATATATTAGAAAGAGAACGTGGATTATCTATTAAAAGTATGCCCGTCAGTTTAGTTTTGCAGGATATGAAAGACAAATCTTATTTACTTCATATGCTCGATACTCCCGGTAATTAATGACACATTGAGTAAATATGACAGCTTCATTGACATTTTATATATATATTAGGACACACAAATTTTATTGATGAGGTAGTGGCTGCAATTCGTTTAGCAGACGGTGTTGCTATTGTCGTTGATGTAGTCGAGGGTGTGATGGTGAATACTGAGCAAATTATTAAATACTGTGTACGTGAAGGACTTGCAATGACATTAGTCATTAATAAAGTCGATCGTTTAATTTTGGAATTGAAAATACCTCCTGCTGATGCCTATTTTAAATTGCGTCATACAATAGAAGAAGTGAATACCATTATTCGGTAATCATACATATATATATTTATTATTATAATAATAAAATGATATTAACCTTTGCTTTTTTTTTTCTAGATCTGTTCCTGGAGGTCATGACATTCGTCTTTCACCTGAGTTAGGTAACGTCTGTTTTGCCTCAGCACAAATGGGTTGGACATTTTCACTTAAATCATTCGCCAAGTTATATGCCGACACTTATGATGACACTTCCTTTGATGAATCTGAATTTGCTAGACGATTATGGGGCGACATTTATTATAACCCTGAACGAGGTAGTTTTCATAGAAAATCACAGAATGGTGATCTTAAACGTACCTTTGTACATTTCATTTTGGAACCACTCTACAAGATTTATTCACAAGTAATTGGTGAAGAACGTAACGACTTAAAACACACTTTAAGATCCTTAGGTATTCAGCTTAAAGCAAAAGAGTATGATTTAAATGTGAAGCCATTATTGCAATTGGTGTTAACAAGATTCTTTGGTTTATCAAATGCTTTTGTGGACATGGTGGCACGACATGTACCTTCACCTATTGATAATGCTCAACATAAGGTTCAAAATCTTTATACAGGACCTATCGACGAATCATTAACTACACAAGCTATGTTAAGATGTGATGCAGATGGACCTCTTATGATTTATATCACAAAGCTTTTTAATAATGAATCAAGCACAGAATTCCAAGCCTTTGGCCGTGTCTTTAGTGGAAGTGTTAAGGAAGGTCAAATTGTACGCGTTTTGGGTGAAGGATATTCAAAGGATGATGAAGAAGACATGACGATGCAAAAGGTCTTGAATACATGGATTTTTGAATCGAGGTATCGCATCGAAGTGGAAGGCGTTCCAGCAGGTAATTGGGTTTTATTAGGTGGCGTTGATACTTCCATCATGAAGACAGCTACTATTGTTGATCAAAAGCCTGTTGAAGATGCCTATATCTTTAAGCCTCTTAGATTCCCTACCGCTGCTACACTTAAAGTTGCTATTGAACCTGTTAACCCATCCGAATTACCTAAAATGCTGGATGGCCTTCGTAAAATTAACAAGAGCTATCCCATCGTGACAACCAAAGTGGAAGAATCAGGTGAACATATTGTATTAGGTACAGGCGAGCTATACTTGGATTGTGTATTACATGATTTGAGACGTATGTATGCAGAGATTGAACTCAAAGTATCAGATCCTGTTGTCAGATTTTGCGAGACAGTAGTTGAAACTTCTGCTCTCAAATGCTTTGCAGAGACACCTAACAAGAAAAATAAGTTGACATTTATTGCAGAACCACTTGAAAAAGAACTTGCAGAAGAAATCGAGAATGGTGATATTCAAATTGGATGGCCTAAGAGTAAGTTTGGAAAGTATTTGGAGACAAAACACGGATGGGATGTATTAGCCTCCAGATCTGTATGGGCATTTGGACCAGATGACATGAGTCCTAATCTCTTGATGGATGATACACTACCCACTGAAGTGGATAAAAAGTTATTGGGTACAATCAAAGATTCGATTCGACAAGGTTTCCAATGGGGCACTAGAGAGGGTCCTCTTTGTGATGAACGTAAGTTATTTGTGTGTGTTTAAATGAATTGAACATTCAACCTATCTATTTTTTTTTTGTTTAGCTATAAGAAATGTAAAGTTTAAAATTTTGGATGCATCCTTAGCTAGTGAACCTATTTATAGAGGAGGAGGACAGATTATTCCTACTGCAAGACGAGTCTGCTATTCATCCTTCTTAACAGTAAAGTATTATACTATATGAAAGAAGATAGTAACAAAAAAAAAAAAAAAAAAACAAACAATAGTAACATTTATTATTTAAATTAGGCCACACCACGTTTAATGGAACCTGTCTATTATGTTGAAATACAGGCTCCTGCTGATTGTGTATCTGCTGTCTATACTGTTTTGCAACGCCGTAGAGGCCATGTCACCCAAGATATCCCTAAGCCCGGCTCACCCTTATATACCGTAAAGGCCTACATCCCTGTTATTGATTCCTGTGGCTTTGAGACCGATCTAAGAACTCATACAGAAGGTCAAGCATTTTGCCAACAAATCTTTGACCATTGGCAGATTGTACCAGGTGATCCACTTGATACTTCTATTGTATTGCGTCCCTTGGAACCAAGTACAGCACAACACTTGGCACGTGACTTTATGGTGAAAACTCGTAGACGAAAGGGTCTTTCAGAAGATGTTAGTATAAACAAATATTTCGATGATCCTATGTTGTTAGCACTAGCACAGACAGATGTATTAGGTGGTATTCATGATTAAAAAAAAAAAAAGAAAAAGAAATGTGTACATGCATTTTTTTTTAAGAGTATATGTGTGGCATAAGTCTATCTTTTTTTTTTTTTTAAAAAAAAAGAAAAAATAAAATAAAATAAATAAATAGTATATTTTTAATGTATAGTATGAATAAATAAATAAAAAAAAAAGGCGTAAATGTATATACGTGTATATATTAATCTATACATGTGTATATATATTTCACAACAAAATGTATCCATATTATTTATGCATGTTGTTTTCCAAGAACATTTTCTTTAAATCTATATGCAACAAATATGGGTTTAAAATATATGTAAATATATACATGTGTGTGTGTGTGTGTATATATATATACACATATACATATATATACACATATACATATACATATAAACATATATACATGTATATATATATATATACATATACATATATATATTGATATACTACAAATCATTATTATTATTATTTTTACTTTCTTAATTGTTCATTTTCATTAACAAGTCTTTCCAATTCTGCAAGAATTGCTGTCTGAGTATTCTTTAGATGTTGAATATGTTGAACAGCTATAGAAAAAAAATGAAGAGAGATAGATCAAAAACTAATAGAAGAAGAAGAAGAGAAAAGAGTGGGAAGGAAGGAAAGGATATAGAAGTTAAAAAGTTACTTACTTTTATGAAGAAGGGTTACTTTACTCATCTTTTTATTTAGACAAGTAGGTAATTCGTTCCTCAGTTCTTCAAAGCCGTCCTTGATTTGTGCACGTCGTTTCTGTTCTGATTGAATATGAATTTGTCGTTTGAGTTCAGAGATAGTAGAGGAAGGTGATGATGGCTGCTTTTTAAAAGAAGAAGAAGAAGGAGGAGGAGGAGGAGAAGAAGAAGAGGACGACATATCAGCTGCTACTGCTGTTTGTTGTTGTTGTTGAGTTGAATCTTCTTTGATCTCTTGAAATAGATCAAACATAGTGTCGTTGTTCTCCTTTTCAAAAGAAGAAGTGGGTAAAAGTCGAGAATCCTCTTTTAGTCTCTCTTCATAATAAAATGATAAGGGCTGATAAAACGCGCTATTTGCTACTATATCAGGATTATTGTCATATACTTCTTCTTCTTCTTCTTCTTCTTCTTGCTGTTCTGATAGTTTATTTAATGTCATAGGTAAATAGTAATAGTTAAATGAAGGTGGTTGATCTACTAGAAAATTATTTTCTTGTTCGGACATAACATAATCCATTAAATGATTGCTATTATAGCCTAAATAACAATTGGATCCATTCATTGAACTCGTATGCTTATAAAGGAATGTAATTAATGATAGTATAAAGAATATGTAAACTAATAAGAATAATAATAATAAAAAAAAAGAAGAAAAAATAATAATAATAATAATAATAATAATAAAAGGGCAGTTGTATGATGACGCTATACATAGTGGCAATAGCATTGTTATTAATGCCAAATTTGTATATATATAAAATGCAACTTTCTGCATTTTTATTTATATAATACATACATACATGTATATATGCATATAAGTATATTTATTTATTTATTTATTTCTTTGAACCTCTCTTTGAGAATATGATAACTCCAGTGATTACAAGTCCTAAAAATCCAATAGCAACCGGCAGCAAAAAATTGCTAGTGGAACTTGATTTAGTAGAATTATTTTCTTCCTTTTTTTCTTCTACAATAGGTACTTCTTTTTCTATCATTACTTCCTCTTTTTCTATCGTTACTTCCTCTTCCTCATTCACTTCTTTTTGTATATCTTGTACAATTAATTTGACTCGTGTTTGTCCCATCTTTTGAGCTAACCGAACTGCATCGATAACATCAGCATCACAGGATATTAATACTTGGTCTTCTTCATCATCTATATATGAAATCACCAACCATTCCTCATCACCGACATCGTCACCATGATCTGCTGTCATTTTGGACCTCACTGCTTCTAATAACTCAGTAAACACAGGTCGACAGACAACACGATGGATATTATTCAAGAATGTGAATTTAAATGTAAATGTGTCTTCTTGTTGAGAGGTATTTGTAGTGGTTGTACTTGCAGTACTTTGCTTGTTATTCACCATACTGGCAGATTCATTGGGTGTAATATCTGAATAATAGCTTTGAAAAGATGTCGAAGGTTGTGGGGATATATATTGAGCAGATGTTTCAGAGAGTTGAGAATTGGTTTCTTCGAGGGCATCCCAGAAACGACCCCACATAGGACCATTTTGTTGCCCTCCACTTACCTAAATCAAAAAAAAAAAAAAAATTGAATAAGCATATAGTGTAATCAGCTTTTCTTTTCATTTTTTTTTTTACCTGTTCCAGGGTAACATAAGTTAGTTTTAATACATCTACTACACCAATGACAATACCATTATCTAACACTGGCAAATTTAAATAATGTCCCTCTAACAAAGAAGATTAGTTCATTAATACATATTGCTTTTTTTTTTTTTTTTTTTAATTCATTCTGTAAATACCATTCATTAACTTAAGTGCATCAATTACTGTTGTTTCAGGTGATGCGGTATCTGGATTTGGTGTCATTACACGTACTACTGTACAATTTTCAGGATTTAAACCAGCAGCAATTACACGCAGTACAATATCCTTTCTGTATTTTTTTTTTTTAAAAAAAGAAGTCAACATACAGTATTATTACATGAAATCGTTATATAATTTACGATGTGAAAATACCGGCCAGATGATGGTGCTTTGTTACTAGAACAGCAGTTGTACGTAACTCCTTCATCATAATGGCAATATCCTTAACATTAGTACGATATTTAACTTCAGCTTGAGGAGGCCCAGTCAGGACAGAACGTAAATTTGGACAAGTAGTTCGTAATGATTCTACATATTGGTTAAGTTCAACAGTATTTTGTGTTAAAGCGCGTTCAATTTTGCCTAGCGCACCGTATAAACATTTTGTAATATCTAATAAGCCAAATATATCGCCCTCTTCATTACATACAGGCTAAAAGAAAAGGAAAAGTTAAAATTTTGCTTAATAAACAAGTACATATTTATATGCATATATGTATTTATTTACTAAGTGCCGAAATCCCTTAGCAACCATAAGATTAAGTGCTTCAGTTGCAGAAGTATCTGATGTAACACATAATGGATCCTTTGTCATAATATCCACAACAGGTGTTGTCCTTTTTTTTTTCCACCGAAATTAGTTTATTTTTGCCTAAACAAAATATGGCTATACTTACTTCGCATCTAAACCTTCTGCAACCAATCTATACGCAATATCTTTAGCCTACACATGCAAAAAAAAAAGTTAATATACAAAGAAGATAAATATTAAAATATTATCTTATTTATTTATTTTTTTTACTTAACTGTAAAAATACCTGATAAATGATCATTGTCATTCACAACTAGAACACAATCACAGCGTTTAGCCGCCATGAGTTGAGCAGATTCGAGTACTAACATATTTTCTTTTACAGTCAGGGCCTGGCCTGGTTTAAGTGCAGATACAGTGCCAGGTACTCGTCGGCCAACCATCTGCGATCGTGATGCATGACTACTCTTTGTCTTTTTTAAAAAGTCCTGTTCGAGTTTTTTACGAATGGCCTAGTATATATATATATAAAAAAAATTAGTATACCCAGCATAATCATCGCTTATATATATACTGTATAAGCTTTACTTCATCGCGTTTTATCTGTCTTTGACGTCCTGTTGAATCATTATTTTCAATACTTTCAATAGCACGAACTCGTCCAGATCTTTTTGTTGTAGTCGACATTGTTATAGTAATAATAAAAGGAAAAAGGAAAGTTGTGTACGCATATTGTTACTAATTTTTTTTTTTTTTTTTTTTTTTTTTTTTTTTTTTTGCTACATCTTTCATAGCGGACATTAAAATAAATAAGGCATAAAAATGAATCATAATCCATGTGGAATAAACACATAACATTATTTACCGTAATAATATCGTATTACGTTATTTTTATCACCCTTGTAGGAGTTTTTTTTTTTGGACTTATTAATACTCATTTAAAGATTTCATTACTATCACTAACACAAATATATACGGGTAGTAGTATCTATTAAAAAATAAAAAATTAACGAGTACATAATTCATTGTCCCACCCCCACACACACCTTTTAGTCATTAATAAAAAAAAAAAATAGCCCTATATACACACCTTGCTAATACACAGCATGTGCCGTCTTACACAGTAAAGCTGGGAAATATTGGTTAATTAAGGAATTTGAATGGTGATTATAAAAAAAATAATTTGGGGCATACTAAAAAAATGATTGGTGGAAAACCAAAAAATGATTGATCATTTTTAAAAAGTTGTTTTGAGCGTTTCTGATAACTAAAATGAAGCTAAAAGTGGCTACGAAATCCATATAAGATCACTAACACGTACATTGTTGCAAGCATCAGCGATTCTTTCGGATAAATTTTCTTCAACCATAAGATTCTCGTGCTTTATCTTCCTTCTTACAAGAGCCCAGAAATTCTCAATTGCATTCAATTCACTAGTAAATATATGGAGGTAAATACATGAATCTATAGCCTCTTCTCAACACACGGTTTCTATCAAAGTTTAGGTCCGAATCCTTCATTTCATGAACCATTCATACTTTGTTTGCATATTGAGTATTCATACTTGATATCGCACAAATGTAGACTTATGTTGACTTCGAAGCAACAGAATCAAAGAGACACTTTAATCTCTTCAAAACAAGACGGAACAGTCTACTAAAGTTAAAGACAGTAGGTGTCATATATATCTATATATGATTCAGTAGCTTTAAAAATTCCAATGAACACAAAATAAATATCCTATTCAAATTTTTTTAGAACCATATGTTGATGACAATTCAGATGACGACTTTCAGCCTGTTACAAAGTATAGAAAAAGAAAAAAGTAAGTCATATAGGCAAACTTGACGCTGTAAAGCAGCTGGTTTAATGCATTACATTCATAATAGATAGAGAAAGTAGTCCGCATAAAGAGGCTCAAAAGCGAGTTAAGGGAAAAGAAAAAGTAAGTGATATGCCGCCTTCTCTCCATATTCTGGACTATGCCTTTCCAAACTTGGGCGAATCTAGCAACTTTAATGGGTCTCAAATATTTATTTCCTCTGCTGCTGTATCTGGTTCTTCTTTCTTGGACAAAAATGAAGCAAAAAAAAAAAAAAAAAAAAAAAAAAAAAAGGGAAAACAGGTCACTACATATACAAAGATGACAAGGACAAAGTTTGCAAGACCTTTTAAAATTCTTAGAAAAAAATCCATGCTTGCTTCTGTCCAATCGTCGGAAGAAAACTTATCAAAAATCAAATCATTTTCTGTCGATTTAGAAGAATACGAAGAGTATGTCAAGGCAAGAGCTTTGGCGGAAAAAGTACTTGGTCCGTATTACGGGAGTGAAACTCAACAGACAAAGCAAAATTATTTTCACAATCATTATTTCAAAAACAAAGCTGATTTGTACTTTGGAAATTTATTCGTTGTAAGAATTTGAGGTTATTTCTCCCAACCTGAAAGAAACCCCGATGAATCTACTAGTCTTAGTATTTACGCTGGTTACTTGAAGCTTATGTTACAGCAAAAACATATATCAGTACGTTTAAGTCATAGTGACAAAACTAAACTACTTCGGATTGTAACGGAAATGTCTAGGGGCGAACAAGAGAGTTTGAAACAACAAGCAAGTAAATTGTTAGAACAATTGCAAATTTTACCGTTCCGAAAGATTAAGTTTTCTTCAAAGTTGTTCTATGACCAAGATGACCTGGCTTTGGTGAAAAAGCTTAAGCAAAAATTTGGGCACAACGCCATTTTAATTATGGGTAATTGGTCTGCCCCGAATGTAAAATTTCAAGAATCAACAAGAAATAAGGGACTCATAAACATGCTAAAAAAGAATGACTTCAAGGTTTATCTTGTCGATGAATTTCGTACCTCAAGTTTCTGTCCCAATTGTGAAAACAGACTAGAGAAGTTTAAGCTCATTGATAATCCAAGACCATTTCAGCGCGAAAAAATGCCTACTGTATTCTGCCATGGTTTACTTTGGTATGCAATACAAAGTTGAAAACTGTTAGTTAATTGATTAACTAATAATAACATAACAAGTTTGTTTGTAGTTGCGAACATATACATTGCTTAAATGAACACGAAGATAAAAGAAGAATATGGAATCGAGATCTGGCGGCAACACTAAACTTTAAAGAGATATGGACAAGCCTTAGACATAATGGCAAGAGACATCTTTCGCTTTCACGTCCAAAACAACAACAACAATTATGATTATCCGCTTTCGCTATTTCATGCAGGTAAATATTGCTCTGAGCTTACTTGAAAATATTGGTGAGCCAATCGTTTTTCAGTTTTCCACCAATCATGCAGCCTAATTAGAATAAACACAACTAATTTAAGCCACATAAAGTGTGACAGTTTTTCATGTCTACAAACCAGCAAGTTTCCCTTAATTTATTTTTTTCCTCTTTTTTTTTTTGTATATAAACAATTTAACATTTTCAAAATGAGCCCAAAGGCACCCTCCAAATTCACAAAGAACACAAAAGTAGCAGCAGCAACAGATGGTCCTTTAAGTGCAGGAAAAATTAAAAAAAAGATCCGAGATACACAACGAGCATTAAGAGTAGGCTGTAGCTCCCTCAAAAAAAAAAAAAAAAAAAAAGAAAAGAGAGGATGTTGAATTCCCTCTTTCTCTTTATTTCTTTTTTCTTTTCAATTCCTCACATTTATGTTATTATAGCGTCCTAATATAGAGGCACAAGTTGTTATTGAATTAAAAAGACGATTACGTGCACTTCAATTTGATTTGGGTGAACGTATTGTTGATGAATATGAACGCAAACATGCCACAAAATATCACAAAATAAAGCATTTCGGTAAAATGCCAACAAATATTATTATTACGTTAAGATTATATTCTTACTATTTATATATTTATATACACATGTATTTTTTTTTAAAAAAAAAAGAACGTAAAAAGACACAAAGAAAGATTACACAGACACGTAAAGCACTCGAGACAGAAACAGATGCAGAAAAGAAACAAAAACTTCAACAAACATTAGAGGAATGGCAAATAAAACTACTCTATGTACAAAAATACCCAAAGACGATGCCATATGTATCACTTTATCCTAAAGAAAATACAGATGATGTTAAAGCCGTGGAACGTAAACAAAAATTATTGGAAGATATTAGGGATGCCTTAAAAAGTGGAGATGAGGATTTGAATATGATGTCAAAAAAATATCGTAATGAATATAAAGATGAATTGATTAAAAAGGGTAAAATTGAACCCGTTGATTCCGTAGATGTTGAAGAGCTTCAAACAGAGAATACTGACAATGCGAAGAATGAAGATGGGGATGAATTTTTTGAATAAATATTTTTTTTTTTATTTGAGGAATATAATAGTCAATATTATATCTGCAAATAACTATATATAAATACTCATAATACTAATAATAATAAAAAGTGACATTATTAATCCATTAAGTTTGTTATCTCTTGTTGCTCAGAGGAGGAGGTATCTTGATAAGGTGGTGGTCTGTGATGTTGTAGTATTGTTGTATGCATATCAATTAAGGTTGCTTCTTCTACTGATGTATTCCCCATAGCTAATAAGACTGTATCTCGTTCAGTTCCATAAGCTGGTGGTGGGGACAGGGTTCCTTGTGAAGGAGCTAATCCCCATTTCTTCACATTGGCCTCTACAAAAACAAAACCTGCTTGTCCCAAATTAACATGTATTTGACATGGTCCATTAGCACCAATTGTAGGAAATAAATTCCATCTAATACCAGCATAAGCTTCCTCTAATTTTCTACCGTTTCGAGTAAAAAAAATAGTGCCTGTTCGATGTCGATAGCCTACACCAATCACATCACCATGCTTAAAGGGTAATCCATAAGGCTTGTGATTAAAAGGCGAACTAAAGAATTTATAACCCGTATCAGAAAAGTAACCAATTGAATAACGATTCCATCCTGGCAGTCTCCAACTTGGATAAGGTTTAGTAGCCACACCCACTGAAACCAATGTTGATTCTGGTTTATCAAACATTTTTGCCTACATATATAAATATACAATTAGATAAACTTATTCGAAGCAAATAATAAATTCAATATACATATATGTATATATATATATATATGTGTGTGTGTGTGTGTGCGTATATATATATATGTATGTATATGTTTATGTTTATTTACCTCCCAGTAATATACTTCTTGATTCCTGGGTAAAGGTAAATTTGTCTGTACACAGTTTTCTCCTTCCATAAATTGTATTTCAGTTCTTCCAGCTACAAAACAATTTGCATCCATATCCCATTCAAATTCAAAAGCAGAGACGCCTTTCTCTTGTATAGAAACGAACTGAGGAGGTGTGATGTCTGTAGGGATACTATTTGGAGGATGATGCTCTTGCCAAGCTATTGACAAATTTATTATTATTATTATTATTATTGCTTGATAGAGAATAAATAAATAAAAATATACTTTTAGCGCTTTCATAACTAAGTCGAGCATCTTCTGAGAGATTGGCAAGGTCTTCTTCTGTATCACTTGGAATATCCTCTAAACTACCATTAAATGACAAAGGTAATTCGATAGGTGTCTTTGTAAAAAATAAAAGAATTATAACAATAACAAAGAATACAATGATGCCTGTTGCAAATATCCAAGTATATGATGATTGCATTCCTAAAGTTAATTAAATGAAAAAAAAAAAAAAAAGAAAAAGAAAAATTATATAATAACGTCAGAAGTTATTAATTCCGACGAATACCAAAAATGATAAAACATATACTCTTTTAGGAAAAAAAGAAGAATTTTATTTTAGCCATAATGCAGAAAAGTACGTTTATTTTCATTAACAATATTGCATATTTATAACCAAACTTGAATCCCCTCCCTCCCCTTTATATGTATGTATGTGTAAGAAGAAAGGCTTTAGAAATAGTATAGAAGAGAACGAGACAAAGAAAAAAAAATCGATTAGATAATATAACAATCTAGAATCTAAAAAAAAAACTCTTTAAGAAAATACACTATTGAATGGTTTAGCAAAATGAGTGAAAGAGTCAGGTTCATTCAAGTAATAATGAAACGACTCTAATTATTTTAGAGGAATTAAGCAAACGATGTCTGACTCTAGAATCAAAATTGTATAAATATACATCAAGTTAAAACCTATTTTAATGGACAATTCTTCTCTGTAGTAAAGCAGATATGTAGAGTGAATAAGCTTCTCAACTATAAATGTTATAAATATGCATACTTACTTACTTTATACTACAGCCACTAATAAAAACGAAAGCTAGTGTTAATAATGAAATTAGTTTATTTTCTTTGATAAAACAAATGCTCTCTTTACAAATATATCTACTTTGTGTATGTATTCAAACTATATCCTGGCAAAAGCAAATTAATATGAGTTTAAACTCCTGTGTGTTTGATACCTTATTTATTATCTGTATAGTCACTGTTGCTAATATTAAACTTGGATCAAGATGAATGACGTTGGATATTTATACAAGCAAAAAAAAAAAAAAAAAAAAAAAAAAAAAAAAAAAAAACTTCCATTATAAGGATACACATGCAAATGTACTGTTTCCTTTAAGACTATTTAACAATAAAATCGTTGTATTCTATATTACTTTGTAGTGGAGTCAACTTTAGTAGGCATGTAAACAGCTATTGTACCACCACAATAATTCTAAATTTGCATAATGCATATTATGAAACAATGAAAGTAATATAAGATTAAACTTAGTGCGCGAATTACATTATCAGTGAAAATAATACTTTATTTATCGTCCTAGGCTGCAATAATAAACTGATAGCAACTTTGAAGCACTATTATGTCAGAAGAAAGAAAGCCTTTTATCTTAAGCATGACTTGAATCTGTGCCTTTACGCCAATTCACAAATAGGATGAAAGACATACAATTTGATGCTCTGTATACTTACAGCTTAAATCTGTAAATGAAAGAAAAGAACAGCCAAAATAATAGTAGGCATTCTGACTGATATAAGTCTATCAAATAGGATAAAAAGAAGAATCAAAAGAACTAATAGAGCGTGTTTTATATGTCTTGCTTCATATAAAATAAAATAAAAAACCTGTTGATTTGTATGTGTTTTTTTTTTTTTTTTTTTTTTTTTTTTTTTTTTTTTTAATTTTTATCTTGTATAAAATGGGAGAGTTTGCCGCTGAACTTGAAGTATAAATTCTGTAACATAGAGGCCAAAAAAATTTTTAATCCGGCGTATGTACACTTTTTTTTTTTTTTTTTTTTTTTTTCATTTATCGCTTAATAAAGGAACAAGAAAAATAAAGGAGGAATGACAACACGAAGTGACCTTGGAGACATTACACCCAACAATTTGGGACAAGTTCGAGTTCTTCATAAAGCATTATTTCCTGTTCATTATAATGACAATTTCTATACTGATTTACTAGAAGTAGGCGAATTCGCTAAATTAGGTAATAAACAAGGACAAGAATAGAGAAGGAGAAGAAGAAGCATGTGCATTAACTATTTACATAGTTTATTATAATGATGTTTGTGTCGGTACTGTTTGCTGTCGTAAAGAAGCTGATGAAGCTAATACTAACAAAACCAAGATTTATATAATGACATTGGGTGTTTTGGAACCTTACCGTCATCTCGGTTTAGGTAAAAACTTTTTTTTTTCTTTTTCCTTTTCTTTTAGAATTCTAATTAAACATGATAATATCAGGTAACCAATTAGTGCAGCATATTTTAGAACAAGCAAAACTTGACAATGACATTTCAAAAGTATTCTTACATGTCCAAATAAGTAATACAGTAGCTACTGAATTTTATCAAAAGAATGGCTTTAAAATTGTCAGCACTGAAAAAGATTATTATAAAAACATCGAACCTAGAGATGCTTATCTTTTAGAAAAGATGATTGAACACTAGAATAATACATTTAGAAAAAAAAAATAAAATAAAATTATTACATTTATATCTGTTTACGAAGAAGGAAGGTTATCCTACTATAGTTATTATCTTCATTCATTGACTGCACTTCTTCACGCTGTTTTACGTCATCACCATAAAAGAAAGTAAAGCATGATTGTAAAAGGAATAACGATGATATATACTTCTTTATTAATAATATCGATTTATATGCATACTACGAGAAAAAAAAACTATTATTTATTTGTCCATGTGCATAATTTGACATTTATTTATTGAAGGAAGAGTAAGTTCATTTTGACAGGCCCAACGATGTTCAGTTATTTATAGTTTATTAATGTGGCTTATTGACATAATAGCTATATAGTTTTATTGTCCATGATTATCAATTGTAGTTTTCTTTCTTTCTTTCTTTGCAGTTACTGTTAAATCATCATACCTTTTCCCCTCGTTTACGTGAATAATTAAGATACTGTACACACCTTCCAAAAAAAGGGATTTAAGAAGACAGTCCATGATGATGAACACATGATAGTCCCCTTACTGGTAAAGATTATATAGACATATAGACATAGAACATGCCTTTGTATGATAATCTTAAATTAAATGTAATTCTGATAGTATCTATTCAAATACAACTTGGTATTTCTTTACATAATCAGAAAAAAGATAGGAAGAATCAGTCTTCTCTACTAAAAAAAAGGAAAGGACGATAGTTTATTTGAGTCTTAATAAGGAGTTACACGATTACGTTCATTGTTGAATATAGAATCTTGCGATTTTAAACTGTATGTAAACCGCCTATTTCATCCAAAAAAAAAAAAAAAAAACATATTGGTACTTCATCCGGAAAGTTGCAAAATATTACTGAAAAAAACGTCGAATGGTGGTCTATTAGAGTAGGTTCTTCTATGAATGTATAGGAATATATTTAATTTGACCACTTACTTTATTTTATACATATCGAATAATAAGGAACAATATCGTAACGTTCAATTTGAATGTGAATCTTTTAAATATCCAAAAGTTATAGCAAAAAAGCAGGTTGAAGTACAGATTTGCAAATCTGATAGATCATATTATGAAATATGCATTAGAAAAAATCCGCGATGAGATGAGTGGAAGTTTATCTTTGAAAGGAGACAGCCAAGAAAAAGATACTGAAGATTGTACCTGTGATACAAGAAGAGCGTATCTGCTTCTGTGTAGACATCAAATATCAAGGGCTCTAGAAATTGTCCCTGTAAAAATTGTCCACTCCCGTTGGCATATACTTTTACAGAACGATCAAGGTATCAAAAAAAAAAAGTTTACATAATTATTTACATTATTTCAATTTAGATGAAACTAAATTAGCATATGCTTTCTTTATATATTGACTTCTTTTATTTTAGTTGCACTGGATAAGGAATTGATTGTTAAAATGAACCGAGTGCAAAATCAGTTTATTAACCTACCTATAGTCCAAGAGAAGCTTTAAATGCTTGAAAAAAAATCAATACCATCCTTGACCCAGAGAGCACTTAAAGCCTGGATAAGGTTCTGCCACCAAGCATTGTTGTTATCCATAAAGGTAGTCCCAAAAATACGAAAAGAGAAAAGATAGAACTTGAGCACATGTACGATAATTTGGATAGCCAAATAACCAAAAAAGCGAAAATTAGTAGCAATACTTATCAAAAAAAAAAAAGTAAGTTATATGACATATCAGCTTCAATTAGAAAGTTGTCTCTCGTGTTACTAATCTACAACTTTAAATTACATTTAATATCATTATTGAATTAACAAAAAGGTTTACTTCCTATATAATATCGTTTTTTTCTCAAATCCATTACTAATCTGAACAACATTTGTGCATCATTCCCATTAACACATAGATCCTCACATACTATAGAATGAGATCAATTCCTTACAATAAAAAGATGGATATTTTAGCAAAACTTAATGCTAAGGGGTCTTATAGCGATATTTCTAAGGCAATGGGTGTGTCAATTAGGACAATTAGCAGAATTGCCAAAGAAAATCAAATATCAATCGTTTGGGTTCAGATGGAAAGCAATGGACATGGGTTAAAAAGAGTGAACTGCTAAAAGATCATAATGCCAACTTTAAGTACAAAGGTGGGGGAGGAAGTTGGAAGCTTAATGTTATAGAGTCCTTTCACATAACATGGTCCTTGTTTTATTGCCAAGATTGAGGGATGGATAGACTCGTAATTATAGTGTTAAATATTAAAAGGTGCTACCATTAAGTACTAAACATTAAAGGTACGTTGTTTATTTCGTTTTTCAATAAACTATTTGCATAAAATTTATATATATGTAACTTTTAACATGATTTTTGAAATAAAAACATCATATAGTGCATATATGCTATAAGTATCATCAGAAAGAGGAGACTTCTGTCTTTCCGCTAATATATACTATATAGCACTTTGCTTAATATATAGATAATCAGTTATTACAGATTTGCATAAATTGCTTACAATTCTGAAACATTACCACACTTTTGTGAGTCACTGTAGATGGAAGTAGTCCACTATCAAAAGGAGTCAAAGAGATTGCTCCTGACTCTTATAATCGCGAACCTCCTCCAAATGGTATAAAGATTGATGACGAATTGATTGTTGGCAAGTGGATAAGCTACCAGACTTTATCAGCAAAACAGATAAAGGAGTCTGGTGCTTTTATAGAAAGCAATACCCACAAGATACTGTAAGCCTTCAGCAAACTTATAGAACCAATAATTGATATTCACAATACTTTTTTTGTAGCTCCCTTTGTAATATTATGTTAATTAAAAAAGATCAAAAATGCCAAGATATACAGCACATATTTGGATTACCTTTGATAAAAAGATTAATGGATTATATAAAATCTAAATTCAGTATTAAATGAGGCATATTGAATATGGAAACTGAGCGAAAACTGAAAAATATCGCTATGGTCGACTGTTGATTTCATTTTTTTTTTCCTTTGAAACGTAGCTAACGTCGCTTTCTTATATTGTAGGATTACTATGATTCAAAAATTAACACGCGAGAAGCTTCAAAGTGCATTACTAATTTGACTTCTGATAAAGGTGATTCTGCAGAAGATAATGTCCTTTTAGAAATTAGAAACCTGTAAGTCTTTAAACCATAAAATGCTTTTACTAGCTAATGCCTTTTTCTCCATCAGGATAGAAAGAATTCCAAAAACGTAAATTTAATGTTGCTATCAAAGAACGAAACCTTTGTGGCACCTATGTCGATGCAATATTCCGCCCTTTGTTTGAGGACCCTAATGCTGATAATCACTTTGTGTGGTAAAGTACCACATAAACAAACACATACTAATTACTAAAATCGCGTTTGTAGGACTGACATCCAAGTTATTGACCAGTCAAACTACCATCCTGATTTTATTTCAAGAGAGCCATAGTGAACGTCAGCTGGTGTGAACCTGTGGTTGTTGGAGAAGTAAAAGGCGAGGATAGATCAAATGACGTCTTTGATACTTTATTGGACTTAATAAGGATTGGCCATTTGTCAAAACAGGCAATTGATAACAACTTGTATGATGCCGTTCTTGGCATGCATGTTATTGGTAGGTTTATATTCTGCCCTTTTTTATACACTTGGCTTAATTGTCATATTATATGTAGGCCTGCAGGCGACCATATATGTTACGTGCCTGTTGGATTATGGTTTATATACTATGCTTGAAATCTACTCGATGACTATGCCCAGAGATATGTCTAATATCCGTGGCTATATCAGTAGTTGTGAAGATTTGCTGCCCTTGTGCGACTTGTACAAAAACTATTGTAGAAAGTCTAATGAACCTGAGACACTAAGGCAGAAAATTACACAAGGAATCAGTGATGCTGTTTTCAAAAATATTACTAATACAAGCAAGAACCGCAAGCGGCCATGCCCTTTTATAGTTAATCCATAAAATGCTAGTCATATGATTTGTATCTCTATCGTAATTTTTGAATTAGAGAAATTGTCGGATTTGGCTAACCCAGTAATGTTTAAATGTAGTGTAACCGATATTTTTTTTGTTTGTTTGTTTGTATGGAGATGTTAGTCTCTTTGTTTATTAATGAATTATTAAACGAATAGTTACAAAAGTGAAAATGTTTTTTTTTTTTTTTTTTTTTTTTTTTTTGCTAAATTTCGACAAACAAAAAATTCTCCATGTTGACGAGGTCGAGAACAATTAGAAATGTCTGTGTTAAAGGTGTAAGAGTGTGATATTTCTTTTTAAAATATCAAATAAAAAATATCAGAAAATAAAAAATAATATAAAGACAAAAAGAGTCAACGAGACCGAACAATAGTTCTAAAGTCAATTATTTTATTTATGAATTTAAATTGATGGGGGTATTTATAAGAATTGTTAAAGAGGTCTGAGGATAAGATGTGAATCATAAAAGTGTTAGTTATGACCGAATAAGGTATGTTGTTGACAATGAAGTGTTAGTGATTTTAATATTATTAGATGGAGTGGATCAAGAGAGAGTTAGGATAGAATTTCTTAAATAAATTTATGATCCGCATGTTTAATCATGAAACATGACATTATAAGTCAGTTCATGACAGTTGTAAAATGGGATTCAGTAGGCCAAGGCCACCAGAGTTGCGAGGTAAACAAGCGGTTAGAAAGCTAATTTTTGGAAATATTCTAGTATTGATAAAGTTCATGATTATAGCTTGGACTGATGACATAAAGGATATTGGTGCCGACACCACCCTAAGTACATGCCATAGTTTACTCAAAACCAATGAGTTAACGACAGTAGCACGGCCACGAACAGATAAGGATCTTTGCTGGTGAATCTGACAACCAACTTTGATTTTTATCAAGAAGAGTAGCAAGAAAGTAATCCCGTTGAGTAGTCGAAGTAATTAGAGGGAAGCCAAGATACACGACAGGAGCAGTAGACTGACAATCATGCCAAGAAGCAATATTGTGAGTAGATAGAGCCGAATACCATCCAGCCGAATTATAAATAGCAGGAGAGCCAGATAAAAAAAATAGCTTCCGTTTTGTAGAAATTGACTAGTGCATTTGAAGCCTTCGAGTAGATGGACAGATAATCATGTAAAGCAGATAGTTCATTGGGAGTATTTAGAAACACAACAATATCGTCGGTATTTGCCATTAATTTTACTGGAGCTGGTGGAGATATCAAAAGTGTAGACAGAGGAGAGGAAGGTAATGGGAAGCCAAGAAGTTGCTGCTTTTGTTGGATAAGTCGTAAAAGAGGTTCAAAAGCTAAATTGAAAAGAATGGGACTCAGAGGATCACCTTGTTTCAATCCACGTCGTTGAGCGATACCGCGAGTAAGGAAGCCATTGACATTTATTTGAAGGCTGTTTCCAAAAAACAGACGATCAATACAATTAACAAGAGTACGAGGATACCCAAAACGGAGAAGTACGGCACGAAGATAAGCGGGGTGAACCCTATCATATGCCTTTTCTTGATCAAGTAATAATCCAATGGCAGTAGAGCGAGAAGCCGAAGCATGCTCCATTATCAACTTCATAAGAAGTCCATTATCTGCAATAAAATGACCACGAACAAAACCTGTTTGGTAAGGATTGATTAAAGTAGAAGCTGTATCAATCATACGAGCAGTAAGGATTCTGGTAAATACTTTGACATCGGTGTTGATAAGTGATATGGGGTGGTAGTTCTTGAGGTCGTCAAGAAGAGGTTTTTTTGGGAGTAATGAGACGCAAGACTGTAGCCAAGTATCAGGAATATCCGCAGCCAACAATGCATTGTTATAAACTGCCAAAGCAATTTCACGGCATTGAGGATGTTTGATGATGAGTTGGACAATTTCATATGGAAGCTCATCCTTACCAGGGGAAGGCTTTCTGGGTGTGCGAGAAAAAGCATCAAGCAGGTCATCATAACAGATAGGAGAGTGTAACCGATATTTATAAGAGTAAAAGATAAATTTATTTATTTTAAGTTCAGATGTTATTTTATCTCACAACTCAAATTGGCGGAATTACAAGGCTGACTGTCGCAAACGTCATTGAACCTCTCTTCCAAGTCTATTGCCTCATTTTCTTGCTCATTCATAAGAATACTTTGCCCATCTTCATAAAAAAAGTTCATACTCCTCTGAATTTAACAAAAGCAAAAAGCCAAAAGAATAAGAAAACGAAGATTGGATTCGACCAAAACGAATTTTGGTAATAATAAAGCGAATTTCAAATAATGGAAATACGAAAATTGAGCTATTGTTTTATGAATTGTTGATAAAGTATATATATATATATATATATATATATATATATAAAGAAGGCAAAATAAATCCATGAAAACTTTGTATAAAACTTTTATTAAAATAAAACTTAAAATTGAATTAAATAAATTTCTAAAATATGAGTGCAAAATTATATCTTGTGGGAATAGAATGAAAGAAGAATATTTTCTATAGAATGAATAAAGCTATTGTGTTTTGAGCTCTCTAGTCTTTGCCCTGATTGAGAATTAATCTCAGTTAACTCTAATAAATATTAAATTATTGGTGCTCGATCTAGCCGGTTATTTTTCTTGAAGCCGAATAATGAGATCTCGTTCGTTCATACTTGTGAATGATATAGGGAAGATACTTTTTGATATATATATATTCATTCCTCAGTGTACTACTTGAATGAAAGTTACTATAGTAAATAGTGTATAGATAGTATATTAGATAATAATCTGGATATATAACTCATAGGTACAGTCTATCATTCATATATGTCTTTATCATTAATAACTCTTTACACTATTGTCTGGCTTATCATTATCTCGTAATGTTAGTATTTATTATAATATTATTATTTTTCTCATTACAAGAATGTCTTATATAAACTGAAATCAAATCATATTGTATGCATAAAGTGTACTACTAATAACTATAAATATCATTCGAGTCCTTCATAACTCTGATCTGTATATTATAAGATATTATGTAATACATCATTATATACACAACACCCTTGTACTGTCTCTGCATTTTATCTTACTGGTCTTTTTTACTTTATTTCTGTCTAATCCATTCTATTTATTTTATCGTTTACACATATACTTTTGTCTCTTAAGAGGGTTTTTCTTACTTATATACTATTAGAACTGGCTAGGGCAATACAGCAGATGAAAAATACTATGTGCTCATTTGGCCAAAATAATAATAATAATAATAATTCAATTTTAAACGTAACAAAAATAGTTCATGAAGCAAAGAATAGTTAGGAATATCAACTAGAGGGATGAATCTATTCCAATCTGTTTATTCTTATCGTAGAAGACCATTAGTAAAAGAAGAAAAAGTCTATCATGAAACAAAAGAAAAAAAATACATAAATAGAAAATAAATAATAAAAACTGACAGATTGGATAATAAAGATTTTACTCGGGCTTGGCATATTTATTTTACCGTTTCATTGGTGTGACAACGACAGTTTATTATCAGCAGTTTCTTTTATCCAAGGACAATATAATTTAGCAACAAATTGTGCCACCTACTCACCTAAACTATTAATAAGAAGCTTTCCCGATAAAGATGACAGGAACAAACTAAGAATATATGCGTATGTCCATAATTCATATTTTTATTTTAACCAACTTACAGATGACGTATCACTGCTACTACCACTAACTCTTGCTTTTTTTTTTTTTCCATAAATGACAATAGTCATAAATATTTGTTATCAAAAAAAAAAAAAAAAAAAAAAAAAAAAAAAAAAAAAAAAAAAAAAAAAACGCTATTTGTGTTACTTTGCTTATTTTTCTATAAATTCCGTGGTGGTCGCTCATATAGTCTTACAGAAAAAAAAAAGAAAAGAAAAAAAAGGCGTTTCTGTATTGCCGGATATTTTTAGGAAAGTAAAACATATAACATAGAGCAATGGCTGAAAACACTTGAGTACATAAAAAAAAAAAAAAAAAAAAAAAAACAACGCATTAATCTGGATTTAAAAATTCAATCATAATAATAAAAGTATTTTATCTGTCAACATGATAATTACGTCTTTTTTACTATAATAATAAAAAAAAAGCTCACATATGATTGCGAAGCTGACTATAAAAGAAAAAAAAAAAAAAAAGACGGTTAAACCAAAGGAATGATAGGATTGCTGTCACACAACAATAAGATAAATATAAAAATATATACAAATATACAAATTTATATAAATATATACACATTTATTCATATATTATATTATTCTGTTGTATATATTTCTTTTTCTCTTTTCTTTCTTTTGTGATATATATTTATATATGTATTTATATATATAAATATATATCTTTATATATATAGACATACATACATACATACTTACTTACTTGCTTACTTACTTACATACAATGATATCTAAACAATGGTCGTTATATGATCTCCAATATGTAGTATTGACAACAATTTTACTCATCGATTTTACTTTAATACAATCACCTACATTCATACCTCGATTATGTATAGGTTCACTTTTATTCATATCATTTTGGATACCTTATATTAGACGTTTTACACTACCTGCTTTACCTATATTTACATGGTTAATTACATTCTACGCATGCCAATTTATTCCAATTCATTATCGACCTACACATATCTTTGTTAATCTTTTACCTACACTCGAAAGAATCCTTTATGGAGCAAATCTGTCCGAAATTATATCAAAACATACGCATCCAATACTCGATATTTTAACATGGATTCCATATGGATTAATTCATTTTTCATTCCCATTCATATTATCTATTTTAATCTTCATCTTTGGTCCACCTGGTTCTTTAAAGACATTTGGAAAAGCATTCGGTTATATGAATTTAGCGGGTGTTCTTACTCAATTATATTTCCCGAATGCATCACCCTGTAAGTTGAATGATATATGCGTGTGTGTGTGTGTGTACATATGTGTGTACATATGCGTATACATATATATCCATACACCTACGTATACTCATACCCTTTTTTTTTTTTCTCTCTTTCTCTCTCTCTATTTAGGGTATGAAATCATTTATGGCTCTGCTCCTGCTAATTATTCTATTCCTGGTGAAGCAGGTGGTCTCATTCGTATAGATAAGATTTTAGGGTTAAGTTTATATGGTTCCTCCTTTGGTACATCGCCTCTTGTATTTGGTGCCTTCCCTTCTCTTCATTCTGGTTGTGCTACAATTGAAATGCTATTCGTTTCTTATCTTTTCCCCAGATTAAAGCCAATATGCTTTATATACGTCATGTGGATGTGGTTTTCGACAATGTATCTTACTCATCATTATATGATTGATCTCGTGGGTGGTTCTATTTATGCTATCTTAACTTTTACTATAGCTTATCCATTCTTACCTAAACGAATTCCTCATTATCGTACACGTATGGATTATTTTGGTGTATCCAAATCAAACATTCGAACTTTTATTTATAGTATAGAACATGAAGATTTGAATAACGATAGTAGTGACATAAATGATGAAGAATCTGCTTTAAAAGAAATTCATCAAACTACAGCAACAACAAGATCTTTTAAAAGACCTGAATCATTAAAATTATATACTATCAATGAAAAGAGAATATTAGAAGAAGAAGAAGAGGAAGAGAATGAGAGATTACCTGGTTTATCTCCTTCATCTAGTAGTCATTGGTCTTTTACTTCAGAACCTTCTTCGCCTATAACGCCTTACAGTAGTAGTCCTAGAATGCAATTAAACAAACTTTAAATAGAATTATTTTGCACCTTGTAAGTATATTTGTATACTTGCTATTCATAATATTATGTATTTCTACCCTTTATTTTTTTTTTTTTACCTAATTTAATATGTATATTCCCGTACACTACAAACTATGAATACTAATTTACATACTTTTTAAAAATTTTATTAATAATGAACATAATAAATAAACTCGTAAAACTTATTCTTAATAAAACAGCTATTCGAATTGATGAAAAATAAATCCTATCCTGTAGTGTTCTTTAAAAATAAAATGAATTATATTAAGCAAATATCATATTATACATGATAGAATTTACCTTGTTGTATCATGCTTATAAAGTAATCTTTGAAGATTATTGACTAAAGTCACCATGATTCGAATATCAACATGTGAAAAGATAGGTTTACTGTTTGTTAATTTTACAAATGCCAAATTCTTCTTTCCCGTGAATTCAACAAGATCACTTGTTATACCCATCGTTAAGCCCCATAACCTAAAAAATGTTGAACGACTCATTTCTATCTCTTCTACTTTCTTATCATGATGAATGCGTGGTAAATCGATAGCTGGAAACATGACTGAGCCCATTATCCATTGAATAAAGGAATGATGTTTAAAAAGAGGTTCTATCATAGGTTGATTTAAATATGTCTGAGAGGATAAAAAGAATGATAATGGAATCCCTAGAAAGAAGGAAAATAGACAAGGTTATATATACGCATATATGTATATATACATCACACACACACACACACATATATATATATATGAATATATACATGTTTATATTCTTTACATTCTACAGCGGCTACTTCAGATAATTGTAACTTGAAAGGTGGTGATTCAGGTACAATTTGTAAATAAACTAGTATATGTATATATTTATATAAAACAAGAGTGTGTTAGTATCTACTACGGAATAATGACTTTTGTTATTATACCAAAAGGACATAATATCATTAACAGTTTGTTATCTTTAATGGATACTATTTCTCTTTCATCCAATTGGCCCACTTTGATGTAGTTCTTGTTTAAATCTATTCCTATTTCTTCAATGACTTCTCTTTTTACTGTTTCTTCATCTGTCTCTCCTATTTCATTTTTACCACCTACAAAAGAGACATGACCTGACCATCTAATTATAATAAGTAAGTAACATAAAATAAAGTAAGTCATATGTATTTACCTATCGCCTACTCGACTTGTTCGTTGCATAAATAAAAGTTCTGCATATCCTTCTTTATCTTCTTTTACCCAACTTTGTTCAAAAAATTCCTTCACTGTTTTAATACTATCTACTCTATTTTTCATTCGCTCTTTATTATGGGAACAATGCCATCTTAAAATAGCTGCTACAGCCGCTCTACGCTTTTGATAAGGTGGTGAAGGAATATGATGATGTTGATAATCATTTACATTTATACACAAGTTTTTAAAAGCTTGTGTATATTCCGTTAGTTTTTCTTTTTATTTCTATTCTATTCTATTTATTTACATTTATAATTTTCATTTATCATTATGTAATCTTATTCTATAATACATAATAAGGGGGAAAAGAAGAAAAAAAAGGTACAAAAAATTTTTTTTTTCTTTCTTAACAGCGGATAAAAATAAAACCTATTATTGTTATTATTATTATAACTTTAAAAAAAAAAAAAAAAAAAAAAAAAAAAAAAAAAAAAAAAAAAAAAAAAAAAAAAATTTCTTTCAATTTATGCGTTAGCTGTTATTTCTCTTTTGATTGGTGTAATCAACACATTTTTAAAATTTTTATTTTTATTTTTTTTTATATTTTTTTCATTTTTTAGTGTATGTATATGTGTGTGTATGTGTTTGTATATGATTTAATTTAATTTTTTTTTTCTTTAAAAGAATGAATCAAAAAAATGTCGCCACTACCAACAAATTCAAATACTAGACTCATCAGTTCATTCTTTTCACCTTTAAACAAATCAGAGGAAAAGAAGCATGATCGACCCAAGATCTCTGTGAAAAACATTTTAAAGAGTAATCGATCTTCTTCTTCTTCTTCTCTTCGTAATCACTCATCAATACCTTTCAAATTCTCAAGAGATACTGAAAGTTCTTTTAGCAATAGTAGCAGTACTGAAAGTCTAGCTAATAACTTGGCAAGATTTCGTTTTGAGGGCTCAAGTGACAAATCATCATTGTTTGATCTATCAACACCGACTACGAATCGACTAAAACAAAGACACATCTTTGATAATGATGATGATGATGAAGAAGAGGAAACATTTAGACCTGTCTTACGTGAAAGAAAACCAATTAAAAAATCACTCACTCTTTTCTTTTCTTCTGATGAAGACGATCCTTCAGAAAGTGGTGATGATGACGACGACGACGACGGCTTGAATTCTACAACTACTTTGCAATCAAACAAAAGACGACGAAAAGGAAAACCAAACCATAGTTTATTTAGTGATTCAGAAGATGAAATGTCAGATGACGCAGAGGATGATGCCTATGTGGATGAAAACTCAAAACTAAATAAAGCCTACGACGGTATCACGGAAAAAGAAAATATTGAACGCGTACAACGTATTTATCCTAATAAAACACTGGAGGAAATTCAAGATGCAGTACGTCATGCTGGTAGTGTCGTAGGTGCTTGTCAATTATTATCTAAAAATGAGGATATACCCAAACCAAAGCGTTCTCGTATAACTATACGTAGTAGTAGTAGTAGTAGTAGTGATGATGATGACGACGATGATAAGATACAAAAAAATAGTCGTCAACAATTGTTTGAACTACAACGAGAACGTCTTGTTCTTCGACTGTTTAATACGGGTTCATCTAAAGATATACAAGATATTACGGGTTGCAAACCTGAGATAGCAGATAGAATCATTGAAGAATTAAGACCCTTTTCTAATATAGAAGATTTAGAAGAAAAATTAAGACAGGCAAAAGGGATGAGTGTGAAATATATTCAATCATGTCAAGAAATGATGGATAGTTATTCGGCTGTAGATCAAATCATTGAAAATATTGAAAATTTAGGCTCAAGTTTACGTCAAATTCTTCATATCTGGGAAGGTGCAGATGCTCAAGATACTCATTTAGTGGAATATGATAAAAAAGAAGAAGAAGAAGATGATGATGATGAAAACAGTCAGCCGGGCATTCATTTAGCTAAAGTAAAAGTAGATTCAAATCAATCAAGTTCAAAAGAATATAAAGATGCTATGGATGGCTATCTTACAGAACAACCTGCCTGTGTTAATAAGGAGATTACACTGAAAGATTATCAAATCTTGGGTGTCAACTGGATGTTACTTTTATACCGTAAAGGGATCTCGGGTATTTTGGCTGATGAGATGGGTCTTGGAAAGACAGCTCAAGTCATTACCTTCTTAGGACGTTTATATGAGATTGGTGAAAAGGGCCCTCATCTGATCATCGTTCCTTCATCTACTATAGAAAACTGGGTTCGTGAATTCGACCGATTTTGTCCAGACTTGGAGGTTCGATTATACCATGGTAACATCAAGGAACGTGCACAATTAAGAACTGATTTGAAATATGAAAATAAAGTCAAGGCCTTTCAAGTCGTCTTAACTACCTATCAACTTGCATCTGGACATATAGACGATAGGTACTTTTTAAGAAAATTAAAATTTCGTTCCATGATTCTAGATGAGGGACATATGGTAAAGAATTTTATCAGTGCACGTTATAAATATTTGATGAACATAAATACACCTTTCCGTCTCTTATTAACCGGTACACCACTTCAAAATAACCTTCAAGAACTGATCTCTCTCTTGATGTTTATCATGCCTGAAACATTTGCAAACTATGAAGATGAAGTAAGGGCTCTCTTCAAGATTCGTTCAGCAACGACTTCAAGTGAACAAGTCACGAACGGGAAAGCGAATGAAACCTCTGTTCAAGTGCTTTCAAGGGCACGTATCTTGCGAGCTAAAAAGATGATGATGCCCTTTGTACTTCGTCGTAAAAAGGAAGATGTACTTCATGATTTACCTAAAAAGTTTCAAAGAATTGAACATTGTGATATGACGCAAAGTCAAACTGAAATTTATTCAGACATCATTATGAATTCCAAGAAAAAATACAATGAAGAAGAAGAAAAAGGAAAAGAGAAATCAGCTATGAGAGATCAATTCGAAAGCATGACTAATATCATTATTCATTTAAGAAAGGCTGCAGATCATCCGTTATTATTTAGAAAGATTTATACCGATGATTTATTACGACAAATGGCAAAAGAAATTAGACGCGATGTTAAATATTGGGATTCTGATGAAGACTATATTTATGAGGATATGACAGTTATGTCTGATTTTGAACTACATAAACTATGTATAGAAAATAGGGTAAAGTAGTAGTAGTGGTAATAGTTGAGTTCTTTTTTTTTTTTTCTCTAATCAAAAATCTTTCCATTAGACTATCAAACACCATCAATTAAAAAATGAAGAATGGATGGACTCTGGAAAGATTGAAAGATTAAAGACACTATTACCACAAATTAAAAAGGAAGGAAACAAGGTGCTTATCTTTAGTCAATTTACAAAGATGTTGGATATCCTTGAATTAGTGATGGAAACGTTAAATATATCTTTCCTTCGCCTTGATGGTGAAACTAAAGTTATGGAACGTCAATCTACCATTGATGAATTTAATGAAAATGAGGATATCACTGTCTTTTTACTAAGTACAAAAGCAGGTGGATTTGGTATCAATTTGACGTCAGCAAAGTAAGTAGTTGTTTATGATTATTATTACCAATTCATTAACACACCTCTCTCTCTCTCTCCCTCTCTTTTTAGTATTGTTATTCTTTATGATTTAGACTTTAATCCTCAAAATGATAAACAAGCAGAAGATCGTGCACATCGTAAAGTATACAATTATATTATATCATACATTAAAAAAAAACTAATTTGTGTAATAAAATTTAGGTGTTGGTCAAAAGAAAGATGTTACGATTTACAAACTAATTTCAAAGGATTCTGTTGAGGAATATATTTTAAAAATGGCCGAGATGAAACTTAGACTTGATAAAAATGTATCATCAAAAGAAGGCGAAGATGTTGTTGACGAACAAGGTCAAGATACTAAACAAACACTACAGTCCATCATTAAGGAAGCGTTCCATCTAGCTAATAAACAGACTTTGTTTACATTTATTTAATCATAATAGAACAAAATAATAAAGCATTACATATTTATATATTTATAAAAGAAGAAGAAGAAGAAAAAAAAAAAAAGGATAGAGACAGAGAGAAAGAAAGAAAAGGGAGTTGGATAATGTATATATTAACAAAAACAACAAATATACAATTGAAAGGGTTAGGGTTAGGGTATTCAATTACAATTAGACAAGATGTGTTGTTGCGGACTGCACGTCTAGCATAGGGTCATCTTGATTTATATTGGGTGATCTATAGACGATTGCAGAAGAAGAAGAAGGATCATCATCATTGATAATATCTTCCATTTTAGCCGGTTGTTCCTTTTGAGTTAATTTTCTTCTCTTTTTACGCTTATTGACACATGTCTTCAAGGCTGATTTCATTTCTGTCATTGTGAAAGGCTTACTAATAAAATCATTCATACCAGCATCAATGCATATTTGACGATCCTCTCTAGACGCTGATGCTGTTAAGGCGATGATATAAACATCTACTGCATTTAAAAGAACATTATTACTTGCTGTTGTTGTTGTTGTTGTTGTCGTACTGTTATTTTTATTTTGAGTAGCTAATTCTATCTGTTGTTTTTGTTGTCTTGTTCTTTCTTTAATAATTTCTCGCGTTACTTCCAAACCATCCATTTCAGGCATATAAAGGTCCATCTAAAGAAAAAAATATAATATGTATATACTTTAGTAATAAGCACAATGGGACTCTATTTACTTTATTTTACTTACAAATATTACATCAAATACAGATGTCTTCATTAATGTCAAAACTTCTTTTCCGTTATTAGCAATAGATACATCAATATAACCTAAACGTTTTAAAATACTAACTGCAATTTTTTGATTTACTAAATTAAATAATAATAATTGAATTAACCTGCTAATGTCTATTGTTATCATATTCATACTTACATATGTTATCTTCTGCAAGTAATATATGTAACGGGTTTATTTTTGCAAGGTTTTCTTCTTTTGTTTGTGATGGTTTATTACGATAATGTTGTTTAGTAACTCCTACTCTTGTATTTCTAGTTGCAGGTAATAACAAATCATTAAATGTCTTTCTATTATTACTGGCGGCAATAGGCCCAAGTGTTGTATTGCTACTGCCTACATTCATTGAAATAGGTCTTTTGATATTATCCTCTGACCTATATGCTTCTGTATTACTGTTATCTGTTGTAGCATCAGTAGGATGAGTGCTATTATTATTCAATAAATTAGATGCCTGGCTATCTTTAAATATACTTGAAAATGTATTATTTTCAATGATTTGCGGTTCATTATCTTGAAGAGTTGCATTCTCTGTTGCTATGAACGATTGCTGTGTAGTCGCTCTAGGTAATATTGGACGTTGTTGATGATTAATAAAAGAATGATTGGTTCCAGTTAAAGGGAAATAACCTGAAGCATTAGTTGTGTTATTATTCATATTAGATGTAGAAAAAGTTGTATACATAGATGAAATAGGAGACATTGCTTCATTATTCATAGTATTACTATTACCTAAAACAGAATGAACACTACCACTACTATCAGAAACAGTAGAACAAGGTGATGATGGTGAACCAGCAAGTCCAACGGATAATGTTGTTGCACTATCTGTGCTATAATTTCTTCCTTTAGGAGCAACTGTCATGGGTAATGTAAGTGCAAATCTAGAGCCTACTCCTTCCTCTGATTCAACCCAAAGACATCCACCCATACGATTGACTAAAGTACTTGAAATAGCAAGACCAAGCCCTGTACCACCATATCTTCTGGCAGTTGAAATATCAATCTGTGAAAATGATTTAAATAATTTTGGTAAACGGTCTGCAGGAATACCAATACCAGTATCTGTTACTGATATTTCCAAGATAGATTTTTCACTAAAATAGTCCGGAATATTTGCATTATCTGTACTATCATTTGAACCAGAAGTGGTAATATTCATGCTATTCGTCGGAAGTCCACTCGCGGAGGTCGGTGATATACCTGTTCTTTCCCTTGCTTGATTCCACATTGTTTCAATTTTCGCCTCATAACGTTCTTTAAAGGTCATGCATTTTTCAGGTTGTCGACTAT